GGGACGCTATGAAATGTAAGAGACCATGAAGGAGGGGAATTGTTTAGCAAGAAGTAATATGAGTGTTGATACTTAGGGAAATTGGAATTAAGCCTTTGGATTGAAGATTGAACCATTTCCTTATTTTCTTGTCCAGTTCAGCCTAAAGATTTCCCCCCACACTCATGTTTTCTTTTCTCCCTGAAATTTCCTTCTCCCTCTCACTCTGTCACTTTCCAGTCATAAATCTCACCCCACTGAAGAGGCCATGTGAAGCAGAGGGTAAGAGATGTTTTTTTGGAAGTTAGTCATTTCTATTTATAAATTGCTATAAAAAAAAAAATTGAAGTATCTGTCCCTTACTATACTTTTTGTCACTATTGCTTGGGCAGTATGGCAAAAATATAACATCTGTCCCTTACTTTACTTTATGTCACCATTGCTAGGGCAATATGGCAAAAATATAGCATTATGATATTTCAAGACTTCATGATACTCAGTATGCATCGCAGTGTTTAGTTTTTCAGAAGTTTGACACATTGGAACAGATGAAAAAGGCTGCATAAAAATGCTAATTCATAGTATAAAATGCTCAAAATGATAGTATATTATAAAGGGAATAATCATGCTCACTTTGTAGTGAAACATGCAGTATTGACAATATCCATGATATTCTCAGAAACACAAATTGTGATGTAATATGATGTTATTTATCACAGTTATGATTGTTCTCTAGCTTATCTCCACTCCTTTTTATCCTTTGAAGTCCACCATTACACTTTATTGAGTTGTCTATGGTTTGTTCGAAGTCATTCTATCCTACTCTCCTTTTTTCATATGAAGAGGTTAATGTATTTTGGTGTGCCCTTAATTATCCTGTCAGTTGGCACTTGGTAGCTGAACAAGTGTAACCAGTGATGTAAATCCGTCTATGGACAGACAGATATTTGTGTCTAGGAATGGCAGGAAGGGAGGGTAAAGGGGGATAGAGAATGAATATAACACATTTGTGATTAATAAGCATCTATAGTGTAAATTATGGGGAAACAAGGAAGATGTAATGCATTGAATTGCTGGTGAGATAAGGAAGAACATTGGAGGGAAATTGTGTGTTTTTGAGAAACGGGAGAAAGGAAGTGTAGGTTTTGTTAAATTAACTGTGTCCCAGTTGGATCTGACCTCTGCTCAGTGAGCAGTTACTATGGACACACATTCATTAGGACACAGGAAATGACCAGACATGACATGCCATGACCCATACTCATATTCTCATACACACTTTGTGAACACATCTCTTTATTTTCTGCAAAATATAAAGAATCTCTTGGTAATTTCATGATAACATTTGGCCCTCGTAACTCTTAAAATCAAAATATTCTTATTTTTTTTAGCTTTTTGTCGTGTTCGGTCTAAGAAAGCATACATTTAACAGTTCAAAACATTTAACCAATTTCGAGCAATGTATCAATTTTTACAAGATCTAGGGCTTTTTTTATTAGCAAAGAATTAGCAAAGACTGATAACTGGCATCCATGCTAATGGCACAAGGACCTGAAGGATATTCTTCTGATTTTTACTTGAACTGTTTTTTTTTTTTTAATGAATAATTTACTTTTAGTCAATAATTAGAGGAATAGGGTTGAACTTTCAGAGTAATCTTGTCATTTTTAATCACAGTATCACTGAACATAAAGAAAAAGGAAAGAGAAAACGTACTTATTTTTGGGTGATTTAGATAATGCAAAATGCCGTTGAATATGTTACTTTCAGGTATTTCACAGAGGTGAATGTGTTCAGTTAACAGGGTTGAATGAATAGTGAGGGACACAACTAAAATACATTCTTCATAATCTACTGTTAAATGGATTCACGCTTTGATGCAAAAATTTCTAAAGATTTTTAAATGATATTTTAATGATTAGATTTCAGGGTAAAGTGTACGTATACTGAGCTGGGACAGGCAAATACTGTTTTTTATGTGCTGTAAATAGGTTTTATTAATGTTTTAAGTTATGTATCTAAAAGATGGATATATGTTTAAAACGTCTTTTAGTTGACATATTTAATGTTTCATTTAATGGCATCCCATATTCATCTGTGGACTGATTATTGAGATTTGCTTCAGTTATCCAGTGTGGTTCTGCTAGAATATGCATGCCTTTATCTGGGGCTGTTTTAGGTTTTTCCAGTCAAATCATTATGTGCAGACACAAATTCACATGTGTGTGTGTGTGAATTTATATATATATATATATATATATAGTATATATATATATATATATATATATATATATATATATATATATGCACACAGTAAACAATTAATTTTTTTTCTTAGAGTTGGTCAGGCAGCTCTATTATACTGTACAAAAGCTCTCCATATGGAGTGTAATGCTCTGCTATAGGAAATTGCGGCATAGAGAATATATTAGGCAGGGTACTATAAAGACAGGATTCTATATATTGCTACTGTGTGTTGACTACATTTTCTCAGTTTGCAGTCTGTTATTCTAAAGATATTGCCACATCTGCTCTGCGTAAATATGGCTGTAACACAACACATATGCTTCGCTGGCATTCATATCAAGAGGAGGGACAATGCTGAATGCAAATGAGAGTTCTGTTTAGTTTCATTGCGCCACCTCTCTCTTTTTGTTCTTTCCTTCTTAGGCTCAAATATGGAAAAGAGAAATGTTTCCAGTCTTCAGTATAAAACGAGCCTTGGGCATGGCAAAAAGACTGTAAGATTTTATTACCATTATATGAATTTTATTATTTTAGTGGTTGAGTTGAGGTACGCCTAAGAAAATATATTAATGGCTTAACTTATCATTCATGCCATACAGTTAGCTTTCATTTCATCATGTTTTCTTTTTCTGCACAGCACTCTACGTGTAACTACCTGACCCTTCAGTCCTCAGGCAGTCACAAGATAAGGAAGAACTACTCTGCAGATGAGCTGGCCTTCCTCAATGAGGGTGTAAGGCGTTTTGGTAACTCCTGGAACTCTATACTTTGGGCCTACCCCTTCCAGCATGGACGCACTAACATAGATCTGGCCAAGAAATATAGGCAAGACACAGAGAGCATCAAATATTCAAAGTATTACCTGCAGTCTAACAGTGCACTTGTAGAGTAATCTGTCATTTTATTGCTTATCTTTTACTTTCTCTAAATTCTCTAAATAAGATTTTTGAAGTATTTTAATGATTATATTTCAAGGTAAAGTGTAGGGATAGTTGGCTGGGACAGACAAAAATATTGTTTTTGAAGTGCTGTAGATAGGTTTTATTAATATTTTAAGTTACTGCTTGTTGTAAAGAAACCTTTACCTATGTTTAAAATGTCTTTAACTTTTACATAGATATTTGTAAATGTAAAATCATTGGGATAAAAATGGCACCCCATTCGTGGAATCTGCATCTATGAATTGATTGTTGAGATTTGCACAAATCCTAACCAGTTTGTCTTCACACTGTGCTGAAGCATACACACCTTTACCTGAGGCTGATTTAGTTTTCCAGTCAAATCATTGTGTGCAAGCAGTTTCACGCACATATGCACTAATACATATTAGATCATATTACTGCCCATAGATAAAAAAGCTATAAGTCATGAACACAGTAGCATGAGTGATATATATATATATATATATATATATATATATATATATAGCTGTAAACACAGTAAATGGTCTGCAGCTATGTTGTACTGTGGAAAGCCTTTACTGCTTTATAGAATCAGACCCCTGTAATCCTTTCCAACTACTAATTTGACAGGTCAGCAATTAGTATTATTGGTGCAACAGTGGTTTTTATTGAAGTCCACCAAAGCTCAGTCAAAAAGGAGAACATGTATAATTATCTCTTCCATTCCATCATATTTCTGTGTGCTGCCTCTCTGTTGAACCCTCTCCCCCCCCCTCTCTCTCTCATTCGCAGAAAGCTAAAGCAGGGCTTAGCTCAGGCACCAGACCATCTCACACTGGATTCTGCTGAACAAAGAGTTCATTAAACAGGCGACATGGTCTACACCGTTTCAGCACTTGAGTTGGCCGTCAGACTGTTGGAGAGGTGTCACAGTGTGTAACTCTTTACTGTTAAAAGTAGAATGGAATATTTACAAACAATTATTTGTTAGTGCTCACTAAAATAGGTGATGGTTGTCTTCATATGGAAAGAGAAGTGAGATGTTAATTTAAACACAGTAGTGCTTATAATTCAAAGGAATCATTTGTTGAACTTTGGTTGAATTAAAGTTTTTTCTAGTTGACTTAATTATGCCAGGAAATTATTTTGCCTAACCAGTACAGGGCTTTAGATTTCTGTGACTATGATTGTGAGAAAAGGCCCTGTGCAGCAGCAAAAACAAGTCCCCACTGCTGGTTATGTGGTCCACATAGGCTCCTACAAATGGGGTTCCTTGTATTTCAGTAGTATACAAAACTGTTATGACTGTTGTTACCACACATCCTCAAAGAGACTAAATGAGAAGAAGGATAAAAAAAGAACAAATTAATTTTATTTATAATTTATAATAGTGTGGATAATAATAATAACTGGATGTTGTCTGGTTAGTATGTCTGGAACACATGAGAATCTATGACTGTGAGAACCTCATCTGGTACTCACATTCTTTACTAGACGTAGAGGAATGAGAGACAGATTTATTTATGTGGGACGGAGGCTTCTCAGGCTAGGTCCCGGATTTTGGAGTCCCCCTCTGTGGCCCCTGAAACCCCTTTCCTCTGGAAAGAATGCTGCCCTTCCCCCTTCATGTCCATCTTTGAAAGCTCAAGTATGTGTGAGTGTGTAAAATGTTCGAACTGTTCTAACAAAGAAATGGTGAGCTCCCAGTATAGTAGATGGAAATCTGAGTACTACATGAGCAAGTCTTTGAGCACTGGGACACTCCACATACTTCCCAGATGTTTAGTTCTTGGCTTTCTTCCACAGTATTCCTACAAACGCAAATGTGAGATTGTCAAACATTATATTCAGAAATTACAGCGAGGACAATGATTCATTCTGATCAGTTTAATGAAGTATGACAACTGTTTCAAACTAGTTTCAGGCTAAAATATCATAAAGGCATTGTAGGTTATAAAAGAGATTACTAGTGAAGGTTTTGTGATTCATCTTACTTTATTTTCTCCATTTGCTCTCATTGCTTTAGCATGATATTCTTTTCTGTCTTGTGACAGGTCACATTTAAGGCCACTTGATTGTTACATACTCAGAATAGAAAGACATGTTACCACAACCTTTCAGCTAACATTTTAAAATATGGGTTTGTCTCTTGTTTATATGACTAACTATTCATTATGCTTCTGAGGTGGTTGATGCTGGAGCTAGCGTATGTAGTTAATACATTTCATTTCTGTTACATTATCAGTGGTTTAGAGAATATATTCTCTTAAACCCAAAACAAAAAACCTCACTTTATTATTCAGGCACACTTCCTCACTATCTAGATTGTTGTCTAGGTATGAAGTGCTTGTCCCTGTAACAGTCATTTACTCAAAGCATGTCCATGTGTTTTATATAAGGTCATTGACAGTGTTGACAGCCTTGCTCAGCGCCTGCTCCATGTCTCCCAAGTCAACCAGTGAATCAGAGTTCAGAGTTGCGGGGTCAGCGCTTGCTTCACAGTTCAGAAGGTCTTCTGCTGGTGCTGCATCCTGTTTCATGCACACCAGTGGTTCCTCACTTTCAGATGGTGCCTGAGCTTCATTTTGAATGGGGATGCCTTCATCCTCCACTGCCACAAGTGAAACGTCTTTAGCCACTGCTGCAGAAACATGATCTGGAAGGAGGCTCTCTGCATTAGGCTGCGACAATAGCAGCTCATCCAAGGTTGAAGGTTCGGATGGCAAGTGTGCAGGTTCTTCCGGAGGTTCAGGGATGGAGAGATCAATTTTGGGTGTGGCCTCCTCTGAAAGATCTACCAGGGGCTCAGCTTTGGGTTCTGTAGCTGGCTCTGTGGGGTCATCCTTCACACTGACTGCTGCCATCATGGCTTCTACTGCTCCCATGCCCTTGTTTACCATATCGTCAACCGGGACAGCAATTTGTTCGCTAACAGAGCTCACTATTTCCTCTACAGCTTGTGTGATGGTCTCCACAGCTCCAAGATTAGAGGATTGCTCACTGGATGCTGTATCCACAGCAGGAGCCTTTTCTGAGGCCTTGGGCTCAGCTGCATTCTCAGCTTCATCAGGCTTCTGCTCATTGGTCTCAGTCGTGGCTAGAGCCTCTGCTGTTTCAGGCTGCTCTGTGGCTGTGCTCTCCGCTACCACTCCCTCTGCTGCTGGAGCACATTCACTCTTTCTCCGACTCAACTTTGCTCCCATTCTTCTCACTATAAAACATGCAGGACATCTTTTAGAGAACTTGTTTCTTCATTCAAGGCAGTGCAAAACAAGGTACAGTCCAATGTTTGAACTCCCTCACTAATATGAAGACTCAGCACTTGGCCTTAAAACACAATAAAACTGCTATGACTTCAGAATTACAAAATATATACATTCCCTGCTAATGGCAGAATAGTGACCCAAGACCCGAAACAAGACTTGGGAGCACACGTTGACAAAGTGATCAACTACAACAGTTTCCCAAATGGAACTAGACATTAAGAAGAAAAAAGGGGGGAAAATGTTTTAGGCACCAGCACCATTTTGTGCTGGAATGAGTATGACATCGTAAGAAGCGGGCAACAGGAAGTGGCCTCAGCAGGAAGGACCAGACCAGATAGAAAGAAAACATCCGTAAGCTTTCTGCATGCCAGTTAGGGAAATACACTGTGTGTGAGAATCTCCATGTGCAAGACTCTGGCATGTTTCATTTCAAAGCATTTACAACACTGCCCAAGTAGAGCACAGGACAGACACAAAGCATGTAGATTTTTTGACAGGTAAAAGAGAGGCCTATTATATATGAAAGGCTATGTGATTATACAGTTAGTCACTGCATAGGCCTAACATTTCCGACAAACTTCATCTGCTGCCGCAGTCTCTGATTAAGACGACTTAGCATAAATTACAATCTACCAAGTCAAGCTAAATGTTTTCATTATATTTAATTAGAACTGCTCTCTTTTTATCACTGTCATGTAATCTTGCACTAGGTGCCTGCCATGGTCAGTAGTAAGCGAGTTTTACTGAGATGTTAGACACAGGATAAAATTCCTAGAGTTAATGGAGTTGCTTTTTCTCTATGAATGGGCAATACCAATCATTTTCTTCTTGGTACCATATCAAGTAATGCCAAGGCTAATATCCCAATACTGACACTTTTAAAACTGTTCTTGTGCACATAAAAAGGAGAAATCTTTGTATTTCTACAGTGCAAACCTGTAAAAGTGGACAGCACAAAAAAATATTTGAAAGTCTTTGCTTTAATATGCAAAGTGCAAACAGGCTGTTTAGTGGAGTTAAATAATTCCAAGATAAGACAAAACAAAACAAACAAAAATGTCCAAAATGTTAACTTTACAGGAAAAAGCAAAAACTTCACTTTTAATGTAAGCTTTTATTCCAAGTGATTTGAACATTTCTTTTGGTCAGTTCATCATGAAAGATTTACACAATGTTAATGGACATCTGCTGTGCTTAAATGATGTAAAAATGGAGATATACAGTTTATTTCTTAAAGAAACCACTTAGAATCAGCAATTGGATCAGGATCGGATGTATCGATATTTATGCTCTGTTCAAAGTATCAAGGTATTTACTCTGGTGTTCGATAATATCGTATTATGTGCAGATAAAATAAAAAATGTGTCTTTCGTGCACGTTGTGTGTATACTGTGTTGAGTTTTTTAAGGTAAAGTGTTTAGTAATTTTAAGGATAGAAAAAGATCTTCAAACTCTGATACCAAGACAGACTTCTTGCTTCTTCGAGGCTGAGTTAAAGAGACAAAGCAGAGCAGTGAACCACGCCTTCTTCCAGCGCGCTGAACAGGAGTGCCGTTAGAGAGCACTGTTCTCAGGAGTGCTTTAGCCTAAAGCCGATTATTAATTATTCCGCTTAAGTTAAGGTAAACAAGGCAGATACTAAATGCGTTAAGCGGTTTTTACACATCTATCACAGAGACGCCCGTCAGCTGACTGACTGTTCGTTAGACTGGACAGACAGCGCTGAACTGCTGCGGGTGTGATCAGTGAGGCAGAAGAGCGGTGAGAACAGAGGCTGAGCTACTGTTAGTGTTTTTGCCAACCACACTCTTTTTAGCATTCGCACTTCTGGACAGACGGACACGATAAACACACACGTATTTAAAACAAGTCTGAAAGCAATTCTCAAAGATTTGTAACTTAAGTGAGATAAAGGCTCAAACTTTTGGGATGAAAAAAGGCTAAAGCTCTTAACAGCACATCAGTCCATATGAAAAAAAGCTAAAGAAAAAGGAATAAAATGTTTTCTCAGTTATCATTACTTTGCTCACAAATATACTTTAGTAGAAGTGATAGCGTTTGAAAACAGAAAAGCATAATTCTGTCACATTGGTACTTAAACAGCTACATATAAACTGAGTAAATGTGTTTAAATGTTACCCACCTTTTTTGCTGAACGCTGAAGGAACTGCTGCTCCGTGGCTTCTCTCGACAGACTAACAGACTGACTGACTGTCCGAGATGAGATGAGTTGAGTCCAGCTGCCCCTCCCTCCTTGCGGTCCTGTCCAAGAGTGCGCGTTTTATAGGCTCCACCAGCCCTGCCCTTTAAACAAGACCAACTTCTTGCTTTTTTATCGTTTTCTAACCCCTATTTATCATTAAGTGCTTAACTGATTGCAAGCAAACTCTCTAACTGCGTTAACTTGAAGTTCAACCCTTGGTAAAGTGTCAGGCTGAATTACTGCTAATGCACTTCAGCGTTTGGGGAGACAGACTGGAGCTGTTTCTGAAAATGGAGTTTTTCCCTTCCATTACTTCCAATATTCCAGCTGAACCAGAAGCGCCCGGGAGCCCATTTTTTTGGGTGAGTCTGAGACTGTGGTTTTCCACTTTGCTGCTGTCATTGCAGAAGTAGGCAAAGACTTCATACCAGATGACCGCTGACAGTACAGTCATGCTCAGCACTGCGTGCTACAGCTGCACGCCCATAATGCTGCGAGCAGACGGGCGCAAAACTTTCAGCCTTAGTTATATGATAGCAGTGCAGGATGATCTGTTGAGTATACCGTGATATTCACGCTGCTTTTTCAGTTTTACTGATATTTTAGGAAAATTGGTCAATCATAATATAGCCTAATCCCTATAAAATGGCGATGTTCTTGTGTTCTTTTCCTTTCTTTTTTTCTATGTTGTCCACTTTAATAAAGGGACATCCAAACCTTAAACTAACATTCAATGTTTTTTGTAATATAATGACACAGTAAGCATCCTTCAGCCTCATCGGTTTCACAGAATTCATGATTTTTTATGCTTTCGTCTATCAATGTTCTGTCACTACAATACCCAGCGTGCATTACGAAAATACACCGTACAACAAATATCCTCCAATAAAGCTATACAGATATTATATCTGACTTTCTGGCTTTCTTCCTCATTAGACAGCTCTTGTGTGGGGGTAGGGGGATTCAGCCTTCCCCTCAATTATTCACTCCAAAGAAATCGTAGTATTTTAAAAGTTCCACCTTCAAGATGCATCATCAGAAGGGAGTTTTCTTAGTTTTTGCACCTGGAAATCTCATTCTAGAGACTACTGCAGCACCACTGTAGGAGGTGAGTAGGGATGTTTACAACAGATGTAGTGATGGTTCAGCTAAGTATCTCTTTAAGGCAGCACTCACCAACCCTGGTCCTGGAGATCTACTGTCCTGCAGAGTCTGATTCCAACCACAGTCTGCCACACCTGCTCCAGCTAAGTATACCTTCATCAGAAGTCCCTGATCGGCTGGATCAGATGCATTAGTAAGAAGGAGGCAGCATTTTTGATGTAGGATGGAACTAAACTCTGCAGGAACGTAGATATCCAGGAGAAGGGCTGATGACCACTGCTTTAAGGTAACCACAACCGAAGGGTGTCATATTTCTTTGAAAGAATGTCAAAATACTTGAAAACTAAAATACTGTAAATTCTGTAAATGTGGATTGTGCCTAGTTAACACATTGTATTATAATCTTCCCTTTGGTGTGAAAAGAATATGAGATGATGTTTCTAAATAATGAAATGGTCCAATCAAAGCAAGTTATGTGAGGCTTGTAAGATACTACCAGCACCCAGCAACCATGGGTTCATTAACTTTGTTAATGCAAAATCATTATTTCATCATCTTATTTCTTTAAAACCACCCAGCACTGTGAGATAGTGTAATTTCTCCTTATTTTGTTTTTAAATTGTAATAGATTGTAGAAATTCTTTAAATGTGCAAAATCGATGCACATCATCTTTCACTTCCTTATGTGTTTACTCTGCACTGACTGCTGCAGCATGATTAGAGTGTCCACCAGGTGGAGATATGGAGCTTTTTCTCAATACTGCAGAACAAAAATCCCCACTTGTTGGATTTCAACAATTCCCATGTTTGATTGGTTTGCTTTTGTGCCTTTTTTCTTCCAAACTACTCTTTTCCCCCTGTTTCCTGCTTAATCTCTCTGTTGATTCTGCTGGTTTGTGAGGCTGTAACTCCAGAGCAGAGAGGATGTGTGTGGTTGTGTAATGAGAGTGATTGGGAGAGATGAGGCTCAGATCAGTCCTAACACTCTACATCCCTTCATCTCTCTCTCTCTCCCCCATCTCTCTCTCCCCATCTCTCTGTGTTGTTTTAGGAGGAGGTTTTGGCAGAGAGAGTAAATACCCAGGGATGATTGGAAACATCTGTGTCAAGAGGAAGGGAGGGTGAATTTGAGACAGCAGCAAAGGTCTCTCTCTCTCTCTCTCTCTCTCTCTCTCTCTCTCTCTCTCTCTCTCTCTCTCTCTCTCTCTCAGTTGTGTGACTGAGCTGACCTTAACAGACTGCAGAGTTCTGAGTGAATGCTAAATTAGAGAAACCTAAAAAAAAAACACTCTCGGTGCTACTTCAAAATCTTTCGTTTAAAATAAACACGCTGTGTTTTAATTACAGTATCCATGACACCGTGTCTTATTTAACAGAATATTCCACTGATGAGGATAAGATAATAAAGGAATTTGAAAAAGTAAATGATTGAAAGTGAGGGACTTGTGGCCTACTGTGGACAGTTTGTGTCCTGGCACATCACATATGTGCTGTAGCCACTACTGCTTTTGGTACTGCTAATAATGGTGTAGCCTACATCAGTGGTTCTCAGACCATTCCTCGAGGCCTCCCAGATGGTCCTCATTTTTGCGCTATTCCTACATGATGGGAGCTGGGGCAGAGCAAAAGTACTGACCATCTGGGGAGTCCTGAGAACCGGTTTGAGAACCACTGACCTACCTAATAATCAACAGCTTTGTCTCTCATTTGCACATATACCTCTCTTTAAAATTAGTAGTATGATATGATACCAAGAGACAAAAAATCACAGTCATGAGAGGGTGAGACCACATGGTGCTTTAAAGGGCCCCGTCCTACATTTATTTTTTTCTCTTATAAAGTCCACTTTTTTTTTGCTGCTGTGCCTTTAATATGTAAATGACCTTTGTTCTGATTGGGTGCACTTATTTAAAAAGCAGGCCAGGCTAAAGCACTCCTCACGACTTTCATGTGATTGAGCAAAACTAAACTGCTGTAGGCACACCAATTGCTATGTAAGGTGTGTAAAATCAAGCATATGCAATCTCCGTAGACAACATTGGCAGTAGAAAGGGCCGCTCTGAAAAGCACAGTGACTTTAACCATGGTACTGTTATGGGATGCCACCTTTGCCAAGTCAATGTGTAAAATTTTTGCCCTCCTAGATCTGCCCTGGTCAACTGTAAGTGCTATTGTTGTGAAATGGAACAACAACAACTCAACAACAAAGTTGTAGACTGCACAAGCTCACAGAGCTGGGGGAGTGCTGGAATGAGCCACTTTGCAAATGCAAATAGTTTGCAATTACATTTAGAGTGTATTCGGTATTTGAGCCCCTCACTAAGTGAATACCTGTCCTACTATAACAGTGAAGTTGGCAACACAGTGAATCAGTGAGACAAGTCAGATTTGGGCAGGAAAAGGTCTGTATTTTCATCAGTCTGCCGATAATGGACTTACTTGGAGAAAGAAAAAGAATTTCACACAACTTTAAGAAAATGAAAAGCTCATGCTGGCCACAGAGGAGCCATGTGTGTGTGCGCAGGAGTGAAGAGAAGTTGTGCTGCTGGTAGTGTTCAGATATTCTGAGATTACTTTTAGCCTGGAGAGTGATGTTGAGAGATTTGCTGAAGTCTCTGCCACACTCAGAACAGATTCAAACAGCTGCTCATAGAGAACAGACTCTCTGCATTCACAGGGAAAAGTAACATGTAAGTCATGAGATATTGTCAGCCAAAGTACCATTCAAAGCAAATCTTTCTTTCTTGCTTGCTTGCTTTCTTGCTTGCTTTCTTTGCTCTCTTTTTCTTTTTTTATCATTACCAGAATTCTATGTGCACTAAAAAAAATAATAATAAATACTTACAGTTAATAAGAAAAATTACAGTGTAATTTTACTCACTATTGTTATGTCTCAAATAAGTTGATACTCTCAAGGCATGCCACTCTACCCAGTAGCATCTAACATTAACCTAAATGTTTCCATCAGACTACCTGTTTAAGGTTTTTATTGAATATATCATGTTGCAGATTGTGAAAAGTCCATTTGAAAATGGTTACCGCTGAAGAAATGTATTATGAAAAAGAAGTAGAATAATGGACTGTCTGATGTCATGGATCTATAATCCGTGTATCATGGCTTTACAATTGTGTCAGTATCTGTATGATGCTGCTACACTGAAGAGTTTTAGGGGGCCTGCTAGCAGTGCCATCAGTTCCCAGTGCAATTGCCCTCCAGTGGTTACCCCACTATCTCTGTTTCTCTTTATTTTGCCCTCTCTCTGAGTTTCCCTCACTTTCTGTCTTTATCTCTCTCTCTCTCTCTCTCTCTCTCTCTCTCTCTCTCTCTCTCTCTCTCTCTCTTTCTCTCTCTCTGTCTCTTTCTCTATTTCTCTTTGTCCAACATCAACCACTATTCCCATGGAGTCATAATACTGCAGTAAATTTCCAAAAATGTAAACTTTCTCACACAATTCAGTCATTTTTTTGCATATTCTACAGCATAGGTGGCATAAGGAAGGTTCCAGCCTCAGAGCCAGGGGATGGGGGGGAGGTGTGGGGGGTTGTGTGTGCGTATGTGTTACATGCACTGAGTGGTATGTTCTGTCAGATGACAAATTAATCCGGACTTCTTCATGGATTTAACCTTGAGGGTCACAGACACAGCCTCACAACTAACTCAGAAATATGGCAGTTTTATTTAGGAAATGTATGTCAGATTTTGTTTTTGTTGCTGTTCTAACATTATCATGTTTTTTAGTACATTTGGTGACACAGCCTGTCTGTGTCCTTCCAGTAGCTTGACTTTGTGTATCCAGTATTTCTGACATTGTGTGCACATGTGTGTTGATGTATGGAGGTTATGTCAGCGTAACTGGGTGGGTGAAATAAAAACAGGATAAGATGCTTTTGATTAATCTGGAGAATGTAAGACCCCTGGTATAAGCCCCTGCTTCATTGAACCTTGAGTTTCCCAAGGATTTAATACTCAGAGAGAGAGAGAGTGAGGGAAAGAGAGAGAGAACGTGTTCACACATATGCTCACGTACTACTTCTTGGTGCACTTACAAAGTAAACAGCTTAATGTATGAAATATATATTATACATCACTTCAAAACAATTAAAATGTTACATTTTTAAATTAAATGGCTGACTGTCACTGAGTGTAATGGCTCTTCTGCTGGTGTTAGCAGCAAAACTAACATATCATTTAGTAATTAAAAACACATTCATTACAAAATGCCACTGTTCACAAAAATGAGGAGTTCTAAATGAAGTCAGTACTCAGGGTTTTTTGGACAGCAAAGAGACTAGCACATCCTCTCTCTTTCAATCTCTAACCCACTCTCTCTCTCTCTTTTCCTCTTTATTTGTAGAAAGGAAGACAGAAAGGCAGCAGATTAAGGAAAAGATTTTACTCTCTTCTTAATCCTCCTACACTTGACTAGACGAGTAAGATCAACTCAAATCACCAGATTCTATAAGACGGTCTGGTCCCGTCCCCTCACTCTCCCCACCACACACATACACACACACACTCTCTCTCTCTCTCTCTTAGTGTGAAAATGACTCTTCATGATATATGATCTCACCAATAAATAACTAAAAGAAAATGGAATAATATGACACAATTATTTACTATGTGCGAATGTATATCGATCTACATATCTATCTATTTATCTATCTACTGATATATGTATCTGTGTATTGTCTTTCTTTAGCTTTCCTTATCTCTATCGCTCCAATTATCTCTTTCACATTCTGTCTGGCAGGCTGGCTGTCTGTTTGTCTGGCTGTCTTTATCTTTTTTTATCACTCTCATTCTAGCTATTTCTTTCATGCTGTGTGTCTTTCTACACTATATGGCCAAAGTTATGTGGACACCCCTCTTAATTATTGAGCTCAGGTGTTTCAGGTACACTCATAGCTAACAGGTAATGAACCGTGCATCTGGTGTGATGAATCTGGATTTGGCAGATGCCAGGAGTACAGTATCTACTGGAATGCACAGTGCAGACATGCAAATGTCAGGAGACTGTTACCTGCCTGACTGCATTGTGCCAACTGTAAAGTTTGGTGGAGGAGGGATAATGGTCTGGGGCTGTTTTTCAGGGTTTGGGCTCAGCCCATTAGTTCCAGTGAATTAAAGCTACGGATTTTAGACAATTAAATGCTTCCAAATGTCAACAGTTGGAGGGACAGTTGAGGAAAGCCCTTTCCCGTTCCAGTATGACTGTGCCCCTGTACACAAAGCGAGCTCCATAAAGACATGGTTTGATGAGTTTGGTGTGGAGGAACTCCAGTGGTCTGACTTCAACCCCACTGAACACCTTTAGGATAAATTAGAACATCTCTTCTAACACCAGTGCCTGACCTCAGAAATGCTTGTTTGACTTCATCTATCTATCTATCTCTCTATCTATCTCTCTATCTATCTATCTATCTATCTATCTATCTATGTCACTCACTGTATGTGGGTGTAATATTAGGATATTGTGTAGATTGATGTCCATATTGTAGTACATGATGTCATAGCTGAATCCAGCTCTGAAGAAAAGTTTCTAATCCATAAAATAAGTCCATGGCATTCTATGGTCTAAGTCATGTGAGGATTAGAGGGACTGAATTCATTTTCCTCTTGTCCTTATGGTGCAGTGCCCTCCCTCTGTTCCCCTCATAGCTATAACATAAGCATCTAAACCCTGTAATGAAAATGACAGTTTTACTGGTTTTACATCAATACGGGAATTAAAACACAACTCATCTGTTTGCATGTTTCATTGCACTCAGCTGCTTTATTTGCATGTGTGCTGTGTGTGCTGTTTAAATTCACTGTGTATGCATACATGTATGCATAAGTCAGAACTGCGATGAGTCTAAAAACAATGAGTCACTCAGGCTGACTTGTATATTGGTTTACAGATTTCGGAATGCTGAAGAGAATGAAGTTGAGGGGGCTTTGTGTTGTGACAGAAGGCTTTATTCTCAGGTGATGGACTTGGCTCTTCTGTCAGAGATGAAAGCAGAGAGTTTACTTTATTTGAATTGCAAATGTGCAACATTTCACTGCTACAGTTGCAGCGTAAGTTATTTATGAATAGGCTAATTATATTAGCTTCCAGGAAGGGTGGATTTAGTGCGTCAGATAGAGAGTGCCGTTTCTGTCTTTGTACTAACAGCACACTCTTAAAAGAAAAAAAATTCCATTTATAACCAGTCAAGGATTCTTCTACTTCCTTTGGCTTCCGCGAGAGGGAAAAACCTTTTTGGTCTGGAACCTTTTTTGCAGAGGATCTCTGAAATTTAGTCTCATTTCTTTTGCTGGTTATGAACTTTTGGTTATGACTGAGTCATCTGGCCACTGCGGTACTGCCACATCAATCAGACCACAGGCTCCAGACTTTTTTGTTATTGCTGTGTTGTCATGGTTTTTGTAATGGATTTATTTATTTAGTTAGTTCATTTTAACAACAAAGTGATTATTATTATTATTATTATTATTATTATTACCACCATTATTATTATTATTATTATTATTATTATTATTAAATAAAAATCAATGTACATCTTTATTTTTAGACCACACATATGTGCAGTACTGTGCAGTCAGAGACCACCCGTTATGTATTTAATTTAAAGCCAAACCCTTTAAGTACAAGTTATTCATTTTTTTTCAGTGTCTACATATATGTAACAAAGTTACAAAAAGCCTTAAGAACTAAATATAATTTTTTTTACATTTAGTGTGTTCACTCTCTGCCTTTATCACGGCTTCCGTTCTTGACTTGCTTTTAGTTTTTCAAAGAAATCTGCAGTTCATTTTCTGCTTCTCATAATCCAAGTAATCCCAAACTCATTCAGTGATGTTGAGGTTTGGACACTGAAGTGGACAGTCCATTGTTCTGATAACACCAGTAGAGGGGAGAAGGGGCAGGTTTAGAAACAGGGCAGCAAGCGGGTGTTTACCATTTGCGCAATCGTGCATATTCATAGATCTTTAAAGTTTTGAGGTTTAGGGATGCTCCTATACAATTTTAGTAGATTCTAGGCCATGACAATTGTATATAAAAATATTTACCAATTTTTTATTAAGTTTGTAAACCTGCCCCTTCCGCCCACTACCCTGTACACTGTCTCTGTGTTTGAACAGATGACAAACAAAGCTGAAACCAAATTTTCACTGTAACTTTAATAATAAGAATGATTATGTCTTTCAGTCACTCCAGCTCTAGTTGGATTAAGCTTACATTAGCCTCTGCTGCTAACAAAGTTATGAATTAAAAGTAGCTTAAGTTAACATCTCCACACACAAAACACAAGCTTACCTGCTCAGATCTGAGTCTTTATTCTCTAACATAAGTGAGGCTTCAATAAGTCATGGTGATGTGGTTGTGTGTAAAGCTGGTTAGGCCGTCTCGCTAAGCAAACGCTAGATTCTAATGCTAAGCATCTATCAGCACGGCCTCCAGGGTCTCGCCTTACTTTCGTCCTGGCAGCGTTGCCGTGGGATGTGACGGCTAAGCCAACGGGGAGAAGAGCAAGAAGTTCTCTCTCCCTCTTGGCTCAGGTGTTCGGCCCTAATGAGAGTCGGACGGATGTGGTTCAGATCAACGCTTGGGGCTCCTCTGCAGGCCTCACGTGGACTCTTGCGGCTCTCGTCTGTGCCTTGCATCCTCTCATTAGCATATTTTAGTATATTGGACCGTGATAGGTTGAAACTCATTTGTGAGCTGCTACATAACACTCCACAAATAGTTTTTTTTAGATGTACTGGTCTCTGATTATTGTACAGTATATACGCATACAGATAAAATATTTGTACATTATTGGGTGTTAATAAGCTTAAAAGCACATGTATTTAAGAACGTCAACAAAAGATTTGTAAGCCATTATTTAGTACCTGAAGTGAACTAAACTGAATTGCCTTCTTAGTTTCAGTGTAAACTTGTATATACAACACTAAGTCCACAGTTATCAGTAAAATGCTTAAATATCGTGTATCTGCTGATCAGTCAACGTGGTGCTGTGCATTTTCTCGAGCAGGTTGTTAAACGGTTATTACTTTTCCCGCCCGTATTTCGACAGCCCTCCCTCCTGCGCCGCGATTGGCTATTAGTTCATTCCCACAAGCGGATTGCTTGTAAATTTGAGCTACTAGCCAATCGTAGCGCAGGAGCTCTCTACTACCAGCCAATATTAGACGAGGGGCGGAGCTTGTTGGAACACGGGTGGGTAAAAAAACAGAGTCTTCAGATAATTCTCAGTCTTCACTCTGCCCCTCACTCTCAGTCTCCGCTGCCGAGGAGACCGTCACTGCCGTACGAGCAGGGCTCTGGAAACTTCTCATAGTCCATATTCAGGATACTTCACTGGGAGGTTTTGGGTTTAGGCGTTTTTGAAGATGGATTTTCGTTCGAATTCTTTATTGGTAGAATTTCGACGTGCTGTGAGAAAACTACAGCAGCTTTTTGCAGCTGAAATGTAAACAGCTGTTTTCCCTAAAGGACAACAGCAAGAGGTCAAGAGGTGGCAGACTTGGACACGTGGTGGAGATGCAGGCAGGTGAGAAAGAGACACCTTGATGATTAAATAACTAGTTCACCCAGCAGATCATATAAACATCCACAGTATAATATATATAATATAAAATATGAATATCTAATATATCTCTAGTATACAGTACCCCCAAAATGTTCGGAGACTTTAACAATTAAACCATCTGTAAACTTTAAAGAAGTTCTTTAGGTTACTTTATGAAATGTTGAAGAGAATTACATTTGTTTTAGCCTAACATTTAACTGATAGTAGACGTTTTGTGTGAAGACAGCATGGAGAACAATTCCAAACAGACTGCACAGAGGCTATTGTAAACCACAGAGGTGGACACATCAAAGTCTAGGGCTGTTTTTATTAAAATAGTTTGTGTTCACTGATGGCATCATTAATACAGAAGACATTTTAGATGCAAGTCTGCAGAAGTCTGACAAAAAATGCTCAAAGTGTAAAGAATACTTTGTCAAAAATTAATAAATGCCACTTGATTTGATACCCAGCACCCTGTTGACCCAGCAGACCATATAAATGTCAACAGTATAACATATAACAATATATTATCAAATAAAATGTAATAGAAATATCTAATATATCTCTAGAAATCTACAATACAGTACCTAGTGTTGATTTTAATGATTGCAGCTGGACACAAATGAACAGTGTAAAAGTGAAGTAACATTAGTGTTAATCCTACAGTGGTGTTTTGTTGTATACTTGTTTAGATTACCAAGTGTTGAACAGTATTAAGGTAAGTAGACATGTATTATTCCCTGCTTTTGTCCAGCGGTTTACTGTATCTATGCTATGGATGTTATTATGTGGTGTATATTTCACATAAGTTTTCTTACAGGTCGCTGTTTAACCTTCACTGGCAAAACCAGATTTCTGAGGGTATTTGTATGTTTATATTTGTGTGCCCCATCTGTACTACAATCTCACTACAAGTGTGCGTGTGCGTGTGCATACGTAATGATCTTGTGATGACAGATGTAAAAACAATCTGTCTCTGCCTCTATCTCTGTCTGGCTGTCTCTCTCTCTCTCTCTCTCTCTCTGCTGCACACATTTAAGGAGCACCCTGTCACATTCTTAATCACTCTATCAACAACACTACAAAACAGCAATGACCAAGCTAAGAGCGAATTCAACACTGAAGAGTTTCCTGTGAACAAACACTGAAATCAGGCCGATCATGTACACTGATCGGTAGAAGAATGCACAAACCGTGAAGAAATAATATTAAATAGCCTTTTTTAATGCCTGTAATATTACTGAATGTCTGTTTCTGAAGTGAGTGAAAGAAAGCCTTCATAGTCACTGAAATAATGACTCAAGTATAAGTAAAAGTAACTATCAAAAAACAACTTCAGTAAAAGCACAGTACTTTCTGAGTTTCCTTTAGAACTGCAGTGGAACTACTTAGTACATCTAGAATCTGCACAGGAGGTTTTTTAGGCTGTATTCTTCTCATTTTGTGCTCCTTTAGGTCTAAATCTACGGCTCCAAAGTGAGATATGAGCGACAACAAATCCTTAGAGATGCTGTCATCATCTGAACAAAATGAAATCAAATCCAAAACAAGGAAATATTAACTTGATGTGGAAAGACATAAACCCATCAAAATGTTTAAGTACAAATGAATGAGTAAATGTAAGCAGTTCCTCCCACCTTGGCCTAATTGAGTTTTTCTGTGTGGTGCTGAATGGACAGCTCCCTCAGTCCACATGTGGAATAAAGCTCCAGTAGAAACATGAAAGTGTTAAAGAATGTGATTTGTGTTGTGTATTAACATATACATGTTCAAATAAAACTTCTGTAAATGTTTGCATTTGTTTTTCCTCTTTTGCAGTTTGGGTTCTGCTTGTCTTGGTAGAGGAAGGTTTTGCGTTGGCTCAGAATGCTAAAGGTTGGTCCATGTCTGCTGTTCACAGATCAAACACCTACATTTTTCAATTTGTGTCCATCTGGACTTACTCTAGGTGTTAATTCAGCATTGGACATGCACTGTATAGACAAAAGTATTAGGACACATACGCACTACACCTACAAGAGCTTTTATGACATCCCATTCTAAATCCATAGGCAGTAGTATGAAGTTGTTACACCTTTGCAGCTGTAACAGCTTCCACTCTTCTGGGAGGCTTTCTGCAAGATTTTGGAGTGTGTCTGTTGGAATTTTTTCATGCAGAAGAGCTTTTGTGAGGTCAGACGCTGATGCTGGACTGGCTCGCAATCTCCATTCTAGTTCATCCCAAAAGTGTTTGATGGGGTTGAGGTCAGGGCTCTGCGCAGGCCAGTCAAGTTCTTCCACACCAAACTCACTCAACCATACCTTTTTGGACCTTGCTTTGTGCACCGTGGGCACAGTCATGCTGGAACAGAAAAGGGTCTTCCACAAACTGTTCACACAAAGTTGGAAGCATACATTTGTCCAGAATGTCTTGGTATGCTGAAGCATTAAGATTTCCCTTCACTGGAACTAAGGAGCCCAGGCTGATCCCTGGAAAACAGCTCCATAGCATTATCCCTCCTCCACACAATTCCATCAGACAGATAATGTTCTCCTGGCATTCACCAAACCCAGACTCATCCATCAGACTGCCAGATGGAGAAGTGTGTTTTGTCACTCCACAGAATATGTTTCCACTGCTCTGAGTCCAGTGGCGGCATACTTTACACCACTCCATCATACACTTGGCATTGTGCCTGGTGATATAAGGCTTGCATGCAGCTGCTCGGCCATGGAAACCCTGCCATGAAGCTCCTGGTGCACAGTTTTTGTGCTGATGTTGATGCCAGAGGAGGTTTGGAACTCTGCAGTTATTGTGTCAGCAGAGCGTGACTTTTGTGCACTATACATCTCAGCACTCAGCATCCCACTCTGAAACTTTACGTGGTCTGACACTTCATGGCTGAGTTGCTGTGGTTCCTAAACACTTCCACTTTCCAATAATACCCCTCACAGTTGATCGTGGAATATCTATGATGGTTGGAATTTCACGAACTGATTTGTTGCAATGGTGGCATCCTATTACAGTATCACACTAGAATTCAGTGAGCTCTTTAGAACGACCGATTCATTCACAAATGTTTGTAAAGGCAAACTGCATGGCTGGGTGCTCAATTTTATGCACCTGTGGCAATGAGACTGAACGAAACATCTGAATTCAGTGATTAAGAGATGTGTCCCAATACTTTTGTCCATATAGTGTATTAATGTTGAGCTTATCCTTTACAGGACATTTAAGAAAAGGTTTGGGCTTCTGAAATGATTTCATGGTAATACACAGGGTATTTTTTGCATGAAACATAGTACTGTGCAAAAGTCAGAGTCACTCTTCATTTGTTTAATTTCCAGTCAAACAGCCATTTAGTTTAAGTTATTAATTTTTCAGGAGATATTCCAGAGAAGATTAGATATGAGACAGTCAACCTGCATCACTTTCCTGGTAATAACCTGTACTTAGTGGCTGTTTTGACTGTAAATTAAATAAATAAAGTGCTGTCTTTGACTTTTGCACAGTACTGTATACAGTGGCCCCAAAGTATTTGGAGACATTAACAATTTAACCATTGGTAAACTTTAAAGAAGTTATTTAGTTTACTGCATAAAATGTTTTAGAGAATTATATTTATACTCTTTTAGCCCAGCATTAAACTGATGGTAGACTCTTTGTATGGAGGAAGCCTGGAGAACAATTCCAACTAGACTGCACTAAGTATGCTATAAAATGCAGAGGTGGAAACATCAAAGTCTAGGGCTGTTTTTTAGTATAGTAGTGTTGGTGAGCTTGTGTTCACTGATGGAATCATTAACACAGAAGGCATACTGGATGCAAACATGCAGAAGTCTGCTAAAACAACTGCTCAAAAAATAAAGTGTAAAGAATACTTTGTAAAAAAGAAAATAACAGTCTTGGAATGATCTGTTTAAAATAAATGCCACCTAATTTGACATTTGGTTTGCTAGTACAGTCAACTTAATAAATTTTATGGTATGGCACAAACCTCCAAATACTTTTTAGAGTTTTATGCTTGTACATATCCTTTGTATATGTAAACATTTATAAGTGAAAGATTGTGTAGCTTTGCGCTATTAAAAAGTATAGCTTAATCTCATAAACAAAGAAATATATGAATTTGACTTGATTCTGAACTTTTCAAAGGTAATGTGTATACAGTTAATGCAAAAATGTGGATACTCTTGGTTAATAGAGTTATTAAAACCTCTGTATGTGACTGTATGTATCATCTATGTGGAAGTACACAGTTTCTATATTAACTTTGTGTGTGTGTGTGTGTGAATGCATTTGCAGCATTGTCTCAGAATGTGGCTGAAGCGAACAGGCGGTCTCACTGTGGAACATGGACACGTGAGAGTAACGGAGGAACATTCAGCTCCCCAAACTACCCCAACACGTACCCACCTAACAAGGAGTGTGTGTACGTACTTGAGGGTATGTACCTCTCTAACATAGTCTATTCTTATTATTCACTCTACCAATACAGTGTGTGTGCATACATTGAAAACAATGTATTGAACTTTACTGATTCAAATGTGTACAGAATTTCTACATGAATAAAATATATTACAACAATAGAATTATTGCCAAAAGTGGTTAAACAGGATGACCACACACACACCCATACACACACATTTTCTAAACCGCTCATCCTTCTGGGTCGTAGGGGGGGTGCTGGAGCCTATCCCAGCACTCTTTGGGCAGAAGGCAGCATACACCCTGGACAGGTCAACAAAATGACCAAACTGAGTTAAATATATTTTTTTCATGTAGAAATGATGTAAATTTAAAGCATCCCTTTTTTCAAGACCTTCTGAAAGCACACATAAAAGCATACATTCCTTTCTGTACTGCTCTCATGCAGTGCTCTTCTACATTCTCAGTCACAATGGCAACAGTGACGCCAAGCCTGTCATTTACTTTTATTAGGACATGCCCATATAAATAATATTAAAGTAGCATTTTTTAATGACTATAAAGTATGTATTTAGTCTCCTTTGTAACAAAACATTGTATCTATGAAGTGATAAAGAAAAGAAAAAAAAGATTCTTAGCTTTAGTATACAGCACAGTGTAAAAAGCTTCCGAGAAAATGTTATGTAAAGCCATTTTTCTGGATAGTAAGTGTTTAATCATTTAAAACAACCCCACTAACATTAGAATTAAACCAAATTAGTATTGAGATTAGAAAAAAACAATAATAAACAATACACTGTGATTTTATGTGTGTGTGTTAGTTTAACCCAGTGGTTGGAGACCACTGCCGTAACCATTTTCAAAGCTGTCCTTAAAGAAGTACACTTTCTACAGTTAGCATCCAATACATGCTTTAGTGAATCAATGCTGCATTAAATGAAATCAGGTGTGCTGCTGAAGGAATTTAACAAATCCATGTGATGGCTGGAGTGCAGCAAGATATAACTTTTTAAAAACAAGAAATTCTTGAAACACTTTATGTGTATTGATGTTTATTGTATTTATTCTAGTGCTTTTACTGGCACAAACACACTTACTTGGCTTTCAAGGACTTTTGCATAGTACTGTCTGTTAATTAACAATATAGTATTCCAAGTAATTTTGGACCATCTCTGTTGGTCAGTTCATCATGAAATGTTCACACAATATAAAGAGCAGCTGCCATTTTCAAGTAATGTAAAAATAAAAATGAATATCTCCTGTTTTCAGCATTGCCACGGAAGAGAATCGAGTTGGTGTTTGATGAGAACTATTATATCGAGCCGTCCTTCGAGTGTCGATTTGACAACATTGAGATCCGCGATGGACCATTTGGTTTCTCTCCCCTGATAAATCGCTTCTGCGGATCTCGGAGTCCAGGAGTGGTCACCTCCACAGGGCGTTTCATGTGGATCAAATTCACCAGTGATGAGGAGCTGGAGGGACTAGGCTTTCGAGTGGATTACACATTTCCTATAGGTAAGCACATGCAATGCTCTTTTTGTCACTTTGCAATAATCCTTTGATTATTTATTGATATTTATTTATATGTAAGTCTTCCTCTATCTGCAGATCCCGACTTCCATCTCCATGTTGGAGGACTGTTAAATCCCATTCCAGGTAAACACAATCAGTACTCAACTATCATCATCATTTTGTCATGTTTGTCATTTACAACTTGTGCAATGTTACATTTGGTTGAGAAAAGTATTTTCAACTGTAATGTACATTTTTTAACATGATACTAATTATGTGTCAGAGTTACCTGAGTATGTAGGGATATCAAATCGCTCCCATTTAATCTGAATTTGGAATAAGGAGGTTGTCTACCCTGACAAAAAGTGATGTATTGAGTTTGCTTGATTTAAGTGTGTACCACATGTACAGATTGGTAACAAATGAAAGGTAAAACCTGAATAAATAAATGGAGAAATATGTAGTGAGTGTAGATGCTTTCAGATAGGTGTACTGCATGACTAAACAGTGACTAAAATGACATTCGCATTGAGATCTATGGGAAAGACATCAGTAGACAGGGTTAGAAATTGTGGTCATAGGTGCACATCCAGTGACTGTGGTGCTTGTGCATTAGTGTGATATTTGAGTACAAACAGAAGGTCCAGTTTTTGTGTTATGCTGTGGAGGCATTTTGCTGGCATGGTTTGGGTCAATTTAGAGGGAAGAGTCACTGCAAATCAATACAAAGTTATTCTGACTGATCATCTTTATCCCATGATGAAACATTTCTATCCTGATGTGATGTCTCAAAGGATGACGCCTTCACCCACAGAACACGAGGAGTCAATGAATGGTTTGATGAGTATGAAAATGATGTAAATCATATGATATGCCTTCAAGCCACCAGATCGCCACCTACTCGAACACTTATGGGAGATTTTGGGCCGAGTGTACTCACCACCATCATCAAAACACAAATTGAGGGAATGTCTTTCAGAGGAATGGTGTTCTATCCCTCCAGTACAATTTCAGAGACTTGTAGAATCTATGCTGAAACACATTAAAGCTGTTCTGGCTGCTTGTGGTGGCACTTTGCTAAGATTCTTTATGTTGTTTTTTCCTTAGTTTCTTTAATGACATGCTCATTTTAATCAGATCTACTCATCGTGTCACTTTATCACTTTTCAGTGTGGCTAACTTGTATAAGTTAACTCTAAATTGCTGTGTTTGTGTTGTGCTGTGTTTGGCTGTGCTATGTTTGGTTTACTTTTTTTCCTAAAGGACCCTCATCCTAATTTATCACATCATTATACTTACTACAAGTTCTGAGGGAGCACTGCACACCACATCAGATATCAATATTATTTACTCTAAACTTGGTTTTGGAAGCCAAAGAGATAGCACCCTATCTACTGGAAGTACACAACACTGCTACAGCATCTCATTCAGACTCAAACTGTCAGCCAGCACTCTATTCAGGGTAGTTCAGTTTTCTTATTTGACAAAAACAGTGTGGAAAATGAACTACTGACGATGAATTAGTTCCAACCTAAATCTGACACAGCTGATTAAGTCTTTCTGAAGATGTTAATATTTCACTCAGGTGTTGAAGATTATGGTTAAAACTGAACTCTGCAGGAAAGTTAAGTTTCTGGATTTGTGATGATGGCATAATGAGATCCTGTCTTTTCTCACCTATCTGTCTCTCTGTCCTCATCTTAGATTGCCAGTTTGAGCTGACTGGACCAGATGGCTTGATCAGATCCAGTCAGGTGGAAGAGGAGAATAAAGTGAAATCTGATGAAGCTGTGGACTGCATATGGACCATCCGAGCTCCACCTAACAACAGGGTTGCTGAGGCGTTATTATCAGACTTCACTCTCCACTTCTCTGCCCCTGGATGTGAAGCTTAACATTGCTGTCATAACAAAACCTTGTAAATGTTCACCACATTGGGGCAAATAGATGTTCTTAACATTCTTAGTAGTTTGGAATTTCTGTTGTCATTAAAAGTGCATACAACATTAAGGACACCTGATGTTTTCAAATGGTGTAAAGAAATATTCAAACTAAAAAAATGTTTGATATGACAGCGATGAACTTTATGTAACCCACTTTAGATTTCTCCCACTGTCAGCACCTCACTGTTTTCTTCATCTCCCCTCCTTTTCCTTATCCTAACTCATCCCTGTCTTTCATACCTCTCACTTTTCTTTTCTCTTGCTCGCCACAGATCTACCTTCGTTTCCTGGAGTACCAGTTAGAGAATTCCAACGAGTGTAAGAAGAACTTTGTTGCGGTGTACGATGGCAGCAATGCAATTGAGGACCTGAAGGCCAAGTTCTGCAGCACTGTTGCTAATGACCTCACGCTTGAAAACGACGTGGGGGTGGTCAGAATGTGGGCTGACGAGTCAAGCAGACTGAGTAGATTCCGCATGCTCTTCACCTCCTTTGCTGACCGTGAGCACTCTGTCCATGTCTTTCTTCCATTTCCTCCATTTTCAAACAGTCCTCTTTAAACTTCCTTACTTGTTCAAACTTGAAAAGACGTATTTATAGAGAAAGCAAAAGGTGCTTTTAAAATATTGTTATATCAGCACAGATCTTACCAAAAGAACCAAAGTAAACTTAAAAACTGTAAAGCAATTGTGTTGATGTAACAAGACGTGGGTAGTAACAGAATACATGTAACAGCATTGCGTAATCGGTACAATAAAAGCTAACTATATTCTGTTATAGTTACAGAAAACATACAGTAATCACATTACAGATACATTACAAACATAGGAGGATAACTAGAAGGATTACATTAAAACCACTCCTAAATCCTTTACACACTGAGCACAATTTATTTATCTAAAAGCTGTATGCAAAAATGCTCCTGAAGTGAATATTATTGCACCAGTATTTACCAGTATGTAATCATTTTGTTTCGCTAAACAGTGCAGGTTTCCTCTTTTCCTTCTTTTAAGTTAAAGGTGTCTTTTTAAAATTTGTTTTTAACTAGGCTTTATATAATTATAGCACTTTAAAAGACAAGTAATTGCAAAGAAAATAATCAAATTACCTTAATCTAGTAATGTTTTGGATTACTATATAAATAGTTTTGGATTACTAAAGCATTAGTTACAGGTTACATTTATTTAATGAATCATGAGCCATTTTTTTTTCAGTGTACTTGAAATGAATATCCTCAGAGGATCTTCTAGGTGTATTTACTGCCACAACTACGGATGGACAGAAAGAAACATTTATAATTCCAATCCTGACATTTCCTTTCGAGAGTCAGTCCTTTCATTATACTATCATTACCTAAGTGTTTCCTTCAGCTGCTTTTTTAAATAAATTAGTTTTAATGTGGTTGTGTATATGATGCTGAAAAATTAATTACTGTAGCAAATAAAATTGTAGGACAGGTACTATCCAGGCATTATCCAGATGTATAGCGATAAGCCTAATATTGGGTTCGTTTATTTATTTAAAGAGGAATCCCATTGAATTTTCAAACATTTCTGCAGAATTTAATTATTGAGATGTTAACAGTCATTCAGAGTTGTTTGATGTGAAATGCTGCTGGGTCCACCATGTGGTTGCTGTTGGTACTGCAAGGTGACCTTTCAGTGCATCCTCTGTCTTAGTGCCCCTCCAGTCAGGAAATCTTGGTCACTGTAAAATCACTGTAACTGTGAAAATATCTGCGCTCTTGTGTTTACAGCTCCATGTATGTCCAACACCTTCTTCTGCGACACCAACATGTGTATCAACCAGACACTGGTGTGTAATGGTATTCAGAACTGTGTCTTCCCCTGGGATGAAAACAACTGTAAAGGTATGTCTATGTGTTAGCTGGCTGGTAGATGGAGCTCTAACACATTAATCACTGTGTAGAGCTGATGAGAATATAGGTGTGAATCTCTGACCTCACAACATGTCGATCATGCCTCTTTAGGAAACAATTCAGTATATCTCAAGGGTCATCAAGACGTTTGAAAATTAGAGCTGACATATTGGTATCAGTGGGTATCCATATCCATTATCGACAGAAAATGCTGGACTGGACTTTTCCTCAACATTTACCACTCCTCAAAGAGAAAACATTACTGATTACACATCAGTGTTAGAGCCAATCATGGCATATTTTAATGGATTAGTATTGCTTAAGCCCGATCCATTTTTTTTTGACGATGTCGCACCACTTCTGGTATAAAACCAACATTAAAGGAGAATTCCACCTTTTTTTTTCTAAATTTCTGCATAATTCAGTCAGAGTGTTTTGATGTGAAATTGTTCATTGTCGAGAAACTGACTCATATTTCTTTAAAGTAGTGATAGGAACCAGGGGTCACAATATCTACAATGTAACTATAGTGGTTTACTTACTATCCAAAATGATCCGTGATTGTATTTTAAATGATCAGTATTGTTTTTATTTGAGTGATTTGTTGATAATGTTGATAATTAATTCAGATTAAATGGTATTAAATCAACCAAAAATATTCTTTGGGAGCCTGCATGTACCTCTCTGCCATGAATGTATTTTAAAAATGCATTTTAGACCAAAGTTTTTCATTAAACTATCATGATCAGGGAGTGTATTCATGGCCATTTTATGTAAAAGCTTTCTGAGAGGGAGCTTGTAGCAGCATTAATGTGCTTTATGTGTCTAGTTCTTATGGCTACCACTGTGAACAATTATGACTCAAGTTTCTCTAGAAAGGAGCAATTTACATCGAACCACTCTGATTGGCTGTGTTTACATACTAACCGTTTAATTATGCAGAAATTTAGTAAAATCAGTGGAATTCCCCATTAAGCTTGGTTTATACTGGCGTGTCAATGCAGAAAGCATAAAGCAGTCCTTAGTAACAGCAATCAAAACCAAGAGGAATGAGCTGCTACCGCATGTATATTAGAGCGACATGAAAACATGTTAACAAGACAATAAAACCATTACTTCACATAAGTAGTCCAAAAAAAGATGTCAAATCAGAGTGTATACCACTACACACAAATCAGAAATCAAAACATGTAAAAAGTGATTTTATTGCAGTTCATAGTTCAGTAGTTCATAGTGATAGATAAATTATCAGTCCAGTCAGTCAGTTTTCAATGAATCAAAAAAATCAATAATAAATACTTTATAAAAACTGTGATTTAAAAAAAAATACAGTTTCTAAGCCAATCCAGTGCCTCATGGCAGAGCTCAAAGTAGGGGGCGATGGTGCGATCATCAACACTTCACATGCAGTAAAAAATAGAAGCAAAAGAAAAATAATTCTGTTAGCCAGCAATAGTATTTTGCTTGCTAGCTTGTTTTGGTTGTGTTATCGTTTGTACTCTGGAGTTTTTCTGTAAATTCCAATGCTGTTGAATACTTTACCAGATCAGTCACTTTGTCAGTTCACTCACATGACAGAATTCCCCTACTGATCATTCTCTCTCTCTCTCTCTCTCTCTCTCTCTCTCTCTCTCCCCCCCCCTCAGAAACAAAAAGTAAAAGCATTTTCCATCAGATGAGTAAGACTCACAGCACTGTGATTGCCGTGTCCACTGGTGTCGTTCTTCTTCTTCTTATCCTGTCTGTGATGGTGCAGATGAAACAGCCCAGAAAGAAGGTGACACCAAGTAGCATAATATGTCAATAATTATTCCAAACCTTATGAAAGTAACTGTTTCACAGACAGAAAAAAGACTACATTCTGTAAAACCACACCCATTTACATTACTCTAGATTCACCAGGGAATTCCATGGAAGGTCACACTCTTTTATGAGAATTTGAACTTTTTATATCAGTGTGACAGTGTGAGATGAGCTGCTCTTTGGCCTTTTGCTACTTTGTGTCCACTATAAACTGCATAACTCCACACACTGAACAGATAAAACATGGTCATTTCATGATATTTCCGGTGGGCACCCTGTCTTAGATTACTGATAAGCTGCAACTGCAGAGTTTATGGAAATTCCAAGTGTTTTATTTACAAACATGAAATTGGTCTGTCTACCACTCAAAGGTTTGGGACCACCTGTCATGCTTTTAATCTTCTTGCATACAACAGTAATGTTTACAATAGCCGCAAACCTCCTAAACTAGAAAAAGTGTTTTTAGATGTTTAATTAATTAGTCATTGAGAATCATCACCAGTAGAGATGCACAAAGGACGTTCTGGATGTTTTTTTTGTCTGTTTTGATCAATGAGCATATTTAATTTGGCCTGCCAGAAACTTACCCAACTCCCCTGTCCAACACCTAAATAAAGACCTTTCCCCTGTCCTTTCCCTGCTTGTGTGTGCTGTAGGTGTTGGCACGTAAAAACCTGTTCAGTGCTGCGGAGCTGCAGGAGGTGCTGGAGCCTCCTCATTACGAGCTCTTCTCCCTGCGCGAGCGGGAGGTGCCAGATGAGCTGGCCAAGCTGTCCGAGGAGCTGGAGAGTTTTCAGAAGCTCCGTCGCTCCTCCTCTGCATCACGCTGCATCCATGAGCATCACTGCGGTGCCCCTGGCAGCGCAGCCCCTGTCACCATGGCAGCCAGAGTGCAACACCTGTCCCAGGGCTCAGATGACCTGCCTGTGGTTCAGGGCGTCCGAGGCTTCAGCAACTTCGCCACCCGGAGGAGCAGCCACGGCCCTCACACACACTCTCTCCCCCACACTGCACACACACACATGCACACGCACAGCATGCAGAGCCTGCGGGACGCGCTGGAGGGTGGAGCGTATGGGCTGGAGGAGCGGGTGATGGAGGAGATCGGCTGCAGAGAGGTCTTCAGCCGTGGAGAGGTGTTTGGCCATGGCGGCAACATTGCCATGGCACGTAGCCATGGCAACCCCGTCCAGCAGCGCTCACTTTCCATGGACTTTTGAACAGAACCGGCAGACAGCAGATGCCTGTTTCTGGAGACTAAGAACTCAAGAGCTTCAAACTCACAGGGACCACTGAAATGGACCTCTGGAAACAGTCATTCCTTTCAAACTAAGTATTCTGTGCATTCTTGAGGAGCGTCGTCCAGTCCCTGTTTTAGTTCTACTCTCAACACCTTTGTGGACTTGATTAATTGACCTATCCATGCTCTGAGCTATCCATGCTCGCTGTCAGAACAAAACAGCAAAACCTTGTATCTCCAGAATGGTAGCTGTAAAGGAGAAAGAAAATACATTCTTAATGTTTAATGTGAGTTAATGCAGAAAATATTTGTCCCAAGTAAATTTTCCCCATTATTGGTTCATTAATTATGAAATTTTAATTTTTTGGTATTTCCAAATTATGTCAAAACATAAAATATCAAAAATGGAAAACAAAGTTTTGTGCTGACAGTGACATAGCATAGCATATATGTAAAAGATCACACTGTCAGGATAGATCAGGTATAGTTTTTTGTCATGTAATTAAGTTTTAATATTGATGACCTACAGCAACATAGTGCAGCTTAGTAGTGTAGCATTATAAAGCGGAAGCTCAGTATTAGAAATTTACAGTCCAACCTAAATTCATTGGGTTGAATGGAATTTTTGCCAATGTTCTGTAAAGCTTGTGCAACCTTGTAGTAGTTTTCACAAAACACGTTTGTGAGTGGAGCATGGATAGGTCAGTTAGCTCAAAGGGGGGGTAGCTGGAACTGGACGAAAATATGGATTTGCTGGTGAGTTTGAAAGACCACTGATTCAGCAACTTCTGCTCCACTGGAACCTCCAGAAAGCCTGTGTGGGGGCTGTTTTGCTTTTCTGTATAACTTAATTTTGTGTTTATCTTATTTTATGGTATGTGTTTAAAACTGTTACCCTGAATTCCCCATATGACCAATATTGATTGTAAATACCATGTGACTATTATTTAATCCCCTTTGTTTTTTCCTTCACCATCAAGATTTAGATTGAGAAACAAGGTGGACTGTGCTTTTTTCTTAGGACGTTTGACTTTTCTGTGCTCAGCAGTTCTTTAGAATTTTTAGGACATGGTCAATGAAATAATACTAAGGTGTGCTAAAAAAGAATTTGGCTCTTAAGTCTCTTCAAGGGTGATAAGGAAATCTTTAGCTCTAGGAGTCAGCACTCTTCCAGTGGACTCTGTTTGTAAGTATTGTTTTGACTGACAGTTACTGTTTTTAGTTATGCTAATGTACTTTAGTCTATGTTTATAGATAACAATGTGTCATACTGTGTCAAAAGACATAATCAAGTCCATTAGAGATTACTGAACAACTCCACACGGTTTGAGACGTATTACTGAGATGATCTACATATGCAGTTCGCTCCATGCTAATCAGTGGAGTATAAGCTTCCATTACTTGTTTGCTACATTAACATCGCAGCTCCAGTGCTAAAACTAAAGAAGCAAACTTGAGACACCAAATATGTCTTGGTGCAACTATATACAAAAAAAATGTGTCCTCCAAAGTTCACTTTGGAAACAGTGTTTGCATAATGAATGTGACTTGCAACACAAAACTGCACACAAAGACCATCTAATTTTATACAACAGTTCAAACAGAGAAAACTATTATAGTACAAGTATTGAAATGTCAATAATTCATATGTACTTCACACTGCAGTTCATTTGGATAATGACCCCCTGGTTTACAAGACAGCATCTGAAGGTCTATATTTTTGCTATAGTTCAGCATCTTTTGCTTGTTAACTATTAAATGTAACGAGGACATGCTTGGGTATGTTCAATACTTGAAGTTAGGTAATAGAAGAATGGGTGAAAATATGGTTTACATTTTGCTTTCTTCCTGTTTTTTTCCATAAGCATGTGTTTAAAGTTGCTGTTTACTGAGTTTAATGTTGTGTTTTAGTGTTTGAAATACATTAGTGGATGCATTAAAAAGGGCATGACAGAGAAGGGAGGTTTAGGTAGCTGACAAAAAGTTACAGCAGGGCTGTACCCAAAGCACTAAAAATGTGCATAATGTGGGGTCTCTAAGACTGAGATTGGGAACCCTTGAGTTACAGCGTGCTGATGATATTCTTTTCTTGTGTTGCTGAGTTTAATTACCCCCTACAAAACTTTATGATAAAGAAGTCGCTTCTGACTTGATGTCTCTTTGATTTTTCTAAAGACCTTTGGTCAAGCCATTTGCCATCTCAAGCTCCAGAGGAAGTGACTGGCTGTGCTCTCTCTCTCAGTGTGCTGAGTAATGTAGCAGTGAGTTATGCTCAGTGTCCTCTGAGTGTGCAGAGGTGCTCAGCAGTGTTGAATGGCCTGTAGTTTGTAGTATGGCAGATGGAGCACGCTTCATATCGTCACTGTCTTAACAAATGTCATATCTCCAGAATATGAACTTTGCAGTACAAGGAAATGTTCTTAACTTAGGTGTATGTAAATGCAATTTATTCTAAGTATTTTTTAACATTTCTTGACCAGTTTTTTGTTGATCTATTCAATGTGAAATTTTGATATGACATCAACAGTATGAGACTGATTCTGGTCTTTGCCCTACAAACTGGTGGTGAGACTGAAAAAAATAGATGAAAAAAAGGAAAATCAGTAATAAATAAATACATTTCTCAATGCACAAATAAATTGAATTTTCTTTTTACCATTGCATGCTTGTGCTTCATGAAACCGTTATTTAATTTCCAGTCAAAACAGCCATTTAGTACAAGTTATTCATGTTTCAGCATAAGATAAAAGGTAGAAAACATATATTTAACAGAACAGTTTTGGTAATTTACCAATTCTTGCATGGTTGTTTGGGGTCCCGTTTTCTTTATATTAACGTTTTGAATTCCAGCTTTGGAAACTCCTGCTTTTTTCCTTATTTTCTTTTAACTTTCCTTATGCAAGGGGATTATTGCATATCTGATCTTCTCATAAAATATCTCCCCGTATTTAATGTCTAAGAATTTAATTTAATTTGACTGGACATTAAATAACTTTGGTTTGGTGGTTTCTGACCTTCGCATAGTCCCAGATTTACCTAGCTTGGAGTGTATAATGTACTTTTAGTTTTCAGACTACAGCTAGTTTTTGTTTAACAGTAGTTGATGTTTAACATACAAAATTGACTGAAATGTGACCTGAAAGTAAAAAAAAAATCTATGAGTGTGTGTAAAACTGTGAGTATTAAAATAGGCATTAGCTTAATCTTTCACGGAGTCCCACAGAACAGAATGACTTACCATCCCCTGCTGCTATGATGCTTGATAAACAGACAGATAAATAAATACTGAAATAGACAACAGACAACAGCATTTTAACAAATGCTCAGAGAATGCAGTGCTTGCCATCAAGACAAATCAGACTTATTTAAAGTTTAGACACACAAACACACTTAAAATGTCAAAGATGTTTGTCTGTCTCACTTTAAAAACATGCACATATCTTCTAGAAGTCCAAACATTAGTAGACACCTGCTCACCTGTTTCTTCTGAAATCAAGGGTATTAATAGGGAGTTTGTCCCCCTTTGCTGCAGTAAGAGCCTCTACTTTTCTGGGAAACCTTTACACTAGAAGTTTGCTGTGAGGATTTGATTGTATTTAGCCACAAGAGTATTAGTGAAGTCAGGAGCTGATGTTGAATGATTAGTTCCAAATCACAAACGCCACTCCAGCTCATCCTAAAGGTGCTCCATCACTCCAGAGTTCACAGTTCCACTGCTCCACAGCCCCATGCTCACATTCTATTGGATTTTCCTATACAAGCTGTGTAAGCAGTTAAACCCCTGTGCAATGGATGCTAATTAGAAGGTTTCTGGATACTTTTGAACATACAGTGGACATTATATTTGTCATTATTAACCTATGTAACAGCAAAATTTAGCTTACCTTAAACGTTTAGAAGTTAGAAAATCCCTAAATCTCAATAAAGCATTCTATCTGTACAACACAAGTGTCTTCATGAGAAATAAATGCAATATTTACAAATGGTTTGCATAAATAATTAAGACCATACTATATTGTTTGTTTTCAGCCGAGTAATACTGATGCTGTATGTTGTGTTTTGGTCTTCATCCAATGGCTCTCTCTTTCTGTGGCACTGATTAGGGAAATATGACAGGCTATTTACAGCCAGATTAATCATATTGCACTAGCCCTTATCCTTTTATGATAGCTGCTATCAGATACCATTCCAGAATGAATTATTGTTCTTTTCAGGACTGGGCTCGTGAAAGTAGGTCAACTCTGAGGTACTTTGTTACAGCTCTAAGCTGTTGTAAAGAATGATTATCAGAGGAGACTGCCTCAGCAGCTGTTCACTACATTAGAGACATCTTACAAGTTTAAAAACTTTCTCATCCCATTCCATATAGCCCATGTATGGAAACTAATCTGCACAAACTGTTTTGCAGTTCATTGGCCCATATTTATCTTCTCACAGCTTTTACATCACACTGAATAGAAGTACACACACTGATGAAACCCAGAGTTCTTACTTTGATAAATACGGGCCACTGCATTTGTGAATATATATTTGCCTATTCACCCTATAGCTCTGCCCTTCAAGTGTAATTGCTGTTCTGGCCCAGACTGCTTTTTTTTGAGTGAGGCACAATGCAGCCAATTTAAATATATATTTATTTATTTACATATATGAGTCTTAAAGACACAATAACAAAAGCAGCTTGTTTAATTCTAAGGCATAAATAGAGGTGGGAAAATGGTCATGTAAAAATGAATTATGACAGTTTTGGTATAAAACCCTCACAAATGTCATAGATGGTGTTCAAGTGCAATAAATAAATAAATACAAAGATATATGAAAAATATAGGATGTTGGCCCTTTAAAGGTTTTTCCTGCAACTATATGTCCAAGTCAAGAACTATTTAGGTACCTGCACTTTTAAGAGTGTGTGTACATAAAAGCAGTCGTCTTTGCACTTCTCTAACATGTTCAGATGAAGTCACAGTTGGCTTGTTAATTAGCCAGTGAACTGAGCCAAGCCTGTTAAATAAAGACAAACACTCAACTCTGCCAACCTCTGAGACCGTAGTCTGATCTTGTTGTGATGGGTGTGTCAGTTTATTGTTCATGTAGGCAGAACACCTCCACACATGCACCCACACAAACACACTTTCTAACCCTAGTCTGAACTCCTCATGAACTAGTCTTATCTATAGGTTTAATTGTATGTTTGCCTCTTACAGGTGCTTTGTGTATTTAATGCTGACTCACTAGTACACATGACTTGACTATGACATGTCTATATAATGACACAAGCAGACCTCTCCAAATAAAAAAGTCCTGCACACATAGTGCCAAATGGCCATAATATTCACATAGGACTTATTCAAGGTCAGGTAAGTAATTATTTACTTACGTGTGGCAAACAAAGCTCTAAAACTGTGTAAACGTTGGTCATTGGGTTATGGTTACATGAAGTCTGGACAAAGTGCAGGAATAAAAAACATGATAGCCAATAAAAGGTGCATGCCAGTTTTGTAGAGTGCATTAAGGATGAATTAAAGGGGAATTCTACCTTTTTTTTCTTTCAAAATTTCTGCTTAATTTGTTGGTTGAAATGTAAACAAAGTAGAAACTTACCAACTCGGATTTCTTTTATGTAATGCTGATGATGGTATAATCAGAGTCTCGCAAAAATAAGTATTTTGTGTGAACATTGTGGAAAACCCAAGTCTAATGTAGAAATGTTAGTATTTCACAATGTACATTGTATCAGAAACCTGTTAGGAAATGGCAATTCACTGGTTTAGTTTTCTCCAGAATTATTGCCCCCCAGTAAACTGTTTGGAGGGCTTATTAGAAGAAAGGTTCTCTTCTTCTCAAACTATGTGTAACTAGAGTAGATTCTGTAATCAGATGAGACAACAAGCACCAAAAATGGGTTTAGTGTATAAAGAGTTAAGGCCCTGCAGAAAAGAACTTAATCCACAATGAGAAGTATGGTGGTGGATCTGACACGCTGTGAGGTTTATTTCTTCCAAAGGCTATGGGAATATTCTTAGAATACTTGCCATCATGCGCTCTATCAAATAGCAGAAGAATTTGAGACAGTGATCCGAAGTAAGTCCACATAAAGTTGGTTCACTGACCACAGATTTAAGCTTTTATACAATATAAATAAATAAAAATTCTGTTACATTAACCATATTGAAATCCTCCAGATTGAACCGAAGAGGACAGTGCACATGTCAGGACCAAAGACCTAGAGAGACTTTCCATAGAGAAATGTTCATGTGTTCTTGTCCAGTTTTATAACAAAAGCAGTTCAAAGTGTTTACTCCTTCAGTAAAGAGCCCTGGCAAAGTGCTGCTGCTGTTTTCCATTTCTAACAACTGATTGAAACCTACTTAGACTATTGCCATTTCTAGGACTGCCAGAAAAGCTAGTGACGTTTATTCTCAAAAAATGGTCCCACCTATTGTAAATCAAATCACAATCAGTTGATTCTATTGTCACTTCCTATGTTAGTGGTTAATCTGACATATTAGGCCTTCAGTCTAGCTCCTGAAGTCCTAACCAACAGGAAAGTTTGCTTAGCTGTGTCTTTGTGGTTAGATACCACAGAGGAAAAAATATCCTGATTGGATATTTTTCTGTTAGGTGTTTCAAGATCTTAATTTGTTCCGACCAAAACTTAGCAATGAGATAAGAGCATTACTACAAAACTTTCAGAGTTTAAATACAACAATCATGATGCGCCTATTAAATAAAAATTAACTGAAGAAAACAGGCATGTATTTTTTTATTGCACAGAAATCATCATTTGTTCTCTGGGGGTTCCCCACTGAAGAGAAGACTTTGCGCTGTTATCCTAGAAAATTGATGAAATCAATGTGGGACTGCCGATAACTGTGGCACGTTTTTGAGAAAAATATTTATTTCTTTCTTTGAACAATTTCACCTCAGTTCAAGGTCTGATTTCTCTCATACCTTTAAGCTGATAAACCCCTAGGATGCCTCTTGGTCATCTTTATCAGGGCACTATAAATGCCCTTTACAAATGTTGCGACCCTTGCATGTACCTCTTTGCAGCAGCTTTTTCTTTTAAAATAAAAATATACAGTAAAATAAATTTTATAGTCTCAAACCTTATATTCCACATCAAAGAGAGGCAGAAAAGGTATCTTCTATCTGCACATCTGGAGTGTGACATCTGGAGCGCAACAGTACAAAGCTGGTCTCCAATCAGTCAGGTGCATTGGAGTCAACTGTTTAACAGGTATGCTACTGTAAGTAGTAAAGGGTATTACAGGACATTACAAATACTTTAAAACCATAAATAAAAATGAAAAAAAGTAGTAAAAACATAAAAAACAAAAGTGCTACAGTGTACTGATCATAAACACAATTCTCAATTCTGCTTCAGCTTTATAATCCCTTATTCACACAGTGAGAATTCTCTCCATTTTTCTTCATTGTCTTGTTTCACTCAGTGATTGTTCAAAAAAGGCTTTATTTGCATAAGGCAGCAAAGGCAGTCTCTCTCCGAACACGGCTTCTCTGAAGTTGCGGCGTCTCCAGGCGTACACGATGCTGTTGAGGAACCCCTGCAGTGAGACTGATATCGCCTGTACAGCAGCCAGAAGAAAGACACAGACACACATGCACACCAAGCGTTACAGAGGGGAACTCATACAAATAATCTCAGATCTTAGCCGTACTACTGTGTTCATTAGAAAATGAGAGGCAAAAATGAATCCTAGATCAACAGTCTTATTTCAACATTTTCATACATAAAATACCAAAGGTTTTGCTTCTAAAGAGTGACATAAAACAGTAAGAAAGTGAATATTAAAACACACCTGAATGACTAAGAGAGGAAACAGTCTGTCTGACTCCGAGCAAGCAAACGATAAACATATCAGAACGAGAGCTGAGGAGAGAAAGTTGCAGAGGAAAATCAGAACCTGTAAATCAGTCACTCACTCTCTCTCACTCTCTCTCTCTCCCTCTCTCTCTCTGTGTGTACAGTACCAGTCAAAAGTTTGAACACAGGCCCTCATAGAAACATTTCCCTCATTTTTCCTATTTTCCAGAGTTGATAGTAATACTGAAGACATCAAAGTTGAAATAACACATATGGAATTATTCAGAGACCAAAAAAAAAACACTGGCCAAATCAAAACTATCTTTCATTTTGCATTCTTTTATAAGTCAGTGCCTCATTGCCCCATACTCTTGATCAGGGCTGCCAAAGCTGGCCCATGAGGACATTTGATTTGGGCCAAAAGAAAATTACCAAAAACACCACCTCCTCACCCAAAGAGAGAGCAAGCATATTTTATACTACTAATAATTTATTAAATTCTTATTTTCCTCTTAAAATTCTAAGTATTTTAATACCAAAATATATTGCTCTAAAAAGAATTAAAAAATTATAATTTTAAAAACCTGCTTTTTTGGTATAGCTTTTGAGCCCTCTGCCACCACAAACATTGCATTTTGCCCCCCACCCAAGATAAAAAGTTCATTCTCATTCTCCCAAGCAGCATCATGAGGAGCCTCCTGGGACGGTTTTTTCAACAGGACTGAAAAAGATACATGTAATCTGGGACCTTGTTGTTGCTGAAAGCCCTTTGCTGAGGGGCAAACATATATATATTTTTAAATGTTTTCATTTTAAAATAAAAAAGCTGTTTTGGAAATAATTTTGTATATAAACATCAACTTAACTATTTTGCATTTAAGCCTAAGTCTTTAGATCAAAATGTCTTTAAGATTATGAACAATGCATATTCAGTAAGTTGGATTCAAATTTTTGACTGGTAGTATATATAGCAACAGTTATCACAAATAATGTTATATTAATGATTGAAATAATGTTTTTTGTCCTTGTAACTTTGTATAAAGCAAAGCTATTTTTAGATTTCCCTTTCATATTTTCTTTTTTTTTATATATATTATTGCTTTGATGTTATACATTTAATATATTTACTACATTGTTGCTGTTGGCACAAAACCTTGTGTCTCAATTTCATGATGAACAGGCAAACAAAAATAGTCCAAAGTAACTTGGAATCAAATCCTGTTAGATGGATTTACATTAAATGTTAAGAAGGCTTGTTCCACTTCCTGAAAGTTACCATTTTGGATGTCTTGTTCTTACATCAACAATATGTTTGTGATGTTCACGGTCTATCCATCTATCTATAATCTTAAAATTAATTTAAACAGTTTTTTCTATTACAATTTAGGACATACTAGGTTGTATATCGTTGCTGTCAGAACAAAACCTTTATCTCCAAAGTGGTAACTTTACAGGAGAAGAAAAAAACTGCTTTTGTTTTTGTGGTGCTTTTAATGAAAGTCAATATAACATGACTTTTAGGCAAGCACTTCTGGGCCATTTTTATTGGTCCATTCACTATGAAATGTACACACAACGTGAAGACCAGCTGCTGTTTGTTCACTGTCGGAACACAACAAATATTATATGTGTGTGTGAGCACTGACCACTGACCTGGTGTCCAGCAGAAGATGATGACGAGAATCATGTAGCGGGCTGAGGACCAAATTCTGCCTCTACATCCTTGTGAGTCTCTAAACATGCCAGCCTGCTCATAACGCCTGTACCAGCTCTGCAACCTCCAATAAACCAACTACAACAGAACAGAGCAGCACATCATCAATAAACGTGCTTTTTGGTCTGGATTTAGCGAATGAATCTTGTTATGAGTATGTGTCTGTGAGCACTCACAGTGCAGCAGGTTAAGACCGACAACACACTCGCAAAAGTAAACCCCCTAATGAAATTGTTATGACGTGAATCCTATTTGACAGAAAGCAGAAAATATGCTTCAGAGACAACAATTCTACCTTAACAAACATTGGGTGAATGAAGTATAAGTGTATGACTCACACCTACCACAGTAGAACAGAAATTATTATCAATGTGCAGGTGCAGGAAGAGAATACAGCTGCAACACAAAACAGAAATTCAGAAAGTTAATTTAAGGAGTCTCTCATCCACAGTTACCTTAATTAATCAAACACAGTCAGATTGAAACTGAGAGAGAAAGGGCATGTTCTCAAAAAGACTTTGTGTAGCAGAGTGAGACCGAGGAGCATCTGTATCTTTGCTAATCCTTGTGTCTTGTTCGAGCACATAAAAGGGGAAATCCACCCATTTTTCAAATTTCCACATAATTCAATGGTTGAGCTGTAAATGAAGCCATTCAGAGTGTTTTAGTGTGCAACTGCATGTGCGCCTATCTAGAAAAACTTGACAGCTCAAATGTCTTTACAGCGGCGCTGAAAGAAACCAGGGGTTGCAATGCCTGCAATGCAAAATAGCAATTTTATTCACTATCAGAAACCAAACCAGCAGTGAACCTAAACTTCTTCTAAATTCTATGTGTAATGTTGATGATGGTGAAATACCGTTAAATCTGAAAAAATAAGCTTTCTTTGGGGACTACTCTGCCTTACAACAATCTGCATGTACCTCTCTGTCATGAATGAATTCCAAAAAAAAGATGTTTTAGGCCAAAGCCTTTTGCAAAACTTGCAAAAACTGTCACTTGCAAAACTGTCATAAAGCAGCACATTTATAACAATTGCATGTAACAGCTTTCAGTGAGGCTGCTTTTATAGGCATTAACCTCTGCAGACATATGGTTCTTTATCACCACCACTGAACAATTCTGACTGAGTAAATTTCTATAGATTCGAGCATTTCATATCAAACCACTCTGAATGACATCTAAATGATTCCAATAATGATCTTATTGCAGTGATATCTGTTTAGTTTTGGGTATAACAATATTTCACCTAAATCAGTATGTGACCACCCACAGCTTGAGCACATCACTCAGGCTAGTAAGTGTCATAAAACTGAAAGTGAGAAACTAATCTGAACGTGACAGATTCACTGATGTTATTTGGCCAAAGTTTGTGAGGAAAACTGCATTAAACAAGATTTTCTGTATCTCAGCCTCATTTGTCGTACCATTGTGATTCTTATTCACACAAAATAGTATATTTATTGATATAATACACACTCTTACCTATTGCAGAATCTAGTGTCAGTCCACGCATTTTCTCCATTATCGGAGGCTGTAGGTGCTGGTATATAGGACACTAGTGACAGAGTCAGGGTTCTGATGTAGACAACATATCCTATTAGGGGTATCAGCCTGAGAACATATAATAATACAAACAATTAGGCAGATACTGCTGTTGAAATATGAAACATCATTCTGGGCCCAGTTTCCCAAAAGCATCTTAATGTTAAGATCACCCTAACTGGTAGAGAGGGTGTTCAGTGTGATGCTCACTTAGCAAGAATCATCTTTGTGCTCAGATGCTTTTGGGAAACACAGTGCTATTTGGTTAAACCAGTAATCCTGTCTAATAACATAGTACTAGGATAGCACCACTAAACAGGTATATTGAGAGATATAAATATATTCTTCTATGTGTTTACTCACCACACAAAGACATAGAGAAAATTAAATGCCCGCCAACTGCCCTGAGAATGTGATCAAGGAAAAGAGGGACAAAAAGTTAATCATAAGTCTGGGGAACTGACTTCATTGGCACCCATCATAAATGTCACACTTTCTCATTTACAACCAGAGAGGTCGACTTATGGCATGACTCTGCATGTTTTATTGCTATAAACTAGACACAAATTAGCTGAGCTCAAACTGGCAACTGTTGTTCTAAGTAAATTTTTTATGAGTGTAAAAATGGACTTGAACCTGGCGTTTATCGGCTCTCCCTGTAAGCTTTCTTTAGCAATGCTCTGCTACATGAAGCTGTGTGGTGCAGTGCATCTGCAGTGTGGTGGCCTTGAGGGCCTTCTAGGCTTTCAGAGAAGGCCTGACAATTTCTGGGAACTAAAAAAATTGTGTATTTTTTAAATTCTGCAAGTAAAATTTTTAAATGCCCAACAGAAAATAATTTAATTAGAATTTCATTCTCTGTGGTATTTTGACAGATACACCTTAGCTAGCTCTCCCATTGGATTAAAGGCCTAACTTGTTAGATTAACCACCAAGTGATCAATCAGGTTTTGACTTCCAATGATAGGGACTATTTTTTTTACTGAAAGACTCACTGCTACATACAAATTTCAAGTTTATTAAAAACATTGTTTCATGACATGCACATGCATGAAAAAATACATCCAACTGAAGGTAAAACAACAAGCAAATTATATTATAAGTTAATATGTCTGTCATAAGCTTCAAATAAAACATAGAATGTCTGTGACAAGCTTCAAATGTCTGTGTTTAATCTAGAATGGGCAAATGGGTTTGTTTTTTGTTTTTTTGACTGTGTTTTGACACTTACGGCCCAAACTGAAGGCCCAGCTTAAACAGTCACGGTTCGCCACTGTTTAAATGGTAATTCAATGAGCTTTAAAAGTTTAAAATTTACATCCTCAATAAGAACTGACAGAACATTTACAGTAAATAGCCACAACTTTGTTATGATTACATAACTGACTATAATCTGATCACTGTAGTCATGTCATGTGTGTGCTGTGTTCACAAAAATATCTTGATTTGGTTGTTACTATCGTCCATGCACCTGACATGCATGTGAGTGTGGATATGGGTGTTTATACCAGTCTCTCTAATCACCTGACGTCTGTGTTCTTCCTCTCTTTGCTCCCTCCATCCTTGAGCAGTATGTGCTGACTCACAGGCATAAATGATGACAAGAAGGAAAGAGATACAGTAGAAAGTCTGAAAAGGTGAAAGTGAGAGAGAGACTGTTTTTGTGGCTACAGATCTGTAACATCTCTGGCAGCAGTTGTACTGTAATCATAGACCTTTGCACTAATTGTGGAGTTGATTATAGAGATAGTGGTAATGCATTAATTCAGAGGAAGTGTTGGTGATATAAGTAGGAAGGGAATACATAATCAGTAAACTGCAAACTGTAAACATGGCCTCTAAATATATTACTGGGATCACCAGATGACATCTGACCCTAAATATCCTTTCTCAATTTTCGCTTACTATTTTTGTTCTTACTACATTTACTGCGTGAATTCGGTTTACAACTGTTCATAAGGCCCTTATAAGCCTTTGGAATGTCAGTCATGTACAGATTTTCTCACCAGAGACAAAGGCAGTACATCAGTACACAGGACTTCACTTATGCGTAGCGTTTCATAAGACAGGAAGTTGATGATGGTGGTGCCAATTAAAACAAGTGAAGCCAGGAAGTCTGCCAGAGCTAACTGGAACAATGGTTTAGCCTGCAAGACAAGAATAAAACAAAAAGATCGTTTGTAGTATTTTGTTGGAGATATACCAGTAAAAACATGAATACCAGTATGTGTACCAGCAGTTCGGAAAACAGGGAACGACAAATAGCTCAACCCCCCAAGACAATAATTATTAACTTTAGTTTAGACTTTTTCTGAACTGTATTAGTCTTCAAAGCAAAATCCTGAGTGGCACAATTGTCTAAGCGCTGGCCCTATCATCAGGGGATTGCGAGTTTGATCCCTGCTGATGCTACAGCCATCCGTGGCCAGGAATCCCATTGGCCTCGCTCTCTCTAATATGGCCCTCCCTCTCCACCATCATTCAGTATGATGTTAGCCAGCACAGGCGTCTGTTAGCTGACATAACAGAACTGGCGGTTAGCGTTTTCCTCCAAGCACGTTCAGCTGTCCAATGATATTGTGTTAGCGGCAGTGTGAAAAGATGCACTGGCTGACTTCACATGACTCGGACAAAGCTTGTATTTGCGCTCCTAGTGCTGATGGTATTGTGCGATTAGGAAAGTCCTAACTAGTGGGTAGAATTGGATATGACTAACATGGGGGAGAAATATATATATAGTCTATGAGTCTGTATATCATGTATATGGGAGGTGATGTGAGAGATGTACTTTTTGATTTAATTTGTGGCTGTTATATTTGAATTTTCTCAACATTTTGCTATTCATTTCTTATAGGGAAAGAAATTGTGTTTGAAAGGATGCTGTATGAAAACCCGTGATCAGCCCTAAAAGCACAAGTGCACTATTCCAGTATAGGCTCTACAGTCCAGCAAACTGCGACCCATGAAAACGGCCCAAAAAAAAGACAGAATAATAATTCCAATAACAGTAACTCATATCGTTATTTTTGGGATAAATATGAAAAATGTCACTACGTAAATCTGAATTGACATGGCTCACACTTACTGGAGTATCAGTATCGTTCTGTAGGTACAGCTCATGTAGAGCACTAAAACATCATATTAAGAGATTTCTACTTTTATTGCATTGCTATTGATTTTTGCAGATTGCATCATTAATTTTCTGGATTCCATCATGTTACACATGGCCAGATCTGTTTATGAATTTTAGAAGATCATAGACTTTTCCCTTAATGTTTTAGACACTGCAACGCCGGGGCTCCTGTTTTACTGCGACTGTGGCTTCAACAGCCAATAAATGGTAATTGTAGGAGAGTCATGTTACTGCGTTATCTTAGACCAATAAGGGAAATTAGATAAGCAGCACAAGTACTTCTTAGGAGAGCTAAATGAAAAATGAGAATTATTTGACCTGCCATTCATATTCACTAGGAGCTTGGTAACATACTGTGTTTAAGGTATTCATTAACTGGCACTAACTGTGACCCAGGTCCCACTATTCACTGAGCGTCGGTGCTAACTCTGTAGCGACTGTTCTTTGTGTTCTCACTGCAGCTCTCTTAGATCCATACTTGACATTTTTATCCCCCAACATACACAGAGAACTCATGCACACACAGACATTTGATGCGTGACTCACCTGTTCATTGAGATGTCCTCTCTTAACAACAGATAACACTAAAACAGAGCAGCTCCCAATCAAACTGGAAGAGAAAGCAAAAGTAATTGAGATTAAACAGTATAGTGTACAATATAAAGACTGTATAATACAAATAAATAAAACGTCTCTAAGGAAGTGGTGGCAAACTGCAGTCCTGGAGGGCCGGAGTGCTGCACAGTTTAGTGGTTTTCCTACTCAAACACTAGTTTAACCCATCAGTTAATTACCAGGATAGGTTGGTGTGTTAAGAGCAGGAAAATCACCAAACTGTGCAGGACACCAGCCCTGCAGGACCACAGTTCACCACCCCTGGCCTAAGAGATTTAATACTGAAATGAAGGGTTTCGTTCCTAAAATGCATTACAAACCACTTTAGTGATTTTTTTTTTATATACATGGTTGGGAGTGGGCTTTACACATACAAGAAATATCAATGCAATATTATGACTAACACCACCTTTGACAGAGAAATAAAAATGTGTTTTCCATTGTATATCAGGAAGGAAGCTTTTAGGCCTGTATTTATTTTGTTTCAGGTTATGTAATTCTCTGTGCGTGACTGCACTGCCGTCAAGTTTTCCCCTCGTTCTGCGAGTTCTTCTAGTCAGGAACCTTATCCTTTAGACATGTAGCACTTTAGCACGTTACATAATCCTTTATTTTATTCACTTATTTAGCAAAACCCATATTACATACCATGAAGGTAAGGCTAGTGCGCCTGTATAGCTGATTTCTTTTCACAAAGTTTTGTAAGGACGTAAGACTTAAACTCTTTCTACTCTCAAATGAAAGCTAAAAGACAAACTGTTTACTGTTTAACACAAATTAGTCTCAGCGCTGGCAGACTGAAGGGTTCTTACCTTAAACTAAGCACAGAAATGTAGATGGAAGAGAGAGCGGCGAGCTGGACAAGGTAAAAAAACACAAGTAGACAAACAAGCAGGTAAACAAAATGAACTTAATTAAAGTCTGAAATGCACTCTAAGGTCAGACACAAGGCAGTCCTGATCATTTCTCCGCATGTCTCTGCGCTCTGTGTGTGTAAACTAGTTTTAGTCACACATGATAAATTCACCTTGTCGTCCGATAAGCCACTTGAGTTCATGTCGCCGTATCAACAGAAAATCCAGTGGACATAAATCTGGAAAGCGAGATAATCTGTCATTTACATGTCCGTTCAGTGCTGCATAGCGCTCCTCCTTGACCGCATCTCGCACTGGACAGTGAACAAACTGCTGCGTGTTAACTAGTCTGTAGTGTTGTTTTTTTCCCACCTGTATTCTGACAACCCCCGCCTCCTGTGTCAGGATTGGCTGATAGTGGCCTGAGGTTCCTGCGCTTGGATTGGTTAGTAGATCATATTTACAAACAGCCCGCCAATCAGTTTACCATTACGAGTTTATATGCAAATGTGATCGTTTGCGTAAAAGCTGATTGGGCAGAAGGGCTCTGTGTTTCAGTTTATTAGCGCCTCACGCTCTGTATACACATATACACACACAGTTACAACCAATGAAGACAAATTAGGTGATTTACAACTGAACAAATGACAGCATGTATAGCTTTATGATAAAAATTATAATGACTGCATGTTTTCCTATTTTGAACAAATCATAGATAACAGAAAGGCTTGACTTCTCAGACGATGAAGCTAAACATTTTCCTGTCAGAGTGGCAGAGGTATAGAGGCACAGAGAGACTTTGGAAATGCCTACTCCCTACACACTTAAAAAGATGGTTCTTTAAAGTTTCTTTAGTAAATAAAATGAACCATGAATACTCAAAGAACCCTTTGCAAGGTTAAATGGTTCTTTGCATCTTGAAAGTGTTCTTCAGATTGATGCAGAATGTGCTGTAGATGGTTCTACATAAAACCTTTTTGAAAAGGGTTCTATATAGCACCAAAAAGGGGTCTTCTATTGCAACAAGCTTGATATGTAACAACAGAAGAACCCTTTTTGGTACTATATAAAATCCTTTTCAAAAAGGTTCTATATAGAACTATATGCAACCCATTCTCCATCAATCTGAATAACCATTTCACCATGCAAAGAACCCTTTAAACATGCAAATGGTTCTTTGACTGCTCATGGTTCTATACAGAACTGTTGTCTTTACTAAAGAACCTTGAAGAACCATCTTTTTAATAGTGATGGCTAAGGGTGTACCTCAAAGATCAATTCTGGGGCCCCTGCTTTTTACTGTATGTATTAACAGTCTTTGTCAAAATGTGCAAGTTTTCATTATTATGCTGATAATACTGTGATCTACTGTTCAAGATGCTTTTAATATTTTACAATGCAGACTTTATAGTCTTAAAATTACAAATTCAAGGAAAATGTCCTCAAACCTTCTGTCTATCCCGACTAAATGTGAATACAGTATATACAAATACCTTGGTTTGGTATTAGATAGTTCTTTGACATTTAAGCCTCATATTATACATTTGGTAAGGAAATTGAAGCTAGGATTTTATTTTAGGAATACGTCTTGTTTATCCTTTGAAACTAAAAAGAAACATTGTTTCTGCTACTTTTTTTCTTTTACCAGCAATTGATTATAAAGATGTCATTTATGTGCACGCACCTTTACACTGCTTACACACATTAGACACTGTTTATCATTGTGCTTTAAGATTTATTAGTAATTGTTGGTTGATTACTCACCACTGTGTCCTTTATGAAAGAACAGCTTTGTCCTCATTGACTACACATAAGCTGATTTATTGGTATATTTTAATTTATAAATCTTGGTTCTTTTTATCTATGTAATTTTATATCAAACAACTGGTGCTCTCAAATTGTGTATTCCCACTATATTTGCTGAGTTAGGAAAATGAGCTTTTAGTTATGCCGCAACATCTGGAATTTGTTATAGACAGACTTAAAACTTTAGGAACTTGTATTATTCAATACTTTTAAAAACATTCTTCAAACAGTGGAAGTGAGTAAAACAACGATCCCAGGAAGGTTAATGAGATTTTCTTGGTGTACAGGAAGACGTGGCTAATATTATTTATCATAAAATTTATCTAAGACAACATGTGATATTAGCCAAGACACAATTGTGTTGGGAGGCCAAAGGAGTCTACAGTGCAGATACAGAGTTGATAGTGATATATGTTAACTTTACAGTTTACTTATTTTTTATTCTTTTTCTTCATTAATACTAAACTAGTATTGTTCAGTTCCCTTTTATTTGGCCACAACTCAAACACAACTCAAAAACTACTAAAAGTGGTGTGTGCTACCCTCTACTGGACAATGGTAGCATCACAGGGTTGGAGTATTGAGAACAGTCTAAGAACACTGAAATGATCTAAATAGTATATAGACTAAGTTAAATACTACAACATAATAGTAGAATAAAATTACTTTGACATGATAATATAATACTTAATAGTTGATTAAAGCTCAATTAATAGAACAGCAACTACCTTCATCACAGTATTAGAAATTACTATACTATTATTACTATATACAGGTGCCTCCTCCACCAAACTTTACAGTTGGCACTATGTATTTGAGCTAATATGGGTTTCTTGCATCTGCCAAACCCAGATTCATCCATCAGACAGATGATGAAGTGTGATTCATCAAGCCACTTCCTTCTAAGCTGTTGTTGCTACTGTACATTTCCACATCCATGGTCCAAGGACCCCCACATGGCCGCCACAGATTTGAGTGGTGGATTATTCTCAGCACTGCAGTGACACTATGTGTTAGTGTGTGTTGCACTGGTCTGAGTGGATCAGACACAGCAATACTGTGGAGTTTTTAAACACATCTGTGTCACTGCTGTACTGAGAATAGTCCACAAATCAAAAATATCCAGCCAACAGAGTCCTGTGGGCAGCATCCTGTGACCACTGATGAAGGACTAGAGGATGACCAACATAAATTGTGCAGCAACAGGTGAGCTACTGTCTCTGACTTTACATCTACAAGATATCTAATAGAATAGATAGTAAGAGCCTGCTTTCACCTTGCATTAACATGTGTTTCATGTCTGGATTGTATCTGGATAAACTTTGGCTGGATTCCATTTCACTAAAGTGCATTGCCAGTTTGACCAGATGAGATCTGATTGTACTTTTCCCACATAAAAAGCTCAGTGGCACATATGTCATTACCATTTTATTTTTGTTTACACTTTTCTCTTTCACAATACAAGTCAATAAATCTTGGATGCTTTCATTGGCCCAGAGTGGATGAAAGGTCTAACTTCAGCCTCACGTATCCTCCATCTTTAGTTTCCTTGTTTAAAATCTCACCTAGTCAGCACTCACCACATGTGTTTCCACTCACATAATTACAAATAATGAAAAGCAATTCTGTTTACACTTGTTTTAAACATAGTCAAGCACCCGTTTCTGACCACCTCCAAATGTGGCTTAAGTGATCCGATTGCAATCCAAACACAATGCGTCCTGGATGTGTTTACACTGGTCATGCAGTCAAGTGAAATCTGAACGTGATCCGATCACCAAAAATGCATATCAAAGGTGCAGTGCGTAACATTTAGCATGATCTATAAGTAGAAATTGAATATAGTACACAAAACCATGTTTTCATTAGTTTAATTACCTGTAAGTACAAATCATTCTGTTTTCATTAGCTAAGAATGAGCTCTTCATATCCACAGGGAGCAGGACCTCTTCCAACATCGCCATGTTGCGCTGCCATGTTTCTACAGTAGCCCAGAACAGATAAACCAAACACTGGCAGCATTTCTGCTGCAGGTTGGAACTAAACTCTGCTGGAAAGTATATCTCCAAATGAGGGTTGGTGACCACTGCTCTAGAGAGTGCCTTTCATGTTTTTATGTTGAAGCAGCAGGTTGAATTTGGTGGAGCTGTATCACCGGTTGGAAAAAGCTGAAACAAGAAGAATCAGTGGTTGCTGCTGGTGCCGGCTTATCATTTGTGTTGTGAGAAGTTTGAGAACCCAAATTTTGACAAATGGAGAATCATACTAATCATTTAGTACAAGAACAAGCAAGGGAGGGTGAATCCTCGCCATCAAAGAAGGGAAAACATGACGGCCACTGTAGGTTCTACTACACACTCGGAAAGGGAGGGGTTTTCAGTTGGTTGCAATCTGCAACCTCACCGCTAGATGCCACTAAATATTACACACTGCACCTTTAATGGTGTAAACTGGCCCTATAGTAGACCTCAGGCCCAATCCCATTTCACCCCTTGCCCCTATTACTTAGCCCTACACCCCTGTTTTGCGCGTTTACGTCTGGGTAGGGTGTCCTATTATTGTTGAGATAGAGCGGCAGGGTGAAGTGTTAGGGCTACAGGACGCCTCAGGCGTCAGAACTGCTGCACCATTTATGGTGGAATGGGAAAATTTGGAAAAGAAGACTGTTTCATGTCACTGTAGAATTAGAGGTGGCCAATAATAAGTAATTGTCGCACCCCCCTCTTTGAAGGTACATGATACCCTAAATTTAACTAAAGACCAGCAGCAAGGTGGCTGAACTTTACCCTCCTCTGCTATCACTGCAGACTGGCAGGGTTGCCTACAGAGCACCACTAGTATCCTGTAAATAAAGTAATGTTCTTTTGATTTGAGGGTTGTCCATTTCATAGGGGAGGATTTCAACCACTACCCCTTGTAACTCAGTTCCAAGGGGCAAGGTGACATTCAAAAACAAGAGGTAGGGGTAAAAATAAGACATGGGACTGGGCCTTAGTGTTTAAAAACTTCAGCAGCACTTCTGTGTCTGATCCACTTGTATTAGCCCAACACACAGTAACACCTCAACACCACGTCAGTGTCACTGTAGTGCTGAGAATGATCCACGACCCAATTAATACCTGCTCTGTGGTGGTCCTGTAGGGGTCCTGGCCATTGAAGAAAGGGGTAAAAGTGGGCTAACAAAGTAACTTATGCAGAGAAACAGATGGACTACAGTCTGTAACTGTAGAATCACAAAGTGCACCTACATGGTAGGTGGAGCTGATAAGTGCCGAAACAATGACGTACTTAATGAAGTGGCCGGTCGGTGTACAATCAAATAAAAAGCCATCCAAGTTATTATTCCTCCTCAGTGTCGCAATCTGAGCCGGAAATGACGGAATGTCTTCCACGGTGGCTCTGGTACGTGGCAGCACGCACGCGCAGAGTTACCGGCTTTACAGCTGAGGAAAAGCTGCCTGACTGCTGGAAGAGAAGCACAGGAGCCGATTTACAGAACAGTTAAAACCACGACTTCATAAAGATTTTCTGAATCAAAATGGGCTTGACCATTTCCTCACTTTTTGGGAGGCTTTTCGGAAAGAAGCAAATGAGAATACTTATGGGTAAGTGTGAAAAAGTGAATGAATCCAGTCGAGTTAGCCAGCTAGCATTGCCTCGTTATCCATTCAGTTTACTATGAAGCGGTTCAGTGGCTAGATAGCCCACATTAATCCGGCAGAATGATCAAATTTGGGATGTAGGTTATGTATAAATAGTTTGATTTCTTTGACAATTACTTGACCTATTACTGTAACGTACTGTAAATGAGTATCATTTTACCTCGCCTTAGTTAGCTAGCTAACCTAGCTAGCTAAGGAGGCTAGCTAAAATGCTACCGTTAGCTCGTTGGGTAATGCTAGCCACCCTTCCCAAACTTGCTTCCTCTCTGTGAACAGCAGCAGTAAGTTACGCTTCTGGCTTCAGTTTGCGGACTTGTTACATTAATCTTTACTTTATATCTGATCCGTGGTCGTTTTTTTCATCTTGTTTTCATCGTTTTTCGAAGAACACGCCGGTCTAATTGCCCATAAACCACTAACGAATGTTGTAAGTCTGTTCTTTTAATAAAAACGCATGAAGAAAGGTTTTTAAATTAATTTTTGTGGAGCAACATATCGCAGAACGCCTCCTTGCTTTAGACTAATCAGGCTGCCTGTTCAAAGGTTTTTCTAAGTGGCTGTAATGAATGGGTTGTTAAAACATACCGTAAAGATATATACTGAAAAGTGTGTTCCCAGAAACATCAGATGTAGTCACATGCAAGTAATGAGAAGTAAATGTAAAAAATTACAAAACAGCGGTCTTCTTTTTTTTTTCAGTGGGTTTGGATGCAGCAGGTAAAACCACAATACTGTACAAGTTGAAGCTGGGAGAAATAGTGACAACAATTCCTACCATAGGTAAGACTTGTCCTGGAGCTCAGTGATCTGTTATTTTCCAAAATAGGTTGACCTTTGCTTTTTGTCACTGCAAAAGAGTTCTGTGTTTATAGAAATGGAACTCATATAATTAATCTTTCACTTTTGATGCCAGACTGCTAAGAATAGGTCTCTGTGGTAAAGTACATGCAGTTGTGTGGTTCTTGTAACTGAGGCCAAACTCTCTTGTAGCTAATTAATAGTTTACGTTATTCTTACATAACATCATTCTAGCCCAGAGGGAAGTTCTGTGAATGTGTCTTGATGACTTTACTTTTGTTGGGAAGGTTTTAATGTGGAGACTGTCGAATATAAGAACATCTGCTTCACTGTCTGGGATGTTGGTGGCCAGGATAAGATTCGTCCACTTTGGAGACATTACTTCCAGAACACTCAGGTATGGAATTGTTTTCTGCATTATGGATTTTAAACTTGAAATATCCACTCCCACTTACATAAAACATAAGTATTTATCTTAGTTTAGGGATAAATTTAAAGCTGTAAAATTAAATTTTGCAACTGCCAAAAAAGTGTTAAAATGTAAACTTTGAGTCTACAATTTAATTTACAATTATGATTATTCTTTCAACTTTCACTTAAACACTTTCCTGAAAAGATTTTATGTAGCTCACTTAAAATAAAAGGCAAAATGTAGGGCCAAAATGTACTTAAGCTGTTTTAAACAATTCACTACTATTCTTTCATATAACAGTCTTCCAAGTGTCAAAACTCCTGCCTTTTAATTTGACGGACTGTTACAGAGAAGCAGAAAGAATTCATGTTTTTGATAAACCTAGATATTTCTGTAATGTTTGTTGTTACCAAGGACTGGAAATTGGCTATTAATCAAAATATTGCAGAGTTAGACCAGATGTTTGCCAGTTTTGTATGACAAGAAAATCTATCACAGTTAATGTGTCCTTTCCGCAGGGTCTGATCTTTGTGGTGGACAGCAACGACAGAGAGAGAGTAGCTGAGTCAGCTGAGGAGCTCTCCAAAATGGTAAGAGTTTCATTGTTTTTATTTAATCTCTATAAGCAACCTCAAAAATGAGTGGTCCCCTCTTAGCACCCTCTTCCCCTGGTATGTGGTGGCTAATGTGTTGCCTCACTTCCTGTGTCTGTGTAGTTGCAAGAAGATGAACTGAGGGACGCTGTGCTGCTGGTGTTCGCAAACAAACAGGATCTGCCTAACGCCATGGCAGTCAGCGAACTTACAGACAAATTGGGCCTGCAGAGTCTACGTAGCAGAACGGTATACAGACACACACACGCGCACACACACATACATACACACTATGTATGTACACTATGACTCATTCATACACTTACTTAAATACAGGTTTTGAGGTTTGGCTCACTGTTCCTTTGTCTTGTCTTTTGCAGTGGTATGTTCAGGCTACCTGTGCTACACAAGGCACTGGGCTCTACGAAGGACTAGACTGGTTATCCAATGAGCTGTCCAAACGCTAGTGCCTGTGGCCTGAAGAAAAAAAGCGGTGTCTGAATTTGAGAAAGAAAGATAACATTAATCTATAGACTCTGTTCTAAAGAGTGTGTGCGTGTAAGAGTGAGCGAGCGAGTGAATGAGTGATGTGAAGGGTGATGAGGAGCCAACAATTATCATGTCTTATCTTTACTTTTCTATTCTTTATTCCGGATCTATTCCACTTATTTCTTCAGAACCTCATTTTTTTTATATGGATTGTGCTTTAAATTGCATGTTCACTTGATAACTGTGACAGCATTATGGAAACAGTGGGGCTAACTGAAAAAAATCAGAATATAGGACACTCCCTTAGTTTTTGTGAAGTGTAACTGATCTCTGTTGATTAAATTAAGCCACTCTGCACCTACGCTCCCCCCCAAGATTCCACAGTTTGGTGCTTCCTGTGCTAACATACTGCACATGCTTTCTGTACAGCTTTGTCCCCAACAGACATTCAAATCATTAATGTACATTAAAACAGCCCACCCTTTCAATTTAACATATCTGCGTATGTGTCTGTACTGTTATTCTCTCTGCGAAGGTACATGCTTCTGTAAATGTTTCAGGCTAACACATAGGACGTGACTTGAAGATTCTTAATGTCCAAAAAGTCTCTTTCACACAAATAGTGTTGGAACAAAATTTGGTCTCTGTTTCAGATAGTTCACTATGATGCCTTCTCATTCAGTCTTAACCTTGTAATTCTGAAGGCCTTGATTAGTTGATTAGTTGTATTTCAAACTTTTACTGTCATAAAAAGTGCATTCAAGATGTGAAGGAAGCTACTTTCTGTTTCATAGAAATTAACCCTTTCATGTAAGTCAAGGCCATATTCAGAGGCACAATCATGCAAGGTTGCACACTGGGAATATTTTTAATGGAAAACAGGCACCTTGTGTTTGACCATGAGCGAGATGGGAGCACCTTCTCTATGTAGTTAATGCAGCATGCTCCTGCCTTCCACACTGTTGCCTGTATAGGTGTTTGGCTATGAATCTAGCACAGTGCAATAAGGTTCCTCTCACCTGTGGTTTACTCTTTTTCTTAAATGATGTGCGTTAAGGAGATGTGAAGGTGACACATACACAGTGACAAGCAGTACAGAAGGACAGAATATGGTAATGCAATAATATAACAGTATGTGTAGCGTGATATCGTCTTGTTTTCTCATAGTATTTGGTTTTAATGCTAGCTTAATACTGGAAAATGCCCTGTTTTTGAGTTTTGTATGTGCTGTATGAAGATTCACTTGCCCTGCTTTTCTTAAATAAACATTTCCTGAGGCTACTGATTTTTTTTTTTCCCATTGTTTACAATTTCTGTTGGAGAACAAGGTGCTAATGGACTGACTCTCCCTCCCTCTCTCTTTGTGTACACTCTTAGATTAGATTAAAGATGGTCCTTCATGGGTCCTTTAGTAAAGACAATGGTTGTGTATAGAGCTATGAACACTCAAAGAACCATTTGCATGGTGAAAGTGTTCTTCAGACTGGTGGAGAATGTGTTGTATATGGTTCTTTTTGAAAATGGTTCGATATAGCACATTCTCCATCAGTCTGAAGAACCTTTATACCATGCAAAGAACCATTTAAGCATAAAAAAAGAATATATATATATATATATATATATATATATGTATATATATATATATATATATATATATACATACACTTTTTTGTATGTTTTATATACTATTGGTTTCTACAATGAAGACTGAAATTGAAGGCACAGTGTCTATTTAGAACTAGTTGTTCCAATACCACTTGAACCTATAAAGTTGGGCTTTGGGAACTCTTTATTAATCAGCACTGTTCAACAGCCATATATTCTACAAAGCAGTGCTGCTGTTGCACTTATTGGCTATGTGGCTGAGAGACGGTGGCGAACGAATGATCTCTTGAACAGATTTATTAGCTCACCTGAATCGAACTTGTCCGTGTGATCAGGCAGTGACGGTCATTGATTAAAGCCTGAAGGCTTAATAAGTAAGGAAATAACACAATTCGATTACATAATCTTTCACAATATAACACCATACAATTACAGTCGAAGATAAAATGATATTACATAATAAAAACAACCTCCTTGATTCTGCATACATTTTCTGACTGATGACTGTAGCTGGCTTTGTCCTGATACTGGTTTGTGATTTGTGCACCGCTAGAGTGATTTCCTGAGTAAGTAGAGACATCAGAGAATTCGTCATGGTGAATAAATGAACCGTTGTAGCGGACAATTTTAAAGAATCGATTCAGTGAACTGAGTCGAACTGCACCATCGCAAGCCTCTCCCAGGAAATTACGTCATATCTTCCACGGAGGCCATGACGTGGCAGTACGCAGGCGCAACCAGAACCAGCTGCCTAACACAACAGCATCTCACAGCGCACTGGAACTTCTCACTAGAAAGACAGTAACTTAATCTTAGATTTGACTTTTAATCCGTCATCATGGGGCTTACCATCTCCTCGCTCTTCGGGAGACTCTTTGGGAAGAAACAGATGAGGATACTTATGGGTAAGTGTGGCGGTTAGCCGTTTGGCTAACGGCAGACTGTGACCCAGGTTTAGCTGACTAGCTTTAGCCTAGCGTGGATAGCTGGTACAAGCTATCTAGGTTAGGTTAACTTTCGCAATTTTAGAAGAAGCGTGCCTGTAATTCCCCAGATTAGATAGATTAAATGGAAAACAATTTTTTTCAGACACCTAAACTCCAGGGTTTTAATGTTAGTCAGATAGTGAACTACCTAACCTAGCGTAGCTAGCTAACCTGCCTGTTTTGTAACTGAATTGTATTAACCTTTGACCACATCACCAAAGCCTTTATCTACAGATAAACCCATGTCGTCACTTAAAATATTAAAATTGTAGGTAAATTTACAGTCTAGCTATTAACACTGATCTGCTCAGTAATGAAAAGGGGATATATTTAGTGGATTTTTCAGTTGTAACCATATGGCTGTTTCCTCTGAAAGACGTCGAAAATGTAGTGCTGAATTATTCTTTCTTTCTTTCTGGCACCACTTTTTTAACTGCTTCAGTCTCCGTACTGGCACCCCGTTTTCTTTGAAAAATCCGTGAAAGATGAATGAACGCCTTCTGAACACAGTTTGCCGAAATTACGGTGAAGGCTGATGATATGTCTCATATCCACTCAGCCACTGTTGATGAGCCACTTACAGCCAGTCTAAGTTGGAGCTGAAGTTAGCTAGCTAACTAACTAACTGCTAGGGATGTGTAGACCGATATTGAAATATTCATCCTAATGTTTCCTCTTAACACTCATAGTTTCTTGAAGAGCACACTTTTAATTATAATTAATAGTAATATGGTAGACACACAGTCTTAGATTAGACAGTTTAGTTAAGACTAATATAAAGACTGAAATATTTCAATTGATTTTTAAATAGCCAAGATTTCCCTTTTTTATGCAAAGATTTTTCAAAAGTATCAGTGTTGATACTAGTGTCATGACACCAACTTTCATATTACTCTGTATTGGACTGGGGTAAAAATGGTAGCACTAATCTCAACTCATTACATTCTGAGCATGAGCACTTAGAACAGCAAAGCAAACATAATACATTAGATAGGAGGTTCTAGTAGAGGCAGCGTTTCCTAAAATCATACTTAAATCAGCATTGTTATTACAATTAAATAATAGGTAAAAGTAGCAAAACTACCAGCTTAGAAATTCCATTGTTTGCCACTATTCTTCTGTTTTGGGGGTCCTTTTGGTCTAAAGTGAGAGCTGTTAACTACATTAAGGAACTTTAGGCCATGAAACAGAATAGAATGAAACTAAATGTAAAAAGAATTAGAACAGAAGGGGAAAAATGTTTTTTTTTTTTCCCCCAAATACAGTAGAAGTAGAAGTAATATCATTTGGAAGTACCCAGAGTCACATCCACCAAGGTTTAATTAAGTACATGTAGCTGAATAAATGTAACTAGTTACTGCCCCACTCTGACATAGTAATGCAGTCAGGAAAATCATCTAGGTGTATATGCTGTCTGTTGAAACCCTTTTTTTGTTTGTTTGCTTGTTTTTCCTTTAAGTGGGTCTGGATGCTGCCGGCAAAACGACAATATTGTACAAACTTAAGCTTGGAGAAATCGTGACTACCATTCCAACCATTGGTGAGTTTAACATTTCAACACTGGCCAAAGAAAACCATGTCTCTCTATTTTTGTCCATTTTTATTTTTCTGCATCATTTCAACACACCAGCTGTCCTTTATGTTGTGTGAACATGTTTTGATGAATGGACCAATAGAAATGCTCTGAAATCACTTGGAATAAAATCTCTTAACATTTACCTTTCAATGTAAGTTAGTGTTTTCGCCCTCTCCTGTAAAGTTACCATTTTGGAGATACTTGTTTTTCTTTGGACAGCAACGGTTTACTACCGACGATTTACATTAGCTTTGACAAATCTCCAGCCAGTATGATTTGCATTGGTCATGCATTTGAAATCATCATGCTGACAAACATGATCATATGATGTTGTTATCTGACTTATGTATTTGTGTATTTCTATATAATATGTATATATTTCTTGGGAGAATCTCCTTGTCCTATCCTTAATTCTGTTACATGGAGTCAGTGTCATTCTAGAATATATAGGATAAGGTAGCAATGGATTAGCCTATCTATTCATTTGAATAGAATCTTTCTCACAGTACATGGAGTAAAACAATGGAGACTGACATCTTGGCACCAGATCTTGGTGTTGATATGGAAATTTGAGCCAGCTAGTTTTTAGTTATCACATGGCTGAATGCAGTGTGATGTAAGCTCTCGGTTGCCATGACATAATACACTGTATGAAGGAGTGTTTTGCTCTGTGATTGGTCTAATTCACTAGAAAGCTTCTTCTTGAGCATACAAGTCTGAGACAGATAGTAATACTTACATTATATTCCAAACATGATGTAAAAATGCTCTCAACACTTTTGTAAATAATGAGACCAAACAGTAAATATTGCCCCCAGTGTTAAACATTGGTATATGTAACATCATCTAAATGGAATCAGCATTCACAAGTCATTTTCATGAAGTGGAATACGGTCACAAATACCCATGTATAATAGATAATCAGACTTGCTTTGTTCAAATCCCTGGTAAAGTCAAACCACCTCTAGATGTCACTGTGAAACTCATCACAGCTAAAATTCACTCTATCAGCACAATTACTTTCCCTTTTCTCTGCCAACTGTAGAAATCCCAACACCACAGTGCTCTCGTTTCACTTCAGTTATTTCATCTTGTATGTGGGTGTAAGATGTGATTATAAATCTGCATGTCTAGTCTGCCATTTTTCTTTTACTGAATTTAAGCAGTATAAGTTCTTTTTCCTTCTAGAATGTGCCAGAATATGCAGACCACATGTTCCCAGTCCTTATAAAAGTTTGATGTAAAGTTCCTATGTTTTTCACTGGGCAGGATTTAACGTGGAAACTGTTGAATATAAGAACATCTGCTTCACTGTTTGGGATGTCGGTGGCCAGGATAAGATTCGTCCACTTTGGAGACATTACTTCCAGAACACTCAGGTGTGATATTACATGCAGTATTGCTTTCAGTTCATTAGTTCTGTTCAGAGGAAAAAAAATAAATGTCATTCCAGCATCATATCAGGTTTTTATGCCATTTCCAGTTTTCACTACTATTTTTTCCCTCACAAAGGCCTTTGGTTTTTATGTGCTAAACACACATAAATGCTTGTATAATCTTGTTTAGCAAGTAATGTTGTATGGACATGTAGTTGTGAAAGATTTCAGTGCAGCTGTAGAAAATTTTGTGGCTGAGCCCTGGAAAACAGAGGATAAGTGAAACAAGAGTTTCAAAATAATCCAGTTTTATGTTTAGATTTTTAAGAGTATTGTACTTATCAAAAATGATTCTGATGGCAAAGAGACTGTTGGCCAGTTGTTGGTCTATTCATCGTATAATTTTCATGCAATGTAAATGACAGCATTTTCAGCGTGTTCAAATAATGTAGTAAAAAAAGTGACAATGTATTAGGCTAAATCAGGGCTGTTAGCCTTCTTGGTTCTTAGGCCTGGTTTTGGTTCCTTGAGGAAGCGCTGAGATGTTATGGAAGTGTTCAGTTTCTTATTAATTAGGCTCTTTCCTGCAGCATCTGACTTCTCTCCTTTTATGTCTTTTCAGGGTCTGATCTTTGTGGTCGACAGCAATGACAGAGAGAGAGTATCTGAATCTGCTGAGGAGCTCTCCAAAATGGTAAGTCAGTCTTATACTTGAATTGTGAAAGCAGTGCTGTGCCTTTGCTCTGATGTACTGATTTGATGTGCTGGTGAACATGCTTGTCTGGCCTCATTGGTGTTATTTCCTGTGTCTGTGCAGTTGCAGGAAGATGAGCTAAGGGATGCTGTGCTGCTGGTGTTCGCAAACAAACAGGACCTGCCTAACGCCATGGCAGTCAGCGAACTTACAGACAAATTGGGCCTGCAGAGTCTACGTAGCAGAACGGTATACAGACATACACCTACTGACTTAATCATACACTTACTCACATCCAGATCTTGAGGTTTGGCTCACTGTTCCTTTGTCTTGTCTTTTGCAGTGGTATGTTCAAGCTACCTGTGCTACACAAGGCACTGGGCTCTATGAAGGACTAGACTGGTTATCCAATGAACTGTCCAAACGCTAGTGCCTGTGAAAGGAAGAGGCAGGGTAAATGTGTAAACGAGTGATAGGTCTATGGACTCTGTTTCGAAGAACCAGTGTGTATGATGGGACTGAAAGCTGGGAAGGAGCCAGTTTTCCTAAATTCAGCACCCTTCATCATGTTTTAGCTTCCTCTTCTACTCTGTATTCTTTTCTCACTTTTCTTTATTTTTATTTCAATAATGTATTTCACAATGTATTTCCTTATTGCTGAGATGAGAGGGTATTATGTAGGGCCGTATTTCCTGTGGCTCTTCCAGTCTTTCACAATATCTACAGCAAAAAGAGGAACCTGACCATACCCAATCAGGGTTTGGTTTTTGGATTTGCACAGAGTAAGCTGATTGCATTTGCTGATACATAGCTTGAAGTAGTATGACATTCATTTATGTGCACCATAACAGCAAATATACCCATGACTCATCTTCCGTTTTCAGTCACCGTGAACCAACACAGGTCGATAAATAACTAACCCCATAATTTAAGAACAAGTCCAGTATTCTTGGTAGTTCTTCAGGTCCACTCCCCCCCTTGTTTTTAAACCATTAGTACTGTTCCTCTTATGGGAATAGCAGCGTAGTTAAAAGTTGGAAAAAGTGCTCATTGAAAAATGGGCGACGGGAAACAATAAGTGTTTTAGAACACATTTCCTAAACAGGTCCACTGTACGTCTACAATTTTGAGCGAAATAGTTTTATATTGTCCGTTGTAGCCAAGGAGTCTCTGTAGACCCAGTAGACTACTATTAGAGCTTTTAAGCTCTAATGAAATCTTTTACACACACTAGCCTCAACATTCCTAAATCAGCCAGTGGATGCTGATTCACTCAAGACAGAAACTTATTTAAGCGTAAACTTCTTAGCTTCTTCCAGCCAAAGTTTAAGGCTGATTGTTAAAAGATCTGTTTTCAGCATACAGATTTAACCCAAGTTTCAGAAATAAAGAGGATAAGATGTCTTTGGGCCATGATGGTGATGAGGGAAATCACAAACTGACTCAGTTTCTTTATTTTTGTTTTAAATTTGGTAGCAGTTTTTGTGTCAGTCATGCTAATGTCAGAAATGTTTTTTTGCTGGTATTGTATGCTAATCCCTGGAGTGCTGCTGGAGTTTGCCATTGACATTTGAGACTTTTTGTGACTACAACCCTCCTTTGATTGCAGTTACAGTGTGCTGAACTTGCCTTTCTAGGGATGTTAAACAGATTTACATTCAGTTGGACCCAATTATCAAGGTGATGTTTGTGTACTTTATGTATAATACTGTTTTAGAATAAAAACCATGTAAAACTGGGTCACTGAGTCCATCCTGAAAATAAGAATTTCAACAACACAAACACATGCTCCGAATCTCCCTTTCTACCACATCCCAGTGAGTGTTTTATTGGATTCAGATCCAGTGACTTGAAAGCCTACTGAAGAATGTGGAACTCATTGTAATGTTCATGAAACCAGTTTAAGACTACTTTTGCTATGGGACATGGTGCATTATCATACTAGAAGTAGCTGTTAGAAAAAGGTAAATTGTGGCCATGAAGGGATGCACGTGGTCAGCAACAATACTCAAATAGGTTGTGGCATTCAAGCAATGATTTGAGTGGTATTAACGGGCCCAAGTGTGCGAAGAAAACATTCTGTTGACACAAGGCAGGTTGAGCCTATGGATTCATGCTGTTGATGCCAAATTCTGACCCTACCATCTGTGTACCTCAGCAGAAATCAAGATTCATTCAAGATTTTTCCAGTCTTCAACTGTCTAGTTTTGGTGAGCCTGTACCCACTGCAGCCTGTTGTAGCCCATCCACTGCACGGTTTGATGTGTTGTGCATTCAGAGATGCTTTTCTGCTCACTACAGTGGTCATCTGAGTTACTGTAGCCTTTCTGTCAGCTTGAACCAGGCTGGTCATTCTCTGTTGACCTCTCTCCTCAACCAAGTGTTTCCATCCACAGAACTGCTGCTCACTGAATGTTTTTCTATTATTGCATCATCCTAAATGAACTCTAGAAACAGTTGTGCATGAAAATCCCAGGAGGAGGAAAAGCAGTTATAGAAATACTCAGACCAGCATCAAAATCACTGAGATCACATTTTTTCCCCTTCTAATGGTTGTTGTGAACATTATCTGAAGCTGCTAGCCTGTATCTGCATTTTTGTATGGTCTGCATGACTGCATTATATTTGTGGAGTGCACTGTGTGTGTGTGTGTATATATATATATATATATATATATATATATATATATATATATATATATATATCCTTGCATTTTTAGTTTTAATTTATAGCTGTGTTATTCAGTACGTGTATTAAATTTATTTTTTTTTTTTACTTTTTTAAGTAATTTTTTAACTCATAGGTCTGGTTTTCTAACCATGGTTAAAGCCTTGGACTAAACTGCAGTACCAGTGTGGAATCACCATCAAAAATTCCTTTTAGTCTGGGATAAGGCTTTATCTGAGTCTGGGAAACTGGATCTTGGAATATTATTGAGGTATTAATCTTAAAACATATTTCGCCATCTGTGTGTGTGCACTTGCACACCTGTGCCAGCAATGGGCGCACCTTAAAGTAGGTGAATTCAGGCTTAGTGCTCCAATAATGGACCAAAGATTGAAGATACGCTTGTTAGTAAGCTAAGCGAAACTTAGGGAGGAGTGGAAAACGAAACTTAGACAGTTGGCCTTGGCATTGTGCCATCTACCTCCCCCTGTGATGTAGGCTGTGGGCGGGAGGATGGAGAGGTTAAATAGAGAGTGGAGAGAGGGGATCGGTCTCTTCTATCCTACAGACTCGTCTGCTGAAGTAGCTGGAGAGAGTTGGCGGAGTGCGGTTCAGCCTGCAGGTTCCTGACGCCTGTGTGGTGAGTGCCCCTGTTATTTTACTTCTTTTTGCTTTGGTTATGTGTAATATGTATAGGACTTTCTCAATAATAAATCACAATAACGATAACTCATCATTATCATCATCAGGCCACCTGAACTCTGGTCAACCTGGGTACTTCTTAAGGATTTCTGGGGCATGTAGCCCACTGCTTGCTTTTTATCTTGTAAGTGACCTTAACCATATGTATTTGACACATATTACTCGACTAAACTCAGGTCAACTGTTTCTTAGTATCACATTAATATGAAATGATGAGCGCATAATTTATATACTGATACAAAATAAAACATAAAATGAAATAAATCCAATTAAATCAGAAACCCTCTGTGTATTGATGTGTAGTCTAACAAGGCTATGATGATGTATAGCTTAAATGGATGTCTCGTCTCTACAGATTTGTGGAGGAGATGAGGAGGAGAACCCAACTGCCAAGGGTTTCGGGCACTCGGGTCCTCTGCCTGTTCTAGTGAGCACTGCGTTGTGGCCTCCTGTCATGAGGACGGGATGGACACCACATGGAGTCACTGGTCATGGTTCAGGGGCCTGCAGTGGACAGCGCCAGGTCTACTCTGACCTGCCAACGAAGCACACGACTCTAGAAGCAACCAACCACAAAACAAAAGCCGACAAGTTCACCCTTTCCCTTTTCCCTTTTGGTCGGCTTCTGGTTGTCTGTTGCTTGGTTGGCAGGTAATGGGGATGGCCTGCTGTAAAACAAACAACAACCCTTTTTTTTCTTTTCTGTTTTGTTGTTCAAGGCTGAGTGCATTTTTCCGATAAAAAACTAAAATAAAATAAAAATTGCAAAAACATGTCAAACATATTCCGTGGTGTTGTGTGTTATTTTTAAAATTAATCCTAGTTTGTTTTGGGTCAGAGACAATGCATATTTTCATATTTTCATGCTTAACTGTTAATCGTGTCACCATGACTAAACACTTATTATATCCATACAAAAATCTCTCTGGGATTGGACATAATTAGAGCTATAAAAATTGTAATAAATTATATTGATAATTGTTTTTGGAAGTGTTAACTGATAAGTGTTATCATCTCATTTTCCTAATAAGTGCTGTCAGTGTTGAAACAGTTAAACAGACAGAGAAAAAAATGCAGATGGAAGGAGGAAGTGTTCTGTGCACATTTCAAGCACAAAGTGGTAGTTTGATGACAGCAGTGGGTAAAGTTGCAGTATTTCAACCAAGAAATCTCAAAGTCATTCCAGATTTCTCATGGTGAATACAATTTTAATGATCACAGAATATTTATTTTGTTTTAAGAAGATAAACCAACAAAAAAGGGAGAATAAATGAACGAAAAGAAGAGAAAAATGCTAGGCAGAAATGAAATGGCTTGTGACCAACATCCTGTTTCTTTTACTCAGAAACCACAACAGAACGCAGAACTGAAAGTAAAAAACAAGGTCATTGAGAAAGGAGACTCTGACCTATCCTCTCTGTCCTATCTTATGCTTAAAAAAAGCAGTTGCTAGAGAACCACACTGACTTGAGGGAATATAGGTGGTTTCCAGAGTTGAAGTCTAAAGGGAGGAGGCAGTGTGTCTCTATGAGTTTCATATAAACCTCATATAAAAACCTGCTCATTAAAAACCTGCTCTGGACCGTAGCCTCAATTCTCTGGTGGAGCCCAACACAAATGGAAATAGAAGCATTAACCAGAACATTACAAACCATAAATGCATTTTGAGAGAGTCCTCTACAATTGCTGACTCACAGCATAGCCACACTAGTAGGTTTAGTATTTCCACCTAAAATATATATATATAAAAAGAGATGTTTTGACCAAAAACACACACTTTTGACCCATGACATGCATTTAAAGCCACCTGTAACATCTAATAGCATATGGATGGTCACACAATGTACTCCAATTGTAAATCTTCATATTATTCAAGAAATTATCTTTGGGCAGGGCGGATCTTCAGGTCTGTCTTGGACCTCCTATGTCTCACTACGTCATGACCTCCAGCTATGCTGCAGGGCTTAGAGGGCCTGTAGTGGACAATAGGAAGTGCACTGTTTTTTAGCAGCTGATTGGTTAGCATTACTGCTACCGCTTGTTTATTTTATAATGTTCAACGAATGCCAAAATCTGTCTGAGAAACAGATATTATTCCCATGAATTCTGAAGTGTACGAAAGCATTTTAACAGCTTAGATCTCTATGCTGGCCGACAAGACCCAATGCACAATCCCATGAAAATCGCACTGCAAATAGAGAAAACACATGCAACTTCAGAAACACTGCAAAGCCAGCCACAACACTACAGCACTGTATGTGTGGTTTCAGTCAGGTACTTCATATACTCACAATTTGTGTCTGCTAGCATACATGCATTTGAGAGATCCTGCTAGTGGGGGTTTCCTCCCTTTCAATGAAGTTATTTGAGCTTCTCCTTGTGAACAGCTTCGTCGTCATTTTAGGCATGCACGTTTTAACCAGTTGACATACAGAGTGATAATTCTCACAATTTACACTCTACAAAAGTCATCTCTTGTTATTATTATACTGCTCCACTTAGATTTGGCCAGTTTGCTAAACGTGAGATTTTTCTCATCTTTAAAAACACATATAACACAAAAGTAACAGAAATTAACAATATGATGTTATGATATACTATTCTGTTGGATTAAGTTGCAGATTACGGTTTTAACAGTTAATCAATTATCTATGCTGGAATACGTCTTTAAATTAACACAGACATTCTGCACAATATCATTGTTTGATTTTAAATTGATTTTAAATGTTTACCAGAGTGCCAAGCCAAAACAACACAAACTGTGACATTGTCTAGTTAACACTGCCCTGCATTTTACAACAGGTAAATAAGATAAAATTGTGCAAAAACAAAAAGAACTTTCCCTTTCCCTTTCCTTTGTGTGGAAACACCCTCTCGAAACTAGAGCTGGTTTTGTTGCTATGATGACAGAGAACCACCCTGTTTTGCTTGGTTATTTGGAATGTAGGTGGTTTCCAGTGTTACAGTCTAAAAGGAGGAGACGCTCTCTGTGTGTTTCATTTCAAACTTTCTCTTTTGAACCTGCTCTGGGCCTTAGCCTCATTTCTCTGCTGGAACACAAGACAAATGGTATCTGAGTCGTAGACAAACAACCATAACGGTGAGTTTTACATTTCATCACAAATATGTTTCATGTACTGAAATTGCTGATTCATTCTAGCCTGTCTGTACAAATAAGGCACCTTTGTTATTGTGCAGACATGCATAATGACTTTATTTTTATAAAAAAAAATACTCTTTATACTCTAATTATTATGAAATATTCTTATGATTTTTACAATGCTCTTGAACAAATCAAAATATGTATAGATGAAATGGGTGAAAACTATGAATATATATTTGTCCATATTTGCATAAGTACACCTATTTAACAAAATAAGTGTAGATTTACTCACTGTAGCTAACAATAAAACACTAAAGTGAAGAATTTTACTGCATACTTAAACATTTTGGATTGCATGTTTACACAATATGGATAGGATATAAAACAACATCTTAAAATCTGTTCATAAGCATGTTTTTTGATTTATCCTGAAATAATAGCACTTTCTGTTAAATAAGCATAAGTGGTGGGACAAAAATAAAGAAAGTAAACAGAGAAAAAATCTGTCCTTTATGTTTTGATGTGTTTCCCCTTCAGAATTCCCTGTGCTCTGCTGTCTGTAAATCTTAGTCAGATCAGGCTGACCATTACTTAATCTCATTAAATATTTATAGGAATTATTATAAAGGGCGACTGGGTTTCATTTCCTACTGATTATGTTTTAACATTTGTTTTTGGCCCTGTTCCTTTTCAAGTTCTTTACATTTGCCAATATTTTTCCATAAACATCAAGTTTTCAGCAAGCGCTGATCTAATATTTGTTTGTAGGCAATGACGGGGAAGGATGAGGATGGTGAAGATGGTGATGATGAAGACAGTGACGATGACGATGATGAAGAAGATGGCTGATGGTCTGCTGCCAAGGGCAGACCACGGGAACGGAACCAATAGGCAAACAATACACATTTGCTGTTTAGCAACGTGTTGATTGTTGATGGTTGAGAGGGAACTCATGGGTCCCGTGATCCTGACAGAACGCCACTGTCAGATTTGCATGCGGTGCTAGGCCTGGTTTGCCTGAGCCTGCTTAAGCACAATGTGCGCTGTTGAATGTACTACAGAGAACTGGAAAAGCTAAGAGCCAGTGAGATGGGCTTGTATATTCTCCACAGATGAATGATCTCATTTGAAAACTGTCTGTATTCCATTGGAAACCAAAAATATATTGTAAAAACTGTACAAATTTGTAACTATATTGCTAGGCCTGCATGTCAGTGAATCAACAAAACTAATGAACCTATGCATTTGTAAAGACTTACACATGTCAATAATTTAAAATGTTTTGAAATCTCCTTTGTAATTCTTTAAAATCTATTTAGGGAAATCATCAGGGAAAATAGACAAGCCTAATTTGTTACTAATGTAACAACAATGGGGCCATTCTGTTCAGAAGGCCACCAACTGGCCAACAAAGAACGGATACCTAATAGTATCTACGTATAGAAACTATGTATTTGTTAAGAATAATACACACAGAAAATAATAAAGAATAAACAGTGCAGTGACAGACTGTTCTAAGGGCAGTATATGTACCACAGAGAACTGTGAAGGCTGAAAGTAGCCAATAAGATGGGCTTGTATATTCTCCACAGATAAATGATCTGACTCAGAATTTATTCATTGCAAAACTGTAATCTGCCCAACTTAAAATGATATAGTAACTGATTACATGGCTTTTCGTGAGTTAACTCAGCTTGAGGACCCCAAAGTTCACATAACTCAAACTTCTTAGTTGAGTTAAAAATTCCCAGTTACTGTTTGTAGGTTTGCAACTCAGTTAGATAAACAAAACTGAATTTGCCTTTTTTCACTCAACCTTCCCACTAGCTGGCACTCCTTCTATCACACAGTCCTATCTGGCATATTTTCCTCTTGGGCTTCTGGATATGGACAGCTATGGTATTGCTGGGATTCAAACTCACAATCTCTTGATGTTGGGATGAATTATTAGACAGCTGCACCACAGGAGACAATACCATGCTTTAAAGTTAAAACAGATATTTTCTCCAGTGTTAAACATTTGTAGACACAAAATTTGAGTTGCTTCATGTGTTTCTGAGTGGTGCAGTGGACTAAGCCGTCACCCCAACAGGAGGTTGTGAATTTGAGCCCCAGCAATGCAGTGGCCATCTGTAAGTACGTATCCAAGAGGAAAAATGTCTAGCAGGATTGTGTGATGGAAAGAGTCCTGGCTAGTGGGGGAGTTCAATATAAAAAAACAAGTTCATTTTATTCACCTAACTGAGATGCAGAACTAAAAAATGAAGGGAACTTTTGACTCAATTAAGAAGTTTGAGTTGGGTGAACTCTTGTGTCACTCAAGTTGAGTCAACTCAAGAAAAGCCATGTAAACTATATCATTTTGAGTTGAGCCGACCTCTCATTTTTAACAGTGTAGCTCACTCAGATTTCATACAATTATTATTTAAATATCTACCATGTTACAGTTTTTCTATAATGCTATAAAACCTCTCTGATTCCCTTAATAATGAAAATCTACTTAGAGAAAAATATTAGGGAAAATAGACAAGCCTAATTTGTAAAAAATGTAAAAATGGGCCCAAGCTGTTCATTTGACCAGTAAAGAGCCAAGTCTGGTAGAGAGCATCTCCTCTTTACACGATTATTGTGTATTTTACATTGTCTAATATCAGTATGGAGTTATGAACTACTACTGAACTATATGTTATTTTCTCTTGTTATTTAAGGACTGTCAATGTTTAAGGACTTTGGTAACATGTTCTTTTATAATAATTTTGATTCCAGTTCCACAGACAATACTGTAGACTTGTTTAATGATGTTTTTTTTAAAAAACATCATTACAAAAAAAAAACCTGTAAAAACTATTGGTCATTCCGTATTGGACTTGGTTATGTGACCAAAGGGCCATCAGAGGTTGGCTGGTCTGGTTGTACACTTTAAAACACAGGTGGATGTTTAGATGTTTCCATGAGATTTTTTTGACAGTATGCAAAAGACTGAACACCCCCGGTCAAATTACATGCTTTGATTATTTTCTACATGAAAATAAAATAAGAAAATAGTACACCCTCTACATGGAATTGACCTTTTGGCATTTTTAAATTTGGTATTTTTTCAAATGTTTTTAAATTTGGGCAATTTTTCTTGCACAGTTTCTATTTATGTGCTGAGTTTGACAATTTGGGGAAAAAACAAAACATAAAATACAAAATGTGCCGTTACTTTTGTATTTTGTGTTTTTCCCAGTTTGTTAAATTCAGCAAATACATAGTAATTATGCATTAAAATGTGCAGAAGTATGTAATTTGACCAGGGGCACCCAAACTTTTGCATAGGACTGTACCTCTGTTTTACAGTGTATGCTCAGAGAGAAGCTTCCTTCTAAACTGACTGACATCTGATGGGGTCACAAGGAAATTCCCTTTTCTCTTTTGTTTTCTTTTTATGTTTCGACTGTGCTGATGAAGTTTAGTGTATAGGTGTCTTTCTAATCTTTATCTTATCTGTTTTAAATCATGATAAAAACTTTATATAAACATTTGTGCCTCTTGCTGTGTCATACTACATTTCCAGTGTTTTGACAATTTTTGACAAGAATTCACTTGTCAAAGTTAGCAATAAATTAGAAGTAATATATATATATGCATGTTTTTTACACGGGCATAGGTGAGGTCCACTTATAATGGTATCTGTGTAGATTTAGAGGTTAAACCATCTTCCTACCTCTCTTTATGCCTTACAATTAAACATGCTGTAAAACAAAATTTTGGGTGTCCCTGGCCACATTACAATGATAATTAGTGCACACCCCAAAAGACATTTCTGCACATTTTAATGCACATTTTTATTGTTATGAATTTATGAATGCACAATTATTATTTTATTATTATATCATTTGTTTGTTAAAGAAAGCATTTTGTTAAGAAAAAAAAATTGGCTATGCAAAAGTTATGACACATTTTATATTTTAGATTTCATTTTTTATTTTGTTGTTTATGCTTTATGATTTTTTTCCAGTATGATAAACCAGAAATTGTGCACTAAAATTTGTGGAAAATGCCATATTAAAGTGTGTTCTCTGTAGAGGATGTATTAACTTATTTTCACTTGGCAACAACAAAACATGTAATTTGACTGAGGGTGTTCAAACGTTTGCAAACAACTGTATGTAATATGTAAATGACTTCTGTTCTGATTGGCTGCCTTGTATTGTGCCTCATTCAAAGCCATTGGAACTGAAACCCTTTTTATAACTTCAGCTTAAATTCAGCTGTATGGACATACTACATCAATTTTTTAGATTTGGCTTCCCATAGTATGGACCCTTTAAGACACTGTAATTACACATTAAAACTATTGGTTGTAACACCAGTGTTAAATAAACACCTGCAGAGCACATATGGATGACGCAAAACACATTATGGACCACTTTCAAAAAAATGTTTTTTCATGATATGAAGTTTTGAGAGTTATGCTATATTATGGTTATTACTATGTTTATTGGATAAATAGAAAAGTATTTTTCGACAGAAGTCATCAGCCTTTATTTACATAAACTCATTATACCCTAAAAGTGTTACAAATAGATAGTGTTTTGAAATGACACCTTTCACATACTGTGACTTAATTTAATGCTTACTGTGAACAGTTAACATACAATTTCAAAACATTTCTGAGATTCATACCAAGCGCATTTAGAAACAAAATAGATTTATTCTTTCTTTGTGCACTTTTCCTTCAGCATGAACGCAGTGTTTCTCACTTCTTCCTCCCCATGAACAGAACCCACTGGCATAACTCAGTTAAACCAGTTTAGCAACACACATCATTGAGATTTACTATTACATGTTTTGTTTCTTTGCTTGTTTTGAGTCTGTGTCCTTTACTGACGTTAACTATGGAGGGTCTGGTATTACAACGCTGTCATAAAGAGTAGATCCATGACTCAGTATCTTGTTTTTTTTCTTGATGTAATATCTATTAAAAATGAAAATAACCTTTTAAGCCACAGATCATTTTCTGTAATTTCCTTACTAGTATTTGGGTCTCCATTAGCAAAGGAGATTAAGGCATTATGCTGTATTCATCCATAATGAATGAAAGAGCTGAAATTGAACAGATTTTTATGGCAAATATTGTGCAGAACGTAGTTGTCTAAGGGTGAGCCACATGCACTTTGAATAAAAAAATATTCTAGGATTCTTCCATGACAGTCAGTGCCTTGTAGTAGAGACAGAAACCTGCTAATAAGTGTTTATATATATTGTTTCAAAGTTCAACATTAACATAGTGCATGATTAATGTATCGCAAATAGAAAAGATGAGTCAAATGTGGATACATGAGGTGAAACTCAACTTCTAACCTGGGGCAATGGACAGAGTAGAATCCTAAGTGGTGCAAAATGTATAGGTACAGAGCCCCGCTGGTGACATCCTGTATAAATAAAAATAATCCGCGGCCATGACTTAGTAAGGCGTGGGAACAAGATAATTAAGTTGTGGCCACGCATTAGAATCTCGGTCCCAAGTGTTAATAAGGCCACGCATTATTTTCATTTATATGGGATGTCACCAGTGGGCCTCCGTATATAGGTGCCCCTCTTAGCTGTTACCAGGTGGTACAATTAAGCAAGTAGCTCTAGGGAGTACACCCCTAACACAGGAGATATAACCTCTTGTAAACTGAGTTCAGTGTGGTGCAGAGGGGTACTTCACAAAGTAGGAATTCTCACTTAGGATGATAACTTAGGCCACAAAAACAAAAAACAAAAACAAAAATACCTGCCCAATAGGAGAAGAGCTAAGGAATATTCTTATTAGACAATCCTCAACTTTTAGTTGTAAGTTTTGCTTTTGTTCAACATTAATAACTTGTTGTTTTCTCCATATTTCCTTTGTAAATTTCATTGTTTTCTCCATCCCATCACAAAAAACAGACAGAGAAAACATTTTCATGATTGTTTTTTGCAATAATCACAGAAAAATCACGTAATTTACTGTTGAAAGACTGATGTCAGAAGGTCTAAGCTTGATAGCAGACAGTATGACCACCAAACTTGATCCTGGAGATCTACATTCCTACAGACTTCAACTCCAACTCTAATTGATCCCAGTAGACCAACCTAATTATTGCCTTCAAAAGTCCTTGATAAGCTGAATGAGGTGTGTTAGATTTGAGTTGCAGATGAAATCTGCAGGAGGGTAGATCTTCAGGAGGAGAGTTGGTGGGTAAGAGCAATATATAATTTGACCTGTGGAGGAAAGAAAAAAATGTGATTTTGTGACATGAAAAAAATGTAATTAGCATGTCCACTTGGCACCAATCTCATTAAAAGATTTTCAGGTATTACTTACTTGTTTTCTGTCCCATTTAAATCTTTGTGTATGTTGATTACTGGCACTAGCATAGCTTTAGCAAGACATCAAAATAGTGAAAGTCAACATCCAGGAAGAGCATAGTATATTCAAAGCAAGAGAGCTTGTGCACTGGACAATAAACTATCATGGTTTGTCCATCATGCAAAACACCAGATAGTACCTGCTGGTGAGGATCTGTAGTAGATCACCATTAATCTGCAAATTTACAAATTAATGTACTTCAAATGCTTCATATGAATAAATTCTACTGTCTTTGTGTTACAGTCAAAAGCCTTTGTAGGTGAGGAGACTACACTGCTTTGTGGTGGAGCATTAAACATGTAGCCATTTGGTACAAAGTGTGCGCCTGCCCAGCCATCATGATAAACAGTTATGACCTCAGAGCTACATTGGGTAATAAAGCTACCTGCATGGTATGGCAGCTTATTTGGGTACAAAAAGATGTTCTTAATCTGAGGTACAAGATTACTCAGGCTAATTCCTGAGTCATCAGTCGACAAATGAATACTCATCATCTTCTGTCATGTTTATTAGTCAACATATTTATTAGGTTATTACACCATGTCTAAAGGCTTCAAAATGGCGGATGAACACATATGGGAGTTCTCAGGTCGTGTTATATAATTAGGCTTTCTATGATTTGTGAATGTCTTTGCCCTAATGTGTTTATGAGTTAATAAGGATTAGAGAGCTTTGAAGCTAGGTCAGCCAAACATGCGCCTGCAGCATGGCAGTGTGGGATTACCTTTACTTATTCCTCATGCATGCATGTAAACTGCACACATTTAGCGACACACATGGGACGAAAGACAGGTAAGTTAGATATGTGTTTTATTGAAATTTATTGTATGATTTAATAAGATAATGATATAGAAAGGTCCAAAGCTTAATATGAAGGTCAAATAATTTTGCTGATATTTTAATGAATCTCCAAATGCTGGTAAATGTAGTTCACATACAGTCCACATTTGGTAGCTGCAAAAGTTGCATGCATTAGTTTTTGGGAAAGGCTGGATCTTTATGTGCTAGTGCTAATTCAAGTCTGTGAGTGTCATCCTACCTCTAACATGAAACCATTTTTCTCTCCTCTTCAGCTAATTCAGCCTCCAGAAATGCTTTAAAGTAGTTATCACTGCTCATTCCTCATCAAACAGCTGATAAATTTTAAGTTTGCACTGCACAGTCTTACCTAACCTGTGCCCTGTAGTTTAGCTTGCTATCATTAGCTTGCTAATTGTCATCTACCTCCATTCTCCTGGCCTTTATCCACTTCTGTTCTGTACTATGACTCCACTGGTTCCAGTGCCAAAGCCCTCTTACTCCCAGGCCAGGGAGAACCTGGTAAAGGCTATTCCCCCTAAAATCATCTGCCTGCTGGCGTGTGGGGGGAGGGACTGCCGCTATGAGGGTCCTGCATGCTGGAGACCCAGCCAACAGGCCATTAAGGGCCTTTTCTCCAGCTGGTGAGGCTGCTATTTTGCTGTTTTTCAGACTAAAGTCAAATGCTATAAAGAGTACTTTAAAAAAGGCAATAATATTGTAGGTTTAGTTATTAGAATGGCTATGCTGTAAATTACCATATTTACTTTTTTCAAGGGTGACTGATGACATTGTTGCCATGGCACGACCATCTACCGATCTCATTAAAAGATACAACATATTAGAACAGTTTAAAAAGTGAGTTTTTCATCATATTTACTGCTGATTTAAGTTTTTGGCTGGGAACGTAATGCACACAGTAAAAACATGCATATTCTGCTCTCATGATAAGTTTACTTTTGGGGCTGGGAGGTAAATGCTCTGTGAATATTTAAAGCTTATTAAAATAAGTAATGACTTTTTGTATATGTGTTTATCTGTGTGTGTGTGTGTGTGTGTGTGTGTGTGCACTCATAGGTTAAATATTAAGTCCATCATTAATATGCAGCTCCCCGGGGAACATGATCACTGTGGCCCTGACCTGGAGCCGGACAGTGGTTTCACCTATTCACCACAGATCTTCATGGAGAATCAGAGTGAGTCACACACACAAACAGAGAGATTTGTTTCATACAATGTCATGCATACAGAACTGTACATACAGTCATATGCGAAAGTGTAAAAAAAGGCATCTCTGGCGTTTTGTTGATTTTGTAAGTGAAAATAGCACATTCTCTACGTAGAACACACATCTGCACATTCTAATGCACAATTACTGTTTATCTGCTGAATTTAATATACTGGTGAAAAAAAAAAACTAGAATGTGGCCTATGCAAAAGTTCAAGCAATATTTTGTATTTGCAATATTTTTTAGAAATTGTGCATTAAAATTAGCAGAAAAATGCCATATTTAAGTATGTTCCCTGTGGAGGATCTGTTTTGCATATGACTGTATGTCCCATATGTATTATACTTTATATAGGTAAGAATTATCTAAGCCTAAACCTAACTCTAAATTTTCCCTCAGTAAACAAAAACAAATGATTTATCCTTGTCAGTTTTTAATGAAATATTCAGCTTTTGAAATAAGCACTAACAAAGTTAGGGTAGCCCTGTTTTTCTTTGGTTTTCCTACAAATGTAGCACGTTTTTGTCTGGAAAATGTATGATAACAAACACATTCTCTTTTTTATAGTGACCTATGCTATTGCTCTTCTCTGTTCAGTTTACTTCTATAACTTTGGCATGACTGATTTTGGCGTTTCATCTATGATTGGGATGCTGGACGCAGTGAAAGTCCTGGCCTTCTCTGTGGAGGAAGGCAAAGTGGCTGTGCACTGCCATGCTGGACTGGGCAGAACAGGCAAGTTTCAAGTTCACATGGAGAACCTATTCAGCTGTAGCATGTCTTTTTAGGCTCACAGACCTAAGAAACAAACAATTAAGTAAGTAAGCAATAGGGTTTATAAGTGTATTGTGTTGTTATTGCAATACAAAAATGTGACAATGTGCATTGTGGAGAATAGACATTCTATAAATTATAGCAGGGGTTCTTAACCTTTTTTCACAGTGTGATCCTTTTTTGGGGTTAAAAATATTTCTCGACCCCCAATTTTGCCAATCCACCCCTGCTCACCACCAGTATACACATTAAAAATAACAGAAGATTAATCAAATAATAAGTCTGCTCACTTAATGGGCCTGTTAGCACTTTGCCACAAACCACAAATCTTTAGCCTGGCACTGGAATAATGCTTCAAGTTCAGCAGTCAGTCAAGACCCTCCCTCAGCTCACCCAAAAGAAATTCATAATCAACAGTAGACTGTCTTCCATTATCTGTAAGTGCAGCCATTCAGCAGAGCTTGTGTCCACTTGTCAACATAATTTTCTCTTGTTTGATAAGTCATATTTTTGTAGCACCACTCTCGTGACCCCCCTTGAACTACCAGGTTAAGAAATCACCAGCATGTTTAATAGTAAGCTGTGTAACAATATGGATATGGAAATAATGATTTCTACTCTCCTATGTAACCCTGCAGGAGTGTTGATTGCATGCTACTTGATCTACACATTGAGAATCAGTGCCAGCGAGGCCATTCACTATGTACGAATCAAAAGGCCCCGGTCAATTCAGACCCGTGCACAGATCAATTTGGTGTTTGACTTTGCCAGACTACTGGGCTCCCAGTTAGCACAGTATCCATGCCTGAGCATGCGGCATGGTGCAGCCTTCAGCCTGAGGCAGTATCTCCAGCGCCAGGCCCTGCTGCTCCACGGGGAAGAGGCCCGCTCCCTCGCACACACCCCCAAGATCCTGCATATTCTGTGCAGCTTGCTGACAGCCATTGCACAGGGAACTCCCAGTCCTCCAGAAGTGCAAGTTCACCTAGAGAGGAAGGCGGCAATTTTAGCGCTCCAGGGGGATGTAAGGGACACGCTGGTGCTGCATAGGTATCTGCCTGTCCTGACGGAGGGAGAAGGCTCTGTCTCTTCATGGGATGAGCCTTTTGGATTCTTAGAGCGGAAGAGGGCAGTCCTTCTGAACAAGCGCAGTTACAGCGAGTCAGACCTCAGCAAAGTTACACTGAATAAGGTGAGAAATCGAATCCTTTAAATCAGGGCGTCCGCATTAGACCAGGTCCTGGTCTAGAGTCCAGAGTCCAGCACTGTTGAGTGATTTCCCTGCTCCAACACACCTGCTATACCAATAATGAAGCATTAGTTGCATTAAATGTTTTTTGAACAGTAAAATCATACCAGCAAACCATGCTGGACTCTGGCTCCCTAAGGACACCTGGTGGAAATGAACAAGATTACAACAAAAGAAAGATAAACAGATGTGTCCAATGACATTTTACATGTTTATATGTTTAAAAAATGTAGCTTTGTGCTATGGAACAATGTTACAGCGTAAGACATTAAAGGGCCCATGTCCTATTTTTTCTTTTATTTTTGTGGTTTTATTTATTTTTTGTAACATTAAAAAAACTGCCGCTTCAAAGCAGGCTTTTTATATGCTGTGTGGACTGAAGAGTGAATTATACATCACAAAATTTTACAATTAAAAAATAAGGAAATTTTTTTTTTCCCAGGATATGGGCCCTTAAAAATAAGAGTACAGATTGACTTACACTCTGCCCAAACTCATTTTCATTTCTTAATCATACCAGAGTTTTGTCCTTTTGTTCTCCAGGATTTTGGGTTCATACAGTGCTCCACATCATTTACAGATGATGGCAAAGTCTGCAATGGAACTATTACTCATTTAAGAGAACAGAGATCAACAAATCCTGCCATCAACATCTTGATGAAGGAATCCAGTAGTGCACCAGACAGATACACACCATCAAGTCCTCGCTTGTACGACAGCAGCACTGCTAAGAGGGCAAAGTCCACAATGAAGAAAGCTCAACCTTTCCCAAAATTCAGCTCCACTATAGAGGTGAGCTTACATTTATTTCTGAAAGAACAGTTCCACCAATCTTTTAAAAAAATTTTTATTATATTATATATTTCTTATATTATACTTGTGCATGAGCCATCCACAGGCATTCCCTGACAAATAAAGAACAGTGGATACTGAAGATGCTTATTAAGTAAAATATCAGTATATATCAGACAATGTCATGAAATAGGTTTGTTTTTTGTTGCATTATATTTAACCTCAGTGCATCTTTTTTTTACTTTCAAAGCTTTGCAAAAATCATGAATCAGGAAAAGTATCATTAGCATCGAGAATGGTTGCTGAAGCAATGGCTCAACAAGATCCACCAGGAGACAAAATACTGCAAAAGGCTGCACAATTACAGGTCAGATTTTGTTCATTACATGAGTTATGCAGTAAGCGAAGCTACAGATAGTTAATTATTTGAGGCTTTTGTTTCTAATGTAAACACTGACTGGGTTTTCTAACAGTGTGTATACTCTCTATTATTGCTCAGGATGAACTGAATGTCAATGCATATGGATGGGCCATGCTAGCCATGGAGACAGACCCAAAAGTTCTGAGTACTCTGATGTGGACGTGGTTTGAAAAACTAAAGGTCAATAATCAAATGGGCTAGTATAGAAACTCAGTAGTACGCCACAGTATCTAATCGGTATTATACAAAAAGGAAAGGAATAGTTCACAAAAAAAAGTTCACAATTTTTCACTTACCCTAAATATACTTAACTGGCCAACACACATTTAGTGTCTTACAGCAGAGCTACAAGCCTAATATAGAAGAGATTTATGTGACATATTTGGGTAATGTAGATGTAATGTTTCATTACTTGCTAGCTACATTAGCTTCATAGCTCCAATGGAAAACTAAAGAAATAAACTTCAGACACCAAACATGTTTTGGCTAATCAACTGCATTAGGGTAAGCAGAAAACAGTGTGAATTTGCTTTTTTGGTGAACCATGCTTTTGAAATATTGATACCTTGGTTCAGCTTTGCTAAGTAACTGTAAAAGCTGTTTTCAAACTGGTGCTGTGTGTGTTAACAGGATCCCATTCTGAGTGCAGATGACGTAGATAAGCTATGTACAAACACACCTGGTCAAAATCCCCTTAAAACGCTGCACAAGGTGAGAGCCTGACCTGAACAACACTCTGTACAGACCTATCTTTATTGATTATCAGATGTTTACTGATTGTTGATTATTACCTGTCTGTAAGATGTATATGATACTGTAAAACTGATGAAGACAAAGTGGTTTAAATGACCAAATCATAATAGCAAAACTACGCTTCTTCCGTGTGTTTGTACATCCGTATGTGTTTCAGTCTCAGCGTAGCACTGTGTGTTGTTTGCTGGGCTGTGTGGGTCAGGTGACGGCTCACTGTCCACAAACTGAAAATGCCATCCTGCAGAGGCTTATACGAGCTCTGACCAGGGTAGGAATCTGTGTGTGTTAATAAATCTGTGTATATGTGTGAGAGTTCATTTAATCAAGCATATCTAGATATGTAGACTGTGCATGTTATAATAGTGCGCCAGCCTATACATAATGTTCATTTGAAAAGAAGAATCTGTGCTATTAGATTTAATAAGTATGAATTTTAAAAACTAGCACAGACGTATGCAATAATTTATCTGCTTGTTTGCCTGTGTGACAGCGCCCTCCAGAGGAGATAGCGAGTTCTGGTGCTCTGCTGAAGGTGTTGAGAGCTACAGTGAGAGAGCTGCAGTGTGTTCGCCCAGCCACAGCGAGCCCTACAACCCACAAGAGCTCTTAAAAGTCCTCTGATTTAATAAGGAAATAAAGAAAACTATTTACAAAGATGACGTATCTTCATTTGTTCACTGATGATTTAGATGTGAATGCGTTATACATGTTCTTGTATAACCTTTGAAACTTTGGAAGCCCCAAATAGAGTAAGGTCATTGGCTGAAGTAAATAATTAATAAATTAGAATATAGATCTATCAGCAGTATTATTTACCTTATACGTGCCTAGTAGAAGGTTGAATTAGGCTATTCACATACACTCAAATAAATATAATACTGTAGTATTCAAAGCTATTAAAAGAGACAGCTTTTGCACAAGCCGTGGAACTTTATTCTCCAGCTGTTGTTGGCCACAGCCACGCCGTACATAAGCAAAGCTTTTCTGACTCAGTTCATGCCTCTCTCCCCTCTCTTTCTCTCTCTCTCTCTCTAAACTCATGCACACTCCACACACCCCTGGGCAGTTCCTAGCCCTGCCCTCTACAAGAGCAAAATGGACCACATGCAATAAAGGCTAGAGAACAAACAACTTAAAACTAGCATGCAATATTTTTGATGAAAGCTGTAATAACAGCAAGTGTTGACATTAACAGAACCAAGCAAAATTAAATAAAAAAGGAATTACGAATTAGGTGAGCGCGGGGAACAACCTAACGCAGGGCACAATTTAATACAGACTTTTTACATTGTATAAGAAGATCAAGCAGCTTGTGCTTCTGGCCACATTGCCACATTTCCTAGTCATGTTCTCCTATAAAAATTCAGAGTGATTCATCAGTGTTTTAAAGAGATCTGTGCCAAAGAGTGTTTTCAGGGCAGGCAAAAAGATTTTTTTTGGTTACTAAACTGCTGTATAAATCATACAATCCAAGCCTATATTACTTTACTCACCATCTTGTTTTCTACAAGCTCACAGCAAGTGCTAGTTAGGCCTAAGCACAGCCTCTGTACTGCAGGATTAGTTGTTACACTGTGTTACAACTAAGCCACCTTTAGTAAACAAAGACAAATAAAGCAAATTTTGCCTTTTTGTTCCATATGTTTACACAGATTTTAAGATGAAAAAGAGAAAACCTCTGAAAACAGGGATTTTCATCTACTTTATTAGTACCTTTCAGATGTGAGTATTTTGGTTTTACATAAGTATATGAATGAAATTGACAACAGTTGTTAAAACTGTAAATATTCAGAAATAATGGGCCATATTTTACTGATTAGTGATGTTTTTTATTTATTGTCCTACACTGGACAAAAATACATTTGTCATTGTTTTACACATAGTCTCATGGCAGGTTTTTATATATCTAATTTGATGTGTGTGTGTGTGTGAATCTATCAGTTGAGCTGTCTGTCTAATATATAATACAGACAATATATCATGCAGTGTGGTTTGAAAATATGTTTGTTTCTTGCAACATAGAATTATATTAAATTAACTTTGTTTATCAGACTTTTCTAACAAGTGTTACAACAAACCCCCTGTCTGTTACAGTTAACCCCACCCATGGGCTAAATTGTAACATTGCGCTTCCCATCATTTTCAGTGGAATTGTACATGAATGGTAGGTGCTAAAAACAAAGATCAAGTGTTAGTTTGTAGCAGAGATTTATATGTTGCTTGTATACAATTATGATTACAATTAAAATTATTCAACAAAACCCAAAAAGTGTTAGCTTGTCCCCCACTCTCCCCTAAATGTGAATTTTCATTCAAATTCATCATTTTTTAAAATAATGAATTAAATGTAGCTGAACTGCACCCATGTCCAAGTTGCAGTTTCTACCCCTTGAAGCCCACTTCAAAACTCAGAAAACCCCAAATCGGTCAAATTTCTTTGAGTAAACAGAGCTGAGCATAACGCGCCTATTCACGTATCAAGTAAATTTAAAGCATTGTTTCTTTTCAGTGAACATTTAGTCGCGTTCCAAACTCTATCGCTATGGTGACGCGTCGTCATAGTGAGAGAGGAAAACAAGTGGACAATCACAGCTGAGCGTTTGATCCACTGCACGTGCTCTCCTCGAGGGCCCCGAGCTGCACAGTGTTCTGAACCGAGAGCAACAGGTGCGAGATTTATAGCCTTTCTCTGCTTCAGTCATCCACCAATCTGCTTCTGTGACTCTTTTTTCACAACAAAGTACAATTAACACGAGTTATATGGTCTGTTAGGACAGGCTGTTTGAGTTAGAACAGTTCAGAATAGCCTTCCGCTGATCTTTGTTGTTTTGCTGGAGTTGACGACTGTAAATAGCTGAAAATATTCACTTAGGTTTTTCACTTAGCGACGGTTTTCATCGCAGTTTTAAGTGTGGTAGCCGTTGGCTAACAGCGTTATGTTTATGGTAACTGCTATTTTTCTGACTGACCGGGAGTCTAATCTGAATATAATCCACCCTGAGCTGAATGTAATATTATTTATTGGTGTAAATTCCTCACATTAGTAACGTTACAGCTGTTTCAGGGCAGCTCTGTTAGAATTTTCTCGGACTTGTACACTTAATCGCGCGCTGGAATTGCGTTGCTGTGGTAACGTGGTGCTCATTGGTGAACTATTATTTCGCAATAGTATGATGATGCCATAGTGTGGCTGTTTTGTCTGAATATAAAATACTTCCACAGCTGATTTAAGAGGGACACCTATGACAGAAGTTTAACGTTTTTAAATAATAAGATTTATGTTTGTAATGTTTGACTCCTGCAGAACAAGTATGTCAACTGAGGAAGTCTGGGTGGGTGCCTGGAGGCCCCACAGGCCGAGGGGTCCAATTGCTGCAATGTACAGCAGCCCAGGGCCCAAATATGCGCTTCCAGGAGTTACAGGTAACCAACAGAACAGCAGAAATGAAAACAGCCTTGGAACTTCTGGTGGCCTTTATTGCCATTTTGCCAAATTATTCTTGTACGCACTTTTGTTCGTCAATCAGGTTTAAATTATCATGACCCACGGAAGTGGAAAGCTCCAGCATTCAGTTTTGGCACGCGCCATAGGCAGTTCAGCTCCAGCTGTTCACCAGGACCTGGCTACCTTGTTCCCTCTAATATTACAAGAGCTGGACGGGACGGAACCCCAGCTTATTCACTGTACAGTAGACCCAAAGACCCTCTACTTTTCCAGACCCCTGGACCAGGTAGGACACAATATAAAATAGAGTTTACAGAAAACCCCAATTTGCTTTACAATTTGCTTGTAAAAAATGCCACATCATTTCTATAGATACAAATAAATGTAAATACAGTAAAAACCGATGTCTTTTATGCTTTGCAGGGAGATATTCCCCTGAGAAAGCAGGGACAATGACCTATTATTCCGCCCCTGCATATTCACTGTCAGCTAGAAGCAAAGAGTTTCGCAATGACCAGACACCAGGTAAATACTAACCTTCAGAACTATAATATAGCGAGTGCTGTGGAACCCTGCCTCATCCTATAATGTGAACTGATGCTGTCTTTTGAATCCAGGGCCTGCTGCTTATATGCTGCCTTCAGTGCTAGGACCAAACACTGTGAATAAATCATCTGCCCCGAACTTTTCCCTCACCGGCCGTAGCAAGATAGGCAGCTTCCATGAGGACCTGCAGAAGGTGAGAGCTAACTCTGAAGGTGGACTATATTGGCTTCTTGAGAAGAGACGATAATAAGTTCCTGTGTTTCTCTCAGACTCCAGGTCCAGGGACATACAGAAGTGTGGATCCAGCTGTGTACAGACACAAGCCTCCTCAGTATAGCATGACTGGCCGCAACAACATGCCTGGTGACACAACCAAGAAACCAGGACCTGGAGCTCATCATCCAGAGCAGGTCAGATATAGGGTCATATGCATGCTGTATTACATATTGTCGCTGCCCAAAAAATGTAACTTTACAGGAGATGGCAAATATTATGTTTACCTTTAATTTTGAAGCATTCATCACAAAAGTTTCACGCAATGTAAAGGACAGCTGCTGTGTTCAAGTGACATCGAAAAATAAAAATGGGAAAAAATGGAGATAAATGTTTTGTTTTGTTTTTGGGTAGTGACAATATGTATCTATGCAATAAAAGATTTAAGCCTAACTAAATGTAACACTAATCTTAAGAAATGTTGTTGCCCTTTTAAAAAAAAGAATGTAGCTTATATTTCCATTTTAATTTTATGCATGTAGCAATTTGCGTAAGTTTGGCTTCTCTGAGGTTCCCATTACCTCTTGATAAGAAAAGTATTTGTTTTTTTACTTTTTTATTTTATGTGAGGGAATCTGTCATACCTCACAACATTCATGCATAAATGCATTCCTTTTAAAAACATACAAACAAAAAAACAACAACAAAAAAAATGTTTGTGACATTTCAGGTATCGGTAAACAATTTTTCACTAAAGTTGAACAGAAAAAAGTTTTTTTCCATAGCCTACAATGAGAAACTTTTTGAAGCGTTACAACATCTTTCAGAAAAAATCCTTTGGATGGACTTGAAGCTATTGTAGGTTCCTCCTGTTTTCACACACACACACATATCTTAAAGGCATTTATAACTAATCTTTTAAAGACTGATGGGTTTCTGTCTCCATAGGTGACCTTCACACAACTCAAAGCTCCCAGCTTCTCCTTCGGTGTCCGCCACTCTGAGTTCATTGCACCACTGATTGTGAACATCACCGATTAACTCAGCCTTTTCCCTAATCTCATAATAAAGAGTGCTCTGTTATGCAGTGAAGACTGTTACTAAAAAATTCTCAGTACTGCTATTAAAGTATGTAAAGCCTTCAACAAGAGAAGCCACAGCAAGGCAGCTTTATCACCTGAACTGAGCCAAAGCAGTTATGCTGAGAGTGAGACTTGAAATCCTGACAGAGGTTGTTGACAAACTTAGAAAATGTTTTAAATGGTGTGAAGATTAGACTGCAGATGATACCCACCAAATTATGAATCCAGTATTCTAGTAGAACAGAACTGACCATGTCTAGAGCACTTTGTCAGGATGAGGAATTTGAAGAATAGAAACACAAATTAAACTTACCCTAGTCCAACAACAGAATCAGCTGTTGTCCTTAAAATTCAGACTGTTCTTCAACAAACAGTGAAAAATATATATATATCAGGCATAAAATTGTGTCCTTGTTTCTACGCTCATTGTCCATTTTATCAGTTCCACTTACCATATAGGTGCACTTAGTAGTTCTACAATTACAGACTGTAGTTTGTCTGTTTCTCTGCATACTTTGTTAGCCCCCTTTTACCCTGTTCTTCAGTGGTCAGGACCCCCATGGACCCTCACAGAGCAGGTACTATTTGGGTGGTGGATCATTCTTAGCACTGCAGTAACACTGATGTGGTTTTAGAGTGTTAGTGTGTGTTGTGCTGAGAATGACTTAATGGGATTCATGGGATTCATTCAAAAGACTATTAAAGCAAAACCAGATATTAGGCAAGGTGCTAGTTTTATATAGTAATAGAAAATGTGAGGATGTGAGAATTAATCACATAAAATGCACTGTTGAATAAGTACTTTATTTAATATAACTGCTAAAATTAGCACTGTCTATGATTATATAGTTTCACCATAATATAGTTAGACCAAAACATGTCATCAGAAATTACCATAATGTCTTATCAATTGTCAAGCACATTTCAACTGTATACACATTATGATATCAAATACATGTTCTTTTCAGATCTGTTTTGTCCATATTATTTTCTTTTTATTCTTTTTTTATAAATCTACAATGTAAAAACTTTTTGGTAACTTAAAAAAGCCAACATAGTCAACTTACTTCAATAAAATTTGAAGATCTTTGAACTTCAAATAATATGTTAACAGAACATTAGAACATAAGTTCTGTCAACTTATTGTTAGAAGTTCAACTCAAAATGATATTAAGTTGACTTACTCTTTTAAAATACCAAAATTTGTTTACAGTAGTCCTAGATTATTATATTCAAAGAGCTTGATGGTACAATACACATTTTATCTGAGACAATTTAATTTAAGAAACTAATTTTTGTTGCCTGCTGTTATCTCTAATCGGGCATCTCAACTGTCACTAAAGACTTTGCTGGTAATATTCTCAGAGGATGTGATTTGCAGCGGTTATAAAAGTAAGGAAATACTCTCTCATGGAACGTTTGTTTGAAAATGTGCAGGCAGGCTTTTCGGCCTGAGTCAGTGAAAGTCACCCTGCCCTTGTCAAAGTCCAGCTGAACTCTGATCCTCTGGACTCTCTCACCAACCCGCAGCACGCTCAGGCTCTCTGGAGAATATCCTTTCCCATATTTACCATTAGAGAAACCTACATACCACAAGCCAAAGCGTGAAAGATTCTCTCTGTGCATATACACAGATTCTGAGATCACCCCCACAGCCCAGGACGTGTTTTCTCCAACCTCAACTTCCCAGCTGTGAGTGCCTGAGCTAAAGCCCTCAGAGCCCAGGACCATCGCATAACCCTCAAACCTCTCTGGATTAGCAGGAAGTTCCTGATGCTGACCACTGTAGACCACAGTGACAAGATCATCGGACACTACAAGGTCAGCATGGGCAGTGTTGGGGTCTAGAACCACAGGGGCTAGAGAGAGAAAGAGAAGGACAAAAACCTGTAGTTCCACTTTTGTAGTGTATTTATTTTACATTTAAAGTGACCTGGCATTTCACAAAACATGACTTCTCAGTAAAACTGGATTACTTTTCTAGGCAAAAATAAACATCCTCTATAGGGAACAAACTTAAATAAGACCAATTTCTTCCCTTTTTAATGCACAATTTCTGTTTGCTGAGTTTAACATATTGGAAAAAATAAATAAATGTATAAAATGTGCTGTAACTTTTGCCCGTGCCACATTTTATGTTTTTTTTTTTCAATATGTGAAACTCAGCAAACGTATTTTCACTTATTTTCACTTAGAAAATCAACAAAAGATGTATGACCAGAAGTGGCTAAACTTTTGCACAAGGCTTAATGACATTGTCTGAAAAGTCCCACAAAATCAGACCCAATACCTTTTTAAATTATTAATGTGCACCATATTTTAGCATGTTGTTTTCTCCTGAATTAAAAAAAAATCAGTGCAGCTTTAATCCCAAAGTGAGCACTTTCCAAAAGGAATGTCTCTTACCTAATCTCCTCATGGAAATGATTGACTTTGGGTTAAAAGTGGAGTTCTTCTGATTCAGATTCAAATGCATCATTAAAATATTAAGATGTAAACAAAGTCATTCAGAGTGGTTTGATGTAAAATTCTAGGCAAGCTTAACAAATCAGATCTGTTCACAGTGGTGGTGATAGGAACCACGTCCATAGCCTTTAATGCCTCTAAAAGCTATGTCACAAAGTTATTACATGAAATTTTATATATACATTGCCTGAAGCTTGAGACACTGTTTTATAATAGTTTTGGTTTTTTTTGTTGTTGTTTTGATCTAAAATGTATTTTTAAAGGTACATTCAGGCAGCTGTAAGATAAAATAGTTCTCAGAAGAAGTAAATCTCAGAAGACATGTGTAGGTTTACTGGTTGGTTGTGCAAGCTGTTATTTATATGACCACTACTGTAAAGAAAATGTTGAAAAGTCATTGGAATTCCAGTTTAAGCCATCCAGCTTTACTGATAAATTATGGTTTGTGCGATACCTCCCTGGGGCATTTTGCTCTGTACTCACTGTACTGTATAACACCATGCATCTTCTCTGATACGTGAAAGCCCAGGTTGCTCAGGTGCTTTGTCACGTTGATCAGCACTCCAGAGAGCCTCTCTGGACTGTCCAGCTTGGCCTGCGTTCTAGAACAACATTTGGTAGTCAGGGAGGGATTGTGTTGTGAGAACACACAAAAAAAACAAACCAAAAAAGTGATCTGTACTTTACATACCTTTCGAGTGTAGCTCTGTAGTTCTGTAGATTTAAGTAAAATGAGGAAGAATGAAAAACATCCTAAATTTTGACACAACTACAATACCACTAATGCATTTTAGCAGCTGAAGAAGAAGTTTTTACCAACAGAAATTGCAAGTCTTCTCCTCCCATCTCCTTCTCAATGGCTTTGATGGTCTCCAAGATATAAGAGATTTGTGTTTGAATCTTCTCAATCTTTTTCTTTACTATCTGACTCCTCTGCTCCTCCACCTTCCTCAGTGCAGATATCCTGGCTGCCTCTTCATCCCAAAGAAAGTGATGAAGCTTCTCAAACTCCTTCTTTATCAGAGCCTCTGTGTGTTGGGCCTGCTTCTAGAGACACATACCCAGAACAGATGTAAATATCTCTTTGGGGATAATACAAATATAAAGACATGCTGAAAGTCCTCTAAGCCCGCACTTTAATATACTCTCCCGTTTTAAGGTAGGATTGTTTGAAGTCCTCAAAGATTCTTAGCTTCTCATGCAGCGGCTTCAGTTTCATCTGGAGCTCCTCCTGCATGGAGGCAAGCAGGTAAATTTCAATTCATGTGTAAAAGCCCAGTACTAAAATCACGCTAATGAACAACATGTAGTTTCATTGGGTTCATTGCCCTTTAGCTGTGCTATTGGATTTCTTCTTGACTCCATTCACTGTTTTCACATTTCTATGAAAATATTTACATCTTTCTTCAGTGGAAAGTTATCAGCCATCATCACTTTCTCTGAGTCATACGTAATGTCAAAACAAAAAATGACAAATTAGTCAAATATCTGCAGATCTGTACTTTTGCAAGGCTCATTAATTTTATGCTGTCATAGAGAACCTGCTTGTTGTGTCCTTGATAGCCAGATAGAAAGGCCATTGGTCTGGGAAGACCCGTTTGACAGGACTGCTCTCATGTTTGGACTTTCAACCTTTTGTATGATCCATCATCTAGTGCTGACTGAGGGTCATGAAATGAACAGGAATGATCAAAGGTCACAGTCTTTGTCATGAAATGAGCAGAAATATTACTCTTTTGAATTTGTGTATGTCAAAGCGGCTTCACATATTTTCCATTTAAACAATTCAGACTTGTTATTCAGTATCTACTATGAATTATTAAGCATCTCTTATCAAACTAATGTGCAAACTGTGTAGTTATGAGAGTGCGTAACTGAAGTTTCATCCCATAAATTCCAAAAACTATATAACTCACATATTGGTTTTGTAGGAGATACTGAATTAGGGTATAAGGTGTTAAATTTGGAGAAGTATTTGACCGTTCCTGAAAGTGCTCCAGGGCTAAACACTACCCCCATACCTTCAGGTCTTGAGATGCGTCCTGTATGGAACAGAAAGAGTGCTTGCTATGCAGACTGGAGTCCTTGCACTTAGCGCAGATGGGCCTTTGCTCCATGCTGCAGAAGATAGTGAGAGCTTCCCGGTGTAAACTGCAGAGCCCCTCCATCTCTACAGAAAACCTGCGGTTCTTCTCCTTCAGCACAGCCTCACACATGTTCCTCAACACGATGTTGGTGGGGGGCTCAGAGTTGGAGGAGACAGTCCTGCAGATGGGACACTCCAGAGCCCCTCGCTGGTCCCAGAAGTTGCGCACGCAGCCCTTACACATGCTGTGGGAGCAGGCCAGGAGGATGGGGTCCCTGAAGATGTCACAGCACAGGGGGCAGGAGAAATCCTCCTCAGTCAGAGAGGGTCTAGAAGCCATATTCTCACCTATAGAGCCAGTCAAACATCTGTGAGGACCGCAAGAGAGTAAGGAGCTCAACGCCTCTATATGTGTCGCTCTCTCTGTTGCGTGTAAGGTTTATTCAAAACACAAAGCAGTGGGGCGGGGCAAAAGTGAGACAGTGCATTTGAACACACACACACACACAGAGACACACACACACACACACAAAGACACAGTTTTTAAACTGTAAAACTGCAAACAATAGAATACAATAGAAAAGAATATTTACTGCCGAAGGTTGAAGTTTGTTTCTGTTAACATGCTTCAGATACTTTAAAGATTGACTGAGCGTTGACAGAGTATTGTCTTTAGCTCTTTTGTATCTAGAATATAAGCAGCTATGGAAATTGGAACACAGCATTTCTATTAGCTGATGTGAAAGCTGCTGGTATGTGCCTAATGACCTGGAATGTAGAAAATGTTGACTGGGGACATATTCTGAGAATGGCACAGTGAGATAAATGGTCAAGATAACATGATAAATGTGCATTTCTAATAACTATAATTCATTCATAGATTCTGAACTTTTGGCCCAGGAAGTTGACATAGAGTTACAACCAAATTAAGCACTAAATCTCTAAGAACAGTGAATGTAGTGGCATGTAATGCTGAGGTTATAGAATTCTCTCAAAATGGTTTTGTTTCCAAAACTTTCTAGTAAGTTAAACATTTGGTAAGGTAAGCATGCAACTGTAGTGAATGGAGAAAGGTAGCCCAATACTAGGCTTTATCTTTGTTTGATTCCTTTTTATCTGCACATAGAATACATTTTATACATATCCATCTTCTGATTCATGGCATAGTAATTTCTGCCAAGTGTGTAGAGAAGGAACATTTGCAGTTACAACTAATAGACACTGAAAGATATTAATGTCTTCAAAACTTTATATCTAAAATTAAGCACCTTTGATTACATTGCAATTTGTTTATTTCGATAAGAGAGATTACACATGATCTGAAGTTAAGGGAGATCAACAAGATAAGGACTATCTAAAATAGAAACAAACAAAGCTACAAGCTTAATTACATACTTTTTTGAGTACTGTAAAAATAAAATGTGTAGGTAGCATTTGTACAGGTATCATCTGTGCTAAAATTCAATAATCTTACTTAAAAATGTAAGTTTACAAATTTACAGATTTATTTATGTAATGTTTTGCCTTTTCAACTTAATTGTTTTTGCAAACCTGAAATTGATGCCAGTAACATGTACAGTTTGGGACAGGGGCAATTTAAGACTAGGAACATCTTAAACCAGTAATGTTTGAGCATTGAAGGAGCTTCCAGGAGCAAGGATGAGATGAGGCTTGGCACCAAAAAATGCATCAGTAAATAATCAGTATAATATAATATAAATAAACAGTTTAACAACATTCCTCAATAAGAGATTTCAGGTATTTCAATTCAAGCTCAAGCTCACCTGAACAGGACTGCTGCACAGTGGAAATGTGTACTGTACTCTGACAAGTCAACCTTTCAGAATGCTTATGGAAATAACAGACGTCAGGTTCTCTAGGCCAAAAACAAAAAGGACCATCCACATTATTAAGGTGTAAAGTTCAAAAACCAGAGCCTGACATGGTACAGGCATGTATTAGTGCCCATGATTAGGGTAATTTGTCCCTCTGTGAAGGCACTATTAATGTTGAAACATATATATAATATATATATATATATATATATATATACACATTTTGGAGCAACATAAGCTGCCTTCTCGATGACATCTTTTTTGGGGACGTTCATACTTATTTTAACATGACAACACCAAACCACACTCTGCTCATGTTACAACAGCATGGCTATGTAATCAGAGCATGTGGGTGATAGACTGTCTCCCATTCAAGACAGGAGCAGCAATATCATACAAAAAATATGATGATGTAACCCATACGGTTGTGCAACTGAAGACTTGAATAACAGAAGAATAGCAAAGTATTACACTTTTAAAATTGGATTAAAAAAAAATAATATAAAATGTTTTGATCATATAAAATGTTTTTGATTTTTTAACCAGATTGGCAAAGCTGGCCTATCAGCAAGGCTTTCAGCTGTTCAACCACTGTGACCATCTTAGACCAGCAAGAATGTGACTAATGACCAACTGAACCCAGCTAAGACCAGCTAACAACATAACAACTGGTTGCAAATGACCTAAGAAATGCCGAGTCTATTACAAAATAAAATATGCGTGGCATCAGATGATGAATGTAGGCAGGCTGGTTATAAACCACAAAGTGCTGGCATACTCTGAAGTGGTGTCTTAGATACAATGCAAGCTAGGCTAATAAAACCTTTAAAAACTTTAACTTCTTGTTCAACAGTTGCCTTAAAATAACTGTTCGGCAAAGTTTCTAGTTGACATAAGGTATAGCCTACTTGCTATGCAGCCTTCTGTATTCCTGAAACAAATTGTATGGTGGTTACTTTCTAGAAAGAGCAACCTGCTCATGTTCAAGTAGGACTGTAGCAACTTAGCTGGTGCTCGGTTCTTCTCAGGCCTACTTGTGTTCCTGACAGAACGCTCAGCTAATGTGTGGCTTCTGTTGCAGGGGTGCTCCAAACTGTTAGTGTCACAGAATCAAGTATCACATAATGACTTGGTGGATAGCAAGAATCTAGTGCAGTGTTTCTAGCTCCAGTCCACCTGTCCAGTACAAATGTGTGCTTTCCCTGCACCTGCAGGTGGACTATGAGACTAAAATTTGAAACAAACTCATCTAGTGTGCACACCTGGCTGGACTTCTCATATCCAGAATTCCATTAATCCTTCCTCAAGCTTGTAAACGCTGAACATTTGACCTAGGAAACTATTTCTGAATTAGTACCAAATTAAGCACTAAATGCAAAAGCTTCTGGGATGTGTGTAAAATAGGTTATAAAAAATCTGGGAAGCAATTGATAGCAGTAAATGGAAAACATCATACTAGGCTTTTTCTGTTCAGGATTATATTTTGTCTGCACTGGAAATAAAGATAAAACGATACTTTTTATAATTTGTGGCATAACACAATACAGTGCAAAAGTTAAGAGACTTTTCCAGTGAAAAAAAACTTTAGATATTGGACATTAGATTAAACCTAATATAATTACTTCTATGTCATTAAAAGAGAAAATGAGACTCTCAGCAAATGTGTCCACCAAACTGTAACCATCAGATAAACATTACTTGAAGCTTTCACCTTTGTAGAAAATTAAGCTCTATTCTTCTTTCAGATCTGAAAAAAATCCTCAGGTGGTTTCGTCCATCCTTCCACTGAGAGAAGACGACTCAACAGTATGAGTCTGAAATGATGTGTTAAGAAGCCATCATGTGACCAAAATTTATTTTACATTGAGTTGTTGAGGCTTTTGTGTAATTTTCTGTGAAATATAGGTTTTCTGCTCTTTTCCTGATATTGAAAAATGAATAACTTCTACTTAATGGTCATTCTGACTAGAAGGTGGTCTGACTTTAGCACAGTACTGTACATTCTGACAAGTCTGTAGAGAAGCAATTAAACTTCCATTCCATTGAGAACTGAGAGACACTGAAAGCCACAACTATCCTGAAAACTTAAGTATCAAAAACTAAGCACTTTCAGCTTTTTTGAAAGTTTATTTAAATAAAAAACATTACACATAGTCTGAGATTAAAGATGACCAAGATAAAAAAAAATATATAAGACAGAAGCAGATTAATAATAATAATAATAATAATAATAATAATAATAATAATAAACTATATGAGAAAGTATGCACCTGCACTTAAAGCACCATTTTGCTTTATCTGGTTGTTAAGGCATTGTCTTTTCAATAAGCAATCAAGCAAAATTACACAATTTGCTAAAGTACTGTAAAAAAAGGAAAAATGTATTGTTAATATTTCTGCAAAACAGCAATAATTTAGAGACTTGAATAAAAGATGCAAATTTAAAAGGGCCAAGAACAACTTATTTTCTGCTGTCACACCACAAACAAACCAAATAATGTAATGTGAAATGTATGTTGATATAATCATCTGAATGTAAATCTCTAACTCCTCTCTTCCACTGTTACAGAAGTCTTCATGGGTAAAATTCTAATTGGATTAACTGTGCTTTTAGTCCAAAAATAGGGAAAGACTCTCTCGTTAAAAGAAATTCTTAAACAATGCAGTTGTGTGTCAGTAAGAGGGTCAGAGAATAGGAGTTTTCCTCTGTTCCAGTCTAGATGGACTCTGATCCTCTCAAGCTCCCTGTTTTTCAGCGAGAGCTGGTTTTTCTCTCCAGAGTTGTCAACAATGAACTGACCAGCATAATAACCCAGATCCCAAAATCCAGTTTCAACCAGAGGCTCCCCTTTCCTCTGGACAGATTCTCTAAGCACACCAACATACCAGTGTGTATTGTTTTTAACCTCAACATCCCAGACATGGGTGCCTGAGTTGAAGCCACTTGAACCCAAAACACATTCATAATAATCAAATCGTTCTGGATTATTGGGAAGCACTTGGGCAAAATCACTGAATCTCATGCTGGTCAGATCCTCAGAGAGAACAGCAGCTGGTGGTCCAGAGTTAGGATCCAAGATCACAGGGACTACAGGGAGAGAGAGAGAGAGAGAGAGGGAGGGAGAGAGAGAGAGAGAGAGAGAGAGAGGGAGAGAGAGAGAGAGAGAGAGAGAGAGAGAGAGAGAGAGAGAGAGAGAGAGAGCGAATGAATGAGGATACGAATAATTTAATATAATACTTAATTTATATAGTAATAATAATAATAAAGACATACAAACTTATATGTTTTACTCTGTTCATCCTAACTTCACTGTAAACTCAAAACTGAACAGAGCTCAAAATAAGGGAGAGAGAGATTTATTTATTTGTTGTCTTTTCAGTGATGGTGTTAAAATAAAGCACTGTGCTCAGTCATGCTGGTGTTTTTTTTTGTGTGTGTGTGTGTGTGTGTGTGTGTGTGTGTGTGTGTGTGTGTGTGTGTGTGTACACCTGAGCTCTTGTTAGGTTTCCAGGTCAAGGTGACTCAGCCCCTCTCCTGACTGACATCACACTGGTGGAGAATTCGGGCACTCCCCCTGTGGGCAGGTCCACTGACTGGGAGCTGAGGGAGGCTCCCAGTCAGTGGACCTGAACATGGCCTTAAGGCACTCAGCTCCAGCATGAGTGCCTTAAGGCTATGTTCAGACTGCAGACAAATTGGATTTGTTTCTCAAATCAGATCTTTAGAGATAACTTTCCACACTGTTATTTGCAAGTGATCAGATTGGATTTTTGTGTCCAGACATCATCAACCTATCTGCATGGGTTGCTGTGGTAACAATGCTGGTGGCAGGAATTTCAAATGGGGATGCAGAAAAGACAGAGGAGTGCCATCTTGTCCTCTACACTCTTCAAAATTCTCTTCCTTCACTCGCAACACGACAAACAATGACAGTGAAGCAAAAGACACTTTGATATCCAATTTGAGTGGCCAGAGTGTCCAGTTTGAGACGCATCTGTAAAAATGCGATTGGAATTACATTTCAAACTACATCCAAATGTGGTTTGGATCTGATACGCAAAATCAGATGTGTTTTTTTATGTCCAGACTGTTAAAAATCAATCTGCATACAATCTGGATATGCCAAAAATTGGATTTGGGTTGGCAGTCTGAATATAGCCTTAGTTTAGTGTAGTTTAGCTCAATTTAATTTAGTTTGAAAAATACTGGAAAAGACCAGACTGAGGAAGCAGAGGAACCAGCTCTGGACCAAGCTCTCAGGTTTACATCTGTCTGCACCTTCCAGGCCGCAGAAGCCCCTCTCCCCTCCCTCCTTCCCTCTTTTTACTGCTTCTCTAACTCTCTTTCTCATTCTTTCTCTGATTGCCTCTCGGGCAGACAACAGTGAGCCACTGAGCTCCTGTGGCTGAAGGACTAGAACAGCAGAACCTGGGCAAGCTGCACAAAGATGCCATTTAGTTTTAAATATAAAAATACCTGAAAACTGCATCCAAACCTAAATTTATCATGTGATATAACCCATATAACCCAAACATTACATTGTTATAAGAAAAAAAATAAGACTGGAGTTTGGGATTTATAATGTACTCAAGTAGACTTACCATATTGAATAATGCTCTGCATCTTCTCCCACACTTTGAACTTCAGGTTTCCCAGGTGCTTTGCTACATCAATCAGAGCCCCAGAGGGGATCTCTGGATCCTTCAGGTTACACTGAGTCCTAGAACAACATTTAGTGTACAGATGAAACACATAGGCCAATAATGTAAAATTTATTTTTTTAATCTGCTGTGTTGATTTGCACTTGCATTGGCCGACAAACATAACTAAACACAATATCACTGGTTAGACCACAAGACCTTGAATGTTCTCCAATAACCTCCACAAAGTCAACTTTTATCAAGCTACACAATTATGGAAGTACACAGTTCCACTACTATAGGATGTGTGGTAGTTTAGTTTGCAGATGGCATATGCAAGCCCTCATCTCCATCACAACGACCTTCTCAAGGAAAATGATGTCCATGAAGAGAACAAACACACACAAACATACCACAGAGACACAGAGCTAAAGAAATATATTCTTAAGAAAAAGGAAACATTTTCTATATTAAAAGATTTATTCTGTCAAAACAAAACCTTACAATTCCAATTTTGTTATTTTTTACGTAACCTGAAAATGCCAGCTGCCTTTACACTGTGTCAAAATGTCATGGTGAAATTACCAATGGAAATTCTCTACAATTACAATAAAATCTTTTTACATTAATTTACACTGAAAGTTAAGAATGTGTTTCCTTCTTCTGTGTTACTCTCAGACTTTGTTCTGACAGCAACTACATATCTCATTTTAAAGGAGCCCTTGTACCCCTTCACCTGGTTTCAGAATTTCAGAGAATAAAAAAATACATACACAACATACACACATTGCTTACCTTTTTGCTGTCATTGCGTAGTTCTGTAATGCAGAGAAAAGGAACATTTGACAGGTAATTTTGTAATTTTGTTTAAGTTTTAAACTTGTCTACATTTTAAACTTGTCTACATCAGAAAAGTGCTGTACTGGCTTACCTGAAGAAAAGCGGTGTCATCTCTGTTCAGTTCTCTCTTTATTGTTTCGATTGAACTGGTCAGGTATGATATGCATTTATCCAGTTCTTCAATTTGCATCTTCATCTTCTGACTCTTCTCCTCCTCTTCCTCTATCGAGGCAACTATTCTGATGGTTTCTTCGTCTCGCAGAAAGTCGTGAAGCCTCTCAAACTCCTTCCTTATCTCCCGTTGTACGTGCTGGGCTTGATTCTGAAACATATAAAGATAAGTTTAGAAAAGCATAACCATCATGAAGCTCTTCAATAAGTAAACAAAAAAGAAAGAAAGAAAGAAAGAAAGTAAATAAATAAATTAAGAAAGAAAGAAAGAAAAAAGTAAGTCAAATTGTGAATGCCTTTATGTGGTGTGACCATTCTACTCTGGACTGCTTTGCTTTTTGAAGAACTTTCAGCTTCTCCTCCAAAGACTGCAGTTTTGGCTGGAGGTCCTCCTAAAAACAATAGCAAAAATTCAAAAAAGCTGAATGCCAATATTTCACCAAATGTATCCTATTAAATAGTTAGCCTATTATTTTATTAGTGAAAGTATTTTCACAAGCACCCTGAAAGAAGGAGGAATTTGTTGTAACTATATATGATGAAGACAAAGTGTTACTTATAAATGATAAATTATATGCTTTATAAATGCAGGCAGCAGTTATTCAGAGGTAGGTTTAGATTTTGTACGTATGAACTCAAAGCTCACTGATTATTATTATCTTACTCACTGAATTCTACATCAATCTACCGCAGCCTCGTCTCTGTGACTGAACATGAGTGCTGCCTTTTGCTGAACTAAGAAAACACTGAATGTCTTACCTTGAGATCTAGCGCTGCCTCATCGATGGGTCTAAAGTTGTGGCTGATGTGCCTCTTTGAATCCCGACACACCAAACACACAGGCTGTTTATCCTCCAGACAGAAGAGCTTGATCTTTTCCTTATGAAGCCCACAGAGCGGCTCAGTCTCAGAACCTGCTGAAGCTCTCTGACCTTTCTCCTGTAAGAACACCTCACACAGGTTCTTCAACACGAGATTCCTCGGAGGATCTGATTTTGAGGATCTTCTTCTGCAAACTGGACAGAGCAGGTTTTCATTTTGCTCCCAGAACTTCTGGAGACAATCTTTACAAAAGCTATGAGAACAAGACAAAAACACCGGATCGGTAAAGACGTCAAAACACACAGGACAAGAAAAGTCCAGTTCTGGGGCATATTTGGATGCCATCTTCTGTGAAGTCGTGCAGTTTTAAGTTTCGATTTCAGTCCTCTTTCACTTCATGATTTGTCTTATGTTGCGTCAATCATCTTAAAAAGGAAGTTAACGAAAACATATGGTGCTTGTGAGTGACTTACGAAATTTCGGGACAACTGTAAAATAAAATTAAATATTAATATATGTAAAGCATACGGCTGATCGGATTTGGGGTCTAGGCACTGTGCATGCTATTAAGTGTGTTCCTGCATTTATACTGTAGTAAACTGGCGGACTGGTAGATTAGCAGTAGTGCACCTACAATGTACACAGTCTACCAGTATAGAGACTAGTTTTAACTAAACTTAATAGTGGTGGACTGTCAATTATACACTAATCTTGCTAGAGTGGACTATACAGTGCATCAGGTAGAAAACACTATCAGAACACAGCCACTGTTTATGTGATATCACCGCTGGACAGCAGGGGTTGCTCTGAAGAGAGTTGTTTCCGCTCGCTCCCGTGAGCGTCTCGTTGCATAGAAACAGTCAGTCGGATTACATGCGAATGGCTAGCAAGCTAACTTAGCAAGAGCTAAATCAATATGCTGCGCCGCCTTACTGAGACATTTAATTAGTTCGGAAATAAGACAGTTCAGTTCAGTAATTAAAGCTCTTGGAGATTTGCGCTGGGTTATCTAACACTTAAATACGAGCCTGTAAGCTCGTTAGCTAACCTTCCTTTCACAGCTAAGCTAGCTGGATAACGTTAGCTATGATTGCCTCGTAAGGACCAAAACTATAGCTAGCCGGTAAACTTCAGCTAGCTAGCTAGGTACATCTTAAGTTGTTTTTTGCAGAGATGAAAAGCTGATTTGTGTTTATGTTCCAGGCAGCTAGAACCTTGGTTGGGTCTGTGTCGCTGACACTGGACTGTTGCAGTTGTTGGCTGGCTTCTTCTAGCTTGTCAGCCTACCGAGCAAGCAGACGTTGCGTGTCTCTGCGTGTTGGCTAACTGTAATCCTTTCCGAGAATGGCGGGGGATGCAAACAGTATTCCTGAGCTAGAACAGGAAAAATACGATGCGGATGAGCAGGTGAAAATTATCTGCCTCGGCGACAGTGCAGTCGGGAAATCTAAGTAAGTTGTGGTGTTTTTGTGCAGTAACGATTCCTAATCTAAACTAGGCCTTGCTGGCTACTCCTCAGTTTTTATTTTCGGTGTCTTCAGTTTGAGACTTAAATGTATTGTAGTTTTAGGTAGAATATGGACAGAATGTTTTCTTGTGTTGCCACTAATTTGCATTTATTACGTGTGTTTACAGCACTAGCTTTAATAGCGCTTAAATACATGATGTCTTAATATCTTCACGTTTTTGCCTTACAGGTTAATGGAAAGATTCCTCATGGATGGATAGTATCCTTTGACAGATATTTATCCACACTTTTAAAAAAAGACGGGTTTCAGGAGTTCTTTAGTAAAGGGAATTGTTCTATTTAGAACCTTGAATTCTGTGTAGAACCATTTCGTGCTTAAATGGTTCTTTGCGTGGTGAAAATAAATGGTTAAATGGTTTTATATACAACTTTTTTGAAAATGGTGCTGTCTAGCACCGAAAAGGGTTCTTCTGTTGTTAAAAGCTTGACATTGTAACTACAGCAGAACCCTTTTTGGTGCTATATAGAACCATATACAACACATTCTCCATCAGTCTGAACCATTTCAGCATGCAAAGATCTATCTATGATAGATAGATCTTTGCATGCTGAAATGGTTCAGACTGATGGAGAATGTGTTGTATATGGTTCTATCTATCTATCTATCTATCTATCTATCTATCTATCTATCTATGGTTCTTTCTGTCTGTCTCTACTTCTTTATATGGAACTGTAGTTTATGAAAAGTAGTTGAATTCTTATCACATCTGTCAGTCGGCCTCAGCAGCTGTCAACCTACGCCCTGACTCTTTACAAATATACAGCCACAGTCAATGGGAGGTCTGTTCTAGTTGGTAAGTAAGCCAGTCTGTCTGTTGTGCTTACTGTGAACCAAACCTGCTCAGTATTGAAAGGTGTTATGTGAAGTTTAACCCATTCATGCCTATATCTAAAATGTTAAATATCATTCAGTCAGTATGTTCCTGGAAGTAGCCTGGAGTTTGTTTCCCAGACAGGGATTAAGCCTAGCCCTGGAACATATTTTCCCTTCCATGGAGAATCTCCATTCAGAATGCTGTGCAGTCCAAGGCCCAATCCCATTTCTTCTTTTTACCCCTACCCCTTGTTTTCGAGTGTCACCCTAACGCCTTGGAACTGAGCTACAAGGGGTAGTGGTTGAAATCTTGCCCTATAAAATAGGACAACCCTCAAAAAAAAAAATAAAATAAATAAATAAATTACTTCATTAACAGGCTACCAGCGGTGCTCTGTAGGCGACCCAGCCCGACTTCAGTGATAGCAGAGAAGGGAAAGGTTCGACCTCGCTGCTGGGCTTTAGTTACCTTTAGGGCATCATATGATTCATATAATTCTTTGGTGATACGAAGCTGAAGTCACCTATTCACCAGCTTCTTATTAGAATTTTCCCGCTCCACCTTAAATGTTGCAGCAGTTACATATTGGCGCTTCAGGCGTCAATACTGCTGGACTATTTAAGGTGGAACGGGAAAGTTAGCTAGCTAGCTACCGAAACATTAGCATGCTATTAGCGATTTTTTATGCTTGTTATGAAGAAAACGTGCATAATACATTGAAATGACATTAAACTAAGATAATACGATGGTTATTGTAATTTTTTTAACGGAGAAAATACTTGTGGGGTTCTTTGGTCGCTCGCGCAGCCATTTTGCCGGGTTTTCTTTTTTTCTGACAACACTCCGTTTGGAGTGTGCCTCTGAAAACTCTCCGTTTGGAGAGCCATGTAGCCCTAACACTTCACCCTGCCCCTCCATCTCAACAAAAATTGGGACACCCTAACCGTAGACGTGAACGCGCAAAACAGAGGGCTAAGGGCTAAGTGGTAGGGGCAAGAGGTGAAATGGGATTGGGCCCAAGACTAGGTTTAGTCTCACTTTGGGGGTCCATTAAATCATGTTAAATCTAGTGTCAGTAGAAAAAAAAGTAGAAAATTTGATTGTCAATAAATAAAACGATTGTCAAAGCAATCAAAACAATATTTTTGTGGATGCAAGTGGTTCATGTGAGTCAAAAATGGTTTTCATGTAACAGATTTTTGGGACACAGCGGGCCAGGAGCGGTTTCAGAGCATGCACCCTTCCTACTACCACAAAGCACATGCTTGTATCATGGTAAACTGATTTCTAAAATTGCACTAAACTTCTGTGAATTACAATTAGCATAGCAGTAGTAATGATAACAGTCCGTTGATGTATGTTAGACACAACTGGACAGTGGTTTCATATGCGCTAAGAGAAGTGAGCAGGATATATTTCCATATTTTACATAGGTCTTTGATGTGCAGAGGAAAGTAACTTACAAGAATCTTGCCAACTGGTATAAAGAGCTGCGAGAGTACAGACCAGAAATCCCGTGTCTGGTGGTGGCTAACAAAATAGATGGTGAGACCATGACTCTTATTTAATTTTCAAAATGTTCTTGATAAATGTTCCTCGTGCTGACAGTCACATGCTAATTTATGTCTTTGCTATTTTGTTTTGTATCTCTCAACACTCTTCGCTTATGGACTGCCTAAAAGCTGACATGCGGGTGACACAAAAGAGCTTTAACTTTGCTAAGAAGCTGGGACTGCCTTTCTACTTTGTATCTGCTGCTGATGGTACAAATGTGGTCAAGGTGGTATTGAAACAGTTCTCATTTAAAGCTTTGAGACATATTTAAGAAACTGTTATAATGTTTCACATGAATGACCACTTTGTTCACACTGTTTGACAGAACTAAGCCAACAAAGCTTTCTAAAATGATTTCTAAGAATGCATGATATCTCCTTCACACATAAATTGGCTCCCTGCAGATGTAAAAAGAGAAAATGAAGATCCAAACATCAAATCAAATGCTTATCATTCTTATCTAGGCTTGATTTTGCAGAGAGTTTGTTTTAATGTTGTTGTTTTAGTTTAATATGATAATTCCTTGATTTAAAATGCTAAAATTAAAATATATTTAGTGAAACATAATGAGCTGAAATGTGTTTCCAGGTTTTTAAAGATGCAATTAACCTGGCCTTGTCCTACAAGAAGAACTCCAGTGACTTTATGGATGAGGTCATGAGAGAACTGGAGGTTTGTGTCTTTGCTGTAATCCAGTGTTGCAGCTGTGTTGGTGTGGTTTACGTTGTGATTGATCGACGTGTACTCCCTTCCTTGCTGCAGAATTTTGAGCTGGAGAGCAAAGAAGAATCATCTGATAAAGAGGAGGAAGAATGTAAAGAGGGAAAAACAGACTCAGCCTGATCATCTCTTTCTCTCTTTGCTTGTGGCGGTAACTGTTATGCTGAATGTTGGCCAGACTATGTTTTGGCATTGTTTAAATCATGGCTGCTCACTAACTGTCCTGAATACAAAGTGAAACCACCTGGGACAAAGCTCTACCTCAGACCTTTGACATACCTTATTGGGATTCTGTATGGAATACACAGACTTTACATGGAATACTCAAGTTTTATGTGTCAAGATTTTACATATATTGATTGTAGGCTTTTGTAAAAGAAATGTCAGTCTGAAGGACAGCTATTTCAAGTACAGTGAGGTGCTGGTATTTCACCAAAAATTACATTTCTGGAAGTAGGACCTCATGAACAAGTGTTGGCAGCATGGTGTAAATATGCAGGGGTGAAGAGAGATTGTACTGTAAGATCGACATGTTTTTACAGCTGTGATATTACAGTGAAATGCCTCAGTAGCACTGTTGATATTTTGCATTCTTCTGATACTGTGAGAAGCAGTGGTAGGTAACCAAACTGTTTATAGTGGTGGAAATTAATGTAAAAGGACTAGTTCCTAGCAAACTGTGCTTAGTAATGCTCTATGTGTGGCATTAGTCTGGTGGTGGAAACCCTCATAATCACATTCTAAAGGTTATCAGGTGCTTGCATGAGGTGCACATGTGCTTGAACCGCTTTTTAAAACAGCTTGTCCAGTGGTAGACAACGATGATTTAGGGCCAACATTAGAAGGCGTATAATGTAAAATCAATATTATGATTACCAGTGTATCACTTTGCACAAACTGTGAATTTGTTGTGTTTTGTTGTATGAAGCACTATGTACATCCATGTCATCTAAAGATAAGATCTCTGGAATAGGAATGAAAATACTATGTGTATTAGACTGGAAACCCATTCCTACTATGGCTGCTTTTTGACTGAGCCTTTGATGTTCATGTGGAAACATCTTTGTATGTGCTGCAATTAAACACTGCTGCTTAAATTAGGTTGTGTATGTTTTAGCTATATGAGCTTTAGGCTTGCTGTAGTGATATGATCAGTACTGCTTGTGTCTGTATACTGCATAATCATCATACACTTGCCTCCGTGTTGAGTTGTTAATGGGGAATTCTAGCGACTTTACAAAATTTCCACCTAACTTAAGTCATTAAGATGTTAACAGTCATTCAGAGTGATCTGATGTGCCATTCCAGAGAAGCTTAGCGAGTCAGAACAGTGCTTGTGACAAGACCCAGACTGAAGCGTTTAATTCTTCTAAAAGCTCCCTCAGAGAAGGTTATTACATGACATGGTGCTGCCTGATGTCTGAGAAAACTATTTTCCAGTAGTACTGACAAAATTTGGCCTAAAACATATCTTGTAAAATCCATTTATGACAGAGGGGTACATGAAAGGGTGTTGAAAAGCAAAATAGTAACCAAAGAAAATTTAGACTTACCACTATTGTACCATTATCAACATTACATATAAAAACAAGACCTGTGTAGGGTTACTGCTTTTGACAAAAATGGCTATATTTGCACTGTAGACTTTGCGACCCCTGGCTCCTATCACCACTATACTAAAGTAATCCAAGTCAGTAATTTTCTCTATAATGCACCAGTTCAACTACTCTGATGACTTTGCATTTCAACCGTTGAACTATGCAGACATTATGATAAATCAGTGAATTTCCTGTTAAGCAATCTCAAGAAGATGTGCTTACTCACCTGATTACATACAGCAACTTACATTAGCCTCTTTGCTCCAGTGCAAAGCTGAAGGAGATATTTTGGACACTTGGCTGATCAACATTTAAAGTCACAGTAAATTGATTTTTGGCTGAGCTATTACTCACTTTGTTCACACAAAGAAGAAGCCTTAAGAAGTGGGTTGTCATCTGGATTTGATACACATTGAAAAAGAACTCTTCAGAGCATGATGAAGCCATCAGAAAACAATGATAACTTAAGCACCAGGGAAATGCATTTCTTACCATTTTTATTGTGCTTTTGTTGGTCAGGAAACAAGAGTGACAACTCTACAGAGCATGGTAATGTGAATGATGTGTTTTATTTCACGTTTCCCCCAACCATTTTTGTTAAATATGGTAAAGTTACAAAGAAATCATCTGCAATTTCCATTGTCACTCTTTTTTTTGTTCAAAGAATCAAAGCCCTCCTGTATCTGAGCTGCATCACTGAAGAGGGAGGGGGAAGGAGGGGGAGGTCTATCTAATGCAGTCAGTCACTCAAAAGCTTGCTGGAGTTCAGCCAAAACAAAACTAATACTCAAACCCAGAACTGAATTGTCCTTGAAAAGCCCATAAAACCAGGTCAGTTACAGGTTAGTGTAATACTTTACAAAACATAAAAATGTATCTGACTTCTACTCGAAGGAAAAAGAAAAAAAAACAAAAACAAAACACTTCTGCACTAGATACAATGAGAGATGCAGCTGGAACTGTCTGGAGTTCTCAAGATTTCCAGGAGGTGGCACCATAGTGCTGATTCTAACAGCTTTAGACCTCAACAGAACTAGTGTCGAGCTAAAAACTACTTACTTTTTGGCACATTCTTTTTTTTTTTCTTTTCATCTTTCACTTGTAATTACTAATCACTCCATACAGACACAAACACAAAAATAAATATCCCAAAATAAAGAGAGGGGATGAGAAGAGTGTTGGAACATGAATATGACCAGTGCAAATGAACGTTATGGGTTCAGAGAGAGGACTGATTGTGAACATGGCTCATGGGCTCAGGGTGTCAGTGTAAAATCCAAAGCAGAGCAGAACAACACCAGTTATCTTCCTCAGTCTCTCTCAGGAAGGACCCCATACGAAAAAGCCACGAATCAACAGCATCTGGCGTTCTTAAAGCAAACAATAATGTATTAATTACTTTAACTAGATTTAAAATGAATTACTAAGCTTGAAAAGCCTTTGAAAAGAAACTGAATTCAAGGATTAAGTTCAATTAAGAGCTACTTGATGCAAGGGTTACAGGGTTCACGATGTAAAAAAAAAATGCTGGTCTGCAGTGGAGGACATGAATGTAAGTCACAGTTTTTTCAGGGTTCCATCTCCAAATCAGCTCAGAGCTTCCCTCTGCAATGTTCTAGCTTCTGAGCTTAAGCAATTTGTATGCCTTAGACAGGAGGGAAAAGGGAAAGGCACTACCTCTGTCTGTGGTTTGTTCAGTTCTTAATTATTCTTCTTCTTGATTATGAAGGAAGGTGAGTCTGAATTCTGAAGAGTTAAATCAGTTAAAGGGCCCATGTCTATTCTTTTAATTTGTGTGGGTTTAGGTACCAAAACAGTCAAAATTCATTTTTATGTGACCATTTCCAACCTCTCTTATCTCTTAGAATTATACAGGCTTTTTTGGTTACTGTGCCTTTAAGACTGATATATGTATATAAATACATACATATGAATAACTTCTTACAGCTTCAACATGAATGTGTGGTCTAAACTGCTGTAGGCTGAACAGGTGTAAATATGTAAATGCGCTGCTTTTTGTGACATCACAAAAACAATGACTTCAGAAAGTTTCCATATATGGACTGGGGAGTAAATGCTATGTTCAGTTTTTCATAAAATGAGCCCTTTTTCTTGGTTGTTAAGACATGGAGAGGTTGTTCCTTTCCCTTCTCTAGCACTATTCTCATCCAAAGCCCCTCACTCCAAGTGGAGCAATGAAACAAGTCCACTTTGTAAGTTAGGCTACCAGAATTCCCACCTGCATCCAAGCCCATCTGCTAGAAGGGCGCAGTGGAAAGCTCTGAGATTAGGACTCGGTCAGAGTGATGATAGGTGCTAATTCTAAAAACAACGTAGCCACCAAGATAGAGGCTTTGCAAAACAGTGTTCCTGCCAAGTACATGGGGCTCCAGAAGGCTTCATTACAAAGATGCACGGATTCTGCAAAAGAGGAGTTGTCCTTGGCTCTTCATGTCTGAACTCACTTTGTTGTGTGGATTCCAACATCAGTGATGAATCGTTGGTGTTTAGGTATCCTAGCACACAGTCTAATGTCCATTTTTCACCGTTTTTTTGTTTAACAGTTCTTATTCAGACATTTAACACTCTTTTCTTTCTGGTACCAACATTTCTTAAAGTAAAGTAAATAAACTGGTGAGATTTGCGTGTGTTTGCGCACGTGCGTAGTGACACTGAGTTAAGTATGTGTTGTTTTCTTAGAGGGAAGATGGAAGTGATGGAAGTGGAGACATGAGAATGGATGGCTTGAATGCTAGCACCTTGTTTTGTGCAAATCATCCCCAAACTCGGTCCATACAAAGGATAAAATCTTTTCACCTTTTTCGACAGGTGGTTAACTATGCATATATGCCAAACATTCATATATAGATCTATATATTTTTTGATTTTTTAAAAATTTATATGAAAACTATCATATATACATTGCTTGTGATTGATATAAAAAGCAAATAATTTGTAATTTGTCCATATATACAGTTTGAGTTTTGAAAGGACAGCTTTTTTTGTGTCGTCATCTTTTAGTCTTTCTAAAATTTAATCTAAGGTAATTAATAAAAAATTATTCTAAGCATTATATTTCACAAGCTACAAAATCCACCTATGATGGGGTTTAACAGAAAACAAATCAAAACCAATAAATAAATAAATAAATAAGCCCAAATGAACTGCCGAAATGCTTCAGTGCTTTAGAGCTGAGCTGAAGAGCCCCTGAGCCACACGAGCCCCTGTGTAGTGGCTCAGAAAATCTCTTACAATTATAGATTCTGCCTTCTGTTTCTTTTATGAGATCTTAAACATCTGTCAGTAACATGCAGCTGAGCTACCATGTAGGGTAAAGATGTTTCTTGTCCCACGGTGGCCCCATCACAACACACAGAAACACACAAGCACACTCTTTTATTGCGTAGCTGATCTCAAATTTACCTAAAAATCACCAAATAAAAAAAAAAAATACTGCAAAGAAGATGGTTAAGACTTTGGGTAAAATTTGATATGGAGGAATATTCATGTGTGCGAGTGTGCGAGGAGCTGTTCATTGACAGTGTCACAGAGATGTTGTCAAGTACTTAGTGGTGTGTGTTTGTGTGTGAGATACAGGGGCTCAATCCAACACACTCTCCACCGTGGGACCCCCTAATTGTAGGCGGAAGACCAAGTTTTGTAAATTACATAAACTCATCAAATAAAGCAAGAGGAAAAAAGGGGATGGTACAATGCGCTGTTAACAAATCTGATACCTGTCACACCTAAAGATGTGACTTTTCATGCTACAGTCCATAAAAGGATGACCAGTAGGAAAAAAAAAGTCATTTTCAACAGTGTTTTTTGTCTTTATATAGAATACCATATATAAGTTTTATATTTATGACAAAATGTTATATTCATATATCTATATACTTTTCTGTCAAATATATATATGTATATAATTGGTAAAAATGAGTAAATTATTGATGGAATAAACATCATCTAAGGGAGAGAGACTGGTGCGCTTCTGCACAGTTCATCTTGTCTTTTCTCAGTCTCTCTCCTTTTTCAAAGCTATGCAAATACATTGAGATATCCTATCTAATGTCACATTCCCTTTGGAACCCCAAAGGAAAAGTCTGATTATGAAAAAGCCACTAGTGTTGGTTTAACATTCTCCAGATGTAATACGTCCCTCAGCCAGAAGGGGGCAGGCGGCAGGTAGAAACGACCCAGCCACACCCACTCTGCTCATCCACGTCTAAAAAATACTCTGAAAGGCAACTGAACTTCCCTCTTCCAACATCATCCCTCCTTTTGTTGTTTTTTTTTTGTTTTCTTTTTCTTTGAATGACTGGTAGAACCTTAAGCGGCAGATAGCGATAGGCCAAGGGTACAGGAAGAGGGGGAAAGAGGGAGGAGAGGAGATATGGAAACCGAGGGTGATTACCGTGTTCAGTAATGCAAGTCAAGCTTTCGCTGATAAGATGTTCTACATGGGAATCATGCAAATCTTAGCCCCACTAATAAACGGAACCCGTCTAATCGTCTGCCGGTAGCAAAATGGGAGGGGTCTGGAGTGAAACTGCTACTAAAGAGGTGGGGCTTACTTCCTTGAACCAATAAGATGATTCAGGGCCTAAGTAAAGATACGTTAACTGAAACTCACAAAAGAAAACAAAACCCATGCAAAAATAATGAAGGAAAAGTGTGGCAAAAAAAGAGAACTTTGTGGTGAGACTAGCTACAGATGCAGCAGGGCGAGGGGTCAACTCTCCAGCAGCTGTTTCAGGGCGCGCTCGATGTTCATTCGGTGTCCGACGCGGGTCACCCCCAGCTCGGCGAAGTCGTCCTTGGTGAGTGCGGGCAGGTGGGAGCCCTCGATCTCGTGCTCCTGGAAGCGCTCGCGGTGTTCACCCAGGTTAATGCTCACCAACCAGTCGCCCACGTCGTACTTGTTCCACAGGTGGAGAGGCTTCTGATGGAAGGGGCGCAGGGTCAGCAGCGGGGCGGGCAGACCAGGGGAATGGGCGGGCGATGGGGAGCGGCTCCTGGCACTGGAGCTCCGCATTACAAAGCGCACCTCTTTAGGCTCATGAGGCAGGCTGAGGCTAGAGGATTTGAGGATGGTGGGGGGAGTGGTGGGGGAGGTAGCCAGGCCAAAGCCCCGGATAGGTCCTAGAGGGTCAGAGCGGTCCGGGGAGCCAGAGCCAGGGCTGGGGGTCCGACGGGTCACCGGGTAACGGCTGCCCGGCCGGATGGTGTAGGTGGTGCCGTAACTTCTCTGAGAGATGGTGTGGAGCTCTCCTAGACTGCTGAAGAGTCTGAGAGAGAGAGAGAGAGAGAGAGAGAGAAAGAGAGAGAGAGAGAGAACAAAAGAAACAAAGAAAGAAAAAAAGAAGGAAGGAATAGAATGGAATGGAATAGAAAGGAAGAAAGGAGAAGAAGGAGAAAGTGAAAACTCAGTTTGTGTAGTAACACAGGAAAGAGCCTAATGAAACTGTTCTACTCTACTCTGTGGTGGCTCTTTCCTGCGAGGTCTATCATTCATGAATCATGAGTCAAACCAGTTATTTTAAGACAGCGGATTTAATTAAATTGGCCAGAGATGTGGCAAACGCATTAACACTGTGTTAGTGAGATGTTCCATTAATGCGTTTAGCCGGAACACAAGCAAGAGGTACTACAGTGCTGCTGGATTAGAGAGAGTGTGCCTAAACAACCTGACCTGATGAGCGTCTGTTAGTTTAGAAAACCCCAAGAAAGCAGAATGCCCGGCAAAATCCAAACAGTAGAATTTAATCTAATGTCCCCTTTGGAAGTGTAGCCCAAGGTGATAAGGTATATAGAACATTGCCTCTCACTATCCTAAAGGACACTAAACAAACTAAAACAAACTATTTCAGATGTTTATTAAAAGCAAGGCTGCAAACCTTCTCATCTAATGAGAAAAACAGTTCATCAGTGCTTGCAGCATTGAGTATCAGCAAGTCTTTAATACTGTCAAAGACAATAAAATGATCAAATGAATAATTGGCTCATATGTTTTCCAATTGTCGTTACTAATACTCCACAAGTTGAAAAAGTTGTAATGTGTGGTCCATAACTGGCCTCTGGGCAAAAATGTAGCAAGAAAAAGTGAAATGTCAAAGTGAAATAATGATTATGTATCAAGTTAGATGAAATATGAATGGAACTAAAGCTTTAATGTTATATTCAAATATGTAAGTCCTGGTAGAGCATATCAAGCAAAGTAACATGCATCAGGTGAGCAGCCCATAGACCTATCCAACTGAGAGAGAGAGAGAGAGAGAGAGAGAGAGAGAAAAGCAGGGAGGAGGGGATGGAAAACTCAACCTTCAAATGGCTGAACAGAAGGTTCCAGAATAAATAGAGCGACTGTCTGACTTCTTGTCACACACTGAATATGTCCCACTGATGACTAATCACAACACTCAGTTAATCAGGGACTATCACTCTATTTCAGCACTGACCGTTAGGGGTATAACAATACATCATGACACAAAATACTGCCATGCAAACATGACAATATGCATGACCGAGATGGGCAATATCATCTATCAATTATGCCATCTAATGCAGTTCCACCACTTGAATGCTAAAGAGTTGGGTTGCAGCACATTCAGTGCCGTAAGATGCACTCCCGTCTCCCATCATTTTTCTGAAATGAATCCTATTCTGAAAATCTTTTGCTTTAAACCCAGAATTGTGAATCAAATTGTGAGCTGACTGTATTGTTGCACCCCTACTCACCACCTAATTGCTTAAAGTGTTTTCTGTTGCTAGGAGTCATGAAAGTCTACACTTCAATCCCTGATTTTGTCTTTCCCAGCTTTGGGAGATCTTGCGAGAAGGACCAAGTGTCAAGAATGATGTTTCAGATAAACACAGCTTGAACACAACTTGCACTTAACCTTAACCACAGACCCCAGTCTCTTAACTGTGTGATTAACTATGCTTAACTGTGAGTGTAGATGTTAGTGTGATGGCTGAAGTGAGATGAGTAGCCAGCGAGACGCAGGTGGGCGAGGCACAGGTGGAGGAGAAGCAGTAGAGAAGCAGGGCTTGTCTGAAGAAGAGGGGGCAGGGCAAGAAAAGGAAAGAGAGGAAGATGAGATGACGCATGCGCACTTACACAGGTGCCCGGCCCTCCGGGGCTTAGCCTCAGATTCAGTTCTAGACAGAGCAGCGTGGCATGCAGAGAGAGAGTGTGAGCAGAGAGATAGAGAGAGAGAAAGGGTGAGAGAGAAGGAGAGAGAGAGAGAGAAAGAGAGAGAGACAAAAAGAGAGTGAGATAGAGGCAATGATAAACAAAGAGCGGTTGGTTAGCATCAGTCCATGAGAGAGCAGAAACAGACAGGCATTTCACATCAACAATGTCAAACCAACCAAAAGCCATGAGACAAATCAACAGCTGGCCCCAGACTTCAGCTTCTCCTCTGGAGTTCTATCTCAGATAGATATGGTCTGCCTAACTTGTCAAAATGGCGCTGAACATTGGCATACAACAGTCTATGTTGGAACACTTATATTACATATTATCACTGTTATTTCAAAACCATGTAACTCCATGTAACTTTTTTTTTTTTTAACCATTTTTATTTTTCTACATCATTTGAATGCAGCAGCTAGTCATTTCATGATAAGTGGAAAAATAAGCCAAAATTACTTGGGATAAAATCTCATTACATTAATTTACACTAAAGTTAAAGAACATTTCTACATTCTCCTGTAAAGTTAGCACTTTGGAGATACATGGTTTTATTAGGACAGTGGGGATATATTGCATATGTCTAAGTCTAGGGTCAGGTGCCATAATGAAGAGAAAAAAAAAAGAAACCAAAAAGCATAAAAACCATGAATGCACGGAGCAACAATTTTTCCAGAGAGAAGCAATGACAGTCAGAGTGTTAGGAATGGCCCAAAGAGCCGCATGGCAGAGTTCAGTACGAACACACCATGAATCCCAAACCCCACCCCTGAGCAAGCACTAGCCTAGACATGAATGAGTGAGGACCAACAGGAATGAGGACAGAGATAAACACGGGGACACTATACAGACACCACGTAAGGAAATGACTGATGCTGATGAGGAGGAGAGGCCATCTTCATCACATGCCTTCAGTGACATCACAAATTTCACGCTTCTGGCCCTCAGTGGCATCACACACATATCCACTATTATAGAAATATTGATGCAGTTTCAGTATTTCAAAAGTGGGACAAGTAGATGAGATATTACTATCAGAGAGCTGAAGATGCGTATTGAGAGAGGTGGGGCATTGAGGTCGGTAGCAGAAGTTAGAAGTCACTCAGGTGATAGATCAGAGGGTGAGAGAGTGCATTCCAGGCCCTCTGTTACCATGTGAACATCCCACAGGACCAATAACTATCCCCTACACAACACACAAGGGATGAATGGGAACATCAACGTGGTGAAAAGTAGAACACACTTTTAATCAAATGTGCTAGATGGGACATTACAATTTTGATAAGAGAAAGACATTTTTTGGGGACTGGCCAGGGGAGGACAAGGCAACAGATGACCTGGAGAATGTTATTACTAAAAGCAAAGTGTCATTAGAGGTCGTTTCATTAATGTGGGATTAGTGAACAGGTTATTTGAGATGAGAAAATAATAGGAATGATGTTTGATTTACCCTAGTGGGCTAAAAGCTAAGGTTTACTCTCTTCCATGTCCTTGTCACATCTGTAGGAATATAAAGGGCTTCAGTTGTATTTCAGGATATTAACAGAAAAGAACATTGGTGGTGCATAAAAAAACCAAGAACAGAGAAATAACTTACTATTGACCATTGCGCCAGAAAATGCCTATGTATTCTTGTAAGATAGGCCTCTAGATAGAACCTGCTGAGGGAAGTTCCTTCTAAGTTCCTACACTGGTGATCTACAGGTTCTACAGCTCTGCTAAGAGACTAGTAAGTCTCCTTTACTTACCAGCAACCGTCGAGCGTTGAGATACTGCTGAAGCTCCAAACTTCTCAATGAAAAAAAGCAATTTAAACATTAGCCTTTCATGTTTCCTAAAGAGCAGGAGGTGACTGAAAAGACTATGAATTATCTAGAGGTCAAGTATGAGTTCACAACTGAATGCCACTCCTGCACATAGTACAGTTTGCACATCAGTCTGTCCACAATGTCTAGATCATTGCTGCTTAGGCAAGAACCGATTTTGCAGTTATTACAGATGCAAATCTCAATTTTTAATGTGCACCTGCTTTTAAGGGAAGCAGTGTTGCTGTAGAGACAAAATGGGATGAGTCAGAGCTATTCTGATGTGCTAACATCACTAAATAGCAGCTGAGGCAATGAAGGCTAACGCTAATGCACTGATCTTTGAAAATTAGAACAGCATCAACCACTGTTAGCATGTGTGCTACACTGTAAATTATAATTTGCAGTCTGGCTCAAGATATATCTGGCAGATAACTGAGCCTAAACATAGCAAAAAGCAATTAGGTTAAATGTAGGTTAACTGACTGAGATGACTAGACAAGAATAGAGTGCTACAGCATGACAAAACCTCCATCAAGACTGCTGTCCATCAAGAATTAAACAGTCTTTTTAAAATGCTAATGTCAGCCATACACATATCTGATTATATATAATGTTGCCAGCATCAAGAGAATATGTTAAAAAAGACTGGAAAATGTAATATTAAATCTCATTTGATACAGTCTTTTAATACATTTTTCAAAGATGCTAACAAAACAGGTTGGACATTTTATCATCATTGCTTTGAAAGAGCCAGTGAATGCCGCAGCTCTACCTAGCTTTGCATCTGTTCTGCAGCAGAACATAACTTGCTTGGAGTGAAACTTTTTTCCTACATCACACGTCCACGCTTACTCCAACAGTCTTAGCAGAGTGATGGGGCAGATTTATCTCACTTTTGTGGTGGCAGCAGACTTTGCGCACAATGCAGTCATATAGCATATTAGGGGGATTTATCAACGTGGCACACAATGCGGTTTGTGCTCGGTTGAAAACTGGAACAGTTTATTTTTGAGACGTCTGAGTGTTCACATACAATTTAGGGAGTTGCCCAAAATGATGCAAAATATTGGTTACAAAATGAACCATTCCTGTAATTTGTCAAAATTCAGTCAAAGGCTTCTGCACGGTTTGCTGCCTACCACAGTAAGTGCAAATGTAATTTCATTAAAAAAAAAGAAAAAGAAAAAATGTCTATATATCAGGCACACCAGAGTGATTATGTATACTGAAAAGCAGAGAAATCATGACCCACTGTTTCATTTCAAATGGCAGATTTTATGAAAAAAGTGGCCTTGCCAGTTAAATACAATAGCCTCTATTAACAGAGCATGATTACAAAAACTGTGTTAAATTCAGCTTTTTGTTTGTTTCATTTTTAATGCCAAACCCCTTTAGAATGGAATAATCATCATTAGGCTGTAACCCAAATAACACAGAAGTAATTGTCGACAGCGACTGCAGATTTAGTCGTGAAAAAACAAAGACCAAATCTGCAGTCACTGCTGAGAGGGTTGATTGCTTGTTTATGAGGTCAACAACTGCACTGTTCATGGCTGTGCATATGTCCTCCATTGTTTCTTCTTTAAAAAGGGGTTGTTACAGGTTATATAGCAGCATTGCAGAGATGCTGCAACAGTTTTCATTTACATATGGTCATAAAAAAATACTACTAATTTGGCCACTTGTGCCACCCCAATGGTTATTTGTGCCTCATTTGATAAATCTGCCCCTTTAGTGCTTAGCAGGATTTTCATGAACAGTCTGTATGGGAATACCTACAACGAACATCCTACACTCAGTTTGAATGTGAGCTTGGTGACCCTACTAAGCTGACTCCTTACCTGGCACCAGCCACAGGCGACTTGCGTCCAGGGTCGAGTGAGCCTCCGAGAGGCTCCTCTCCAAGCGAGCGCGTGTCCTTGTTGAGCTGCTGCAGTCTGGAACTGAGCTCGCTTATCACAGTGGGCTTGCCTTCCTCTGCGCCTGCAAGCGGACGGGGCTCTATGGGGTCCCCCCATAGCTTGGAGCGTCTCTGGAAGAGGTAGCGGGGTCTTGCTGGGCCCGAGGCCCCCGTGGCGGCAGCCAGCGCAGCCGCGTGCTGCTGTGAGAGCAGCTCGCTGTCAGAGGACTGCTTAAGCAGGGGGTCCCTGAACGTCACGGGGCCCTTGCTGAGCTGGGACTTGAGCTTTGGCTTTGGAGGCACTGGCGGCTTGTCGAGGATGAAGGTCTGGCCGTCGGCGTGGGAGGTGTAGGTGTCGGTGGGCTCACCGCTCTCTGAGGACAGTGTGGACATGCTGGAGACGGTGGAGATGGTACTCGTGGTCTCCAGGTGGTGATCACTGGAGCTACGAGTGTCCACCTCCTCCACCCCAGAGTCAGCAGCAGACTCTGGGCCCAGGTGGGGCTCAGATGGCTTCCCTGAGGCTGCTGGTGGGCCGCTGGCGGCTGGGGCCTGTGCTGCTGTGGCAGCAGCTGCTGTCGAAGGGGCAGGGGCCTGGGCTGAGTCTGAGGGCACTGTTTGCTTGCCTGCCAAAGGAGGAGCAGGAGGTACAGCAGCTTCCGGTGCCTTTGCCAGGACACCATTGGCAAATTCATCTGGTGGGGGAACCACTCCAATTTTGCGAAGTTCCTCTCGTGTCTCCTCATCACTAGAGGACAACATAGCAGGTGGTAACGTGACTGTATAGGGCTCTACATCTTCCTCTGAGCTTCCCTGGGCCAAGGTTTTATCTGAAGATGGGCTAGAGGATGGCTGGGGGCGTTTATCTGAGGTGGGACTAGGCGGAGCCTGGGGGGTTGAGGGTGTGGTTGGTGTTGGAGTGGAGGCTGCTTCTGGACTAGGGGACTTTGCACGCTTGATTTCAGCCAGCATAGGTTTCGGGCTCTCTGTCCGCATGCCTTTGGGAGGGGGGGAAACACGGTCTGGGCCCAGTCCCACTGCCTGTCCATTACTGGTTGCATGAACCATAATAAGCCCAGCAGTCTTCTGCTGTGATGTGTCCATAATGCTGATGATCATGCTCTTCTTGTCCTCCACCTTCCTCTCGTCTTTCTTATCTGCTCCTATTTCCATTTCTTTTCTTGCAGTGGTGGGCGTCCCCCACTGGATTTTGCTAGTAGGGGCAGGAGTGTAGCTCCTTTTTCCTCCAGGGGAGAAGGGGGGGGAGGCAAGCTCCCCTTCGCCTTCTGAACGCTCGGCCTCTTTGGTTTGGGTGTCCATGAGCAACACCCCTCCAGCAGCCTCATGTTTAGTCCTGGGCTCAGGGCTGCTGGCAGGGGACTGGCTCTGGGAAGTTAAAGCCCGTTCCCTTGCGGCCAGCGCAAGTGCCAGCGGGGAGTTGGGGTCCAGGGGCTTGCCTGTCAGTGGGTGGATAAAGGTGGTGCCGCCCGGAGAGGGTCGCAATGCCAAGGCAGGAGGAGGCAGCTGACCGAGCTCACTAGTCAGCAAGCGTTCATCAACGGAATGGGATTGTGTGAGAGAGGGAGCCTCTACAGGAGTGGCCGAGCTGCCTTCCATTGTGCCCACGGACAGGAAGACTGTGGATTTCCGCCGCTCCTCAAGGCGCCGCTCCCTGTCCTTGACGGCACCGGCAATGGCAGCGGCAAAAGGCCCCTTGCCATGCAGCAGCCCCTCAGCCTGGGCACGTGTGCGCTCCTGCAGCAGCTGCTGCTGGTAGTACTCGGCCCTGCTGGTGTGGTGGGCCGCCAGTCGGCCCGTGGGTGAGTGCTCTCGTGCATGGACCGAAGCCAGGGCCAGCGATGCCCTTTCTTGGGCATCTTCCACCTGCAGCTGCTTCACCAGCGGGCTCTTCCTACGCTGGGGCTTGCTGGGCGGTGGTGTGTACAGGCCCATGCTGAACTGGCCCACATTGGCGTAAGGGTTGTCAATGACCCGCCCTTTCCTCTTGATCCTCTCAGGCGGGGTGGAGGCCGGGCCAGGCCGTGGGATGTCCGTGGGTTCCACAGGGAGGTGGGTGGAGTCCTGCAAGATGATCATGGACCGAGCCTTCTTCTGCCGCTCGATGTGGGCAGCATGCCGGGGAGGCTCGTACATCTCAGCTGACATGGTCTGCGGCAGGGCGTGCAGCCTCGGCTCTGAGCCTGGCTTAAAGCTGGAGCGACTGGGGTCGTGAAGCCGACTGGGGGGAGGGGGCGGGGGACAGAAAGCTGGAGGAGGACCTGTGTCCAGATAGTAGAGCGAAGGTGGAGGAGGGGGTGCCGTCTGGGGAGGGGGAGGGATGCTGTGACTGTCTCTTAGGCTGTCCGTCATAGAGGAGCTCCGGGGAAACCTATGCTCCGCCGCCAGGGCAGACAGCCGGTCCTCCTCAGTGGCTCCTGCACAGACAGAAACAGAGCTGCATGGAAAACTCTCTCAGCACAGGCTCAGAAGATGAATCACAGGACCTGTCTCAGCACTCATTCTCTCCTCCTGCCATGACTGACATTAAAGAAACTAATACACTGACAAAATGAAATGAAACCCTCAAAATGAAAGGCTCATCATTCAGTTATTACTCTTAAGACTTACTATTAAGTAACTACTATGAAGCTACTAAAACTAATATGTAAGTTATGAGAATGAGGAATTGAAATGTGGGCCCACATAAAAGCCCTTAGGGTTTAAGAAGTTAATAAAAGCAAAACTGAACAAATCAAATGCATTCACATTTGTGGAGGAGACAGAAAGCCTCCAAATTAGGAAGGCATCAAAAAGTTCTGGAATAGGTCAAAATACTCTACTTCTGAATTTGACTGAATGGTTTTCATGCATTAACCCAGGTGTGTTTATAATGTTGTAGGATTACCGAAGGACTTGGTTCTGGACATGCCTTTGGGCAGCTGCATGTGAGCTTTTTCCAGCGCTGGGTGAAGGGCACCATGTAAAGCAAGACCCTGCCGCTCGAAAAGAGACTACATGTACATGTACACACACACGCACACACACATAAAAAATTGTTTTCCATTCAAGTTATGACAGAGCCATTCACAGTTAGAATTGTTGTAATAATAAACTATTATCAAATTGTAATATTAAATTATACCATTATAGGAATACTACACTATATTATAGTAATACAATTATTATTTAATATTATTACACTATTACTTTTTTATACAGTACTGTACAAAAGTCAGGGACCACCGTTCATAAGTACAAGTTATTCATTTTTCATTTGGGGGAAAAAAATAGCAGAAAACATATTTAACAGAGAATTATACAGATGCTTCAACAGCTAAATATAATAGCATTTTTTCAGTATTTAGTGTGTCCACACCTTGCACATCCATTCTTTTCAGGAGAGTTTTTCACAGAAATCTGCAGTGATTTTTTTCCACACCTGTAAAGCTCAGTCTTAGATGTTGGTGGCATTTTCTAATTTGTACGATCCAAATAATCCCAACACATTCAGTGATTCTGGACTCTGGGTTGGATAGCCCATTGTTTTAAGAACACCAGCAGCTTCTTTATTTGATTTACAGATTTTCCTTTTCTCAGTAGTGGCTTCTTGACAGATACACATCCTTTCAGACTCATAGCTTTGAGTTGTCTTCTCACAGTGGAAGAATGGACAGAAATAAATTGATTGTTTTCAGATCTGAAGCAAGAGTGGAGCTTGATTTTCTCATCTCTCTCAGAGATGAAAGATTTAAGTACTGTTCATCTGATGGTGACAGTTTTGGGGTTCTACCAGGTCTTGCATGGTTGTTTGAAGTTCAAATTTCTCTATATATTTTAATAATTTTTTTAACTGTAGTTTTTAAAAATCCTGTTTTTTTTTCCATTTATTTTCCTTTAAGTTTCTCCTTTCTTGTGCGAGTGGATGATCTTATATCTAATCTCCTCAGGAATATCTCCTGACAAATTAATAACTTGTCCTTAATAACTGTTTTGACTGGAAATTAAATAAATGAACCTCTGACTTTTGCCCAGTATTGTATGTCATGCTTATAAAGAGATTTTGATCAACAGTGATTATTCAGAGATTATGAACTGTTATGCGGTGTCCATGTTAGTCTCCATGACGTCTTACACTGATTTCTGCTGGTGTAATTCGGCGACTTGTTGGTCGTTGCTTCACCGTGGCTGCTCTATAGTCTGCCTCCACTTGTGGCTTCAGCACTGACTCCTGGGAGGCCAAGATTTCATCTAGCCTTTCTGCACAAATGCATGCACACACACACGCACACATGCACAAACACCCACGCACACAACAAGTTTAAACACACCTATACCAAAAACAGACACCTACATCATAGGCATGTTCAGGAGAGCTAACACCACTGTCTTTGTTATGCATAGGAGCATATTATAAGTACTCCAATAAAAACACGAGAAACACGTTTTATGCTGTCACTGTAAATTATGGCCTCTTGCTCATGCCTGACTGAAATAATATTCATAAATATGAATGGGATAAAAACACATTTAAACGGCAGTTCAGTGACGGCAAGATGAGATGGTACTGATGATTGATGTGAGCAGTAACACTGAGGTAACACTTAAACAGTGCCAAAAACATCCAGCCATAACTCACCTCCTCGCCTCCTTCTTGCAGATGCTTAGCATGGAATAAATAGATACAATATTACTGTATTACACTCTCACAGTAGCCAATATACACAGGATCAGTTAGTGTTTGTGTTATTCTCTCACAGAAAGAAAGAATAATACAAATACTAGGTGAAAAAGGGGGGCTTATTTTCAAACAAATAACAAACGTCTTTCTTGATAATATGCTCTCATGTTTCTTGTCATAAAGACTATTACAATATGAGATATCTAACAAATTGTGGCAAACTGCAAGTATGGCACACATTCCAAAACAGACATCCACACTTTATTTTGGCATTTTTTAAATATGTGTAAATTGTCTAAATATATGTGTGTGTGTAAAAACGCATTGTTTTGTGAGCTCACAAAAGCAATTAATTTAAAACAGGTGGGTTTCGAAGCCTGATTTCCAAAACATCTGCTCAAAAGGCATTTAAACAGCAATCTTAAGGTCTAAACCGCTTATCCTTCTGGGTCGCGGTGGGGTGCTGTCCTATCCCAGCTGGCATTGGGTGGAAGGCAGGATACACCCTGGACAGGTCGCTAGTCCATCGCAGGGCAGACAGACAGACATACACACACAATCACACCTAGGGGCAATTTAGCATGTCCAATCATCCTGACTGCATGTCTTTGGACTGTGGGAGGAAACCGGAGTACCCGAAGGAAACCCACACAGACACAGGGAGAACATGCGAATTCCACACAGAAAGGACCCTGGCCGCCCGGCTGGGAATCGAACCCAGGCTCTTCTTGCTGTGAGGTGACAGCACTACCCACTGCGCCACAGATCCATTGCAAGCAATGCAAACATAAACCCTAACACTTGTAGAAAAAAGCAATAAGCTGTAGTCACAATATTTCCCTTTTGTACGTGTAGATGGAGATTTCTCTAGAGAAAGTAAAAGGAAGCCCCTGCTTTTTGTCCCAACTGTGAGTGCTCCTGTTTTTCTTTAGAAAAGGTCTGTTTTCAAGCAGAGATGATTCAAAACATGTAGAACATAATCCCCAGAACTGCTGAAGCTGTTTTAAACATAAAAAGCCAAGAAGCCAAAAAGTCAAGCTTCTTATTTCTATTCTACACCCATATATCCAAACATTTTAAGGTTTCTGTTGCTTGATGTTACGCTGTGTAAATGTGTTTCTCTTTGTATGTGTATATTACAATAGGAGAACAGATTGAGTGGGAAAGACACAGCTGATATTTTGAACAGACCAAATGGCAGAAAGAGGGAGATGACACAGTGTAGCATGCAAACAACAGAGAGACAGAGAGAGAGAGAGAGAGAGAGACAGAGACAGAGAGAGAGAGAGAGAGAGAGAGAGAGAGCACAAAGCGATACAGAGAACACTCCAATTGTGTGCATGTGCTGAGCTTGTGTGTGTGCAAGCATTAGAGCCTGACCAATATATAGTTTGACTGACAAAAATGGCTGATTTTAAAGTTCCATGGATTTACTGCTAATCAGTGATGCAGAGTTGCCAGAAAGCAACAATGTGTCTATAAATGTTATATAAGAAAAACACGTCCAGGAACGTCGTGCTATTTTGAGCAACAACCAATGGCTGTTTATTTAAGAAATCTGATCACTGAGAACTGCCAACATCTGTCATACATCTGAAACCTGGTTACTAACTTTTCTTATGCAAGTGCATCACTAGATCCAATTTTCTGGTGCACATGCACAATAATCATGGGAAAAGTCAATAAATGAGCTAGAGTTTCTCATTTTAACCTTGCTTGTTGGGCTAAACTACACTGCACAAACATTATGATCGAACACAACATTTCTAATAGTGCCTCAACGTCTTTCCTCTGAATGCTTTCAGTTTCCATGAAGACAGGTTGTACGGCAACTATTCTCAAAACAGAGCCAGGAGTAGGTGAACATAGACATATGCAAGTAGGCCTTATTTAACAGCAAAGATATACAAATATATACAATATACACGATATAGCCAAAAGTATGCGGATACCCCTCCTAATTATAGAGTTCAGGTGTTTCGGCAATGCCCCCATCTCTGGGTTGTACTGAAGAGCTCAGTGACTTTAAAGGTAAAACTATCAAAGGATGCCACCTTTGCTACAAGTCAGTTCATGATTTTCTTCTCTGTTAGATCTGCCCCAGTCAACTGTAAGTGCAATTATGGTGAAATTGAAACATCTGAGCAACAATAGCTGAGCCACAAAGAAGAGCTCACAGAGCTGTGTGGCTCATAGAAATCGCCTATCCTTTGTTGCGTCACTCACTACAGTGTTACAGATTGCTTCTTGAAGCAACATAAGCACAAAAACGGCGCATCACGAACTTTGTGACATGGATTCCATTGTTGAGCAGCTGCACACAAGCCAAAGATAATAATGCGCACTGCCAAGCGTTGGCTGGAGTGTAAAGCACACCACCACTGGACTCTGGAGCAGTGGAAATATGTCCTCTGGAGTGATTAATCATGTTTCACTATCTGTCCGATGGATGAATCTGGGTCTGGCGGATGCCAGGAGCACACTACCTACTGGAATGCATAGTGCCAACTGTAAAGTTTGGTGGAGGAGGGATAACGGTCTGGGGCTGTTTTTCAGGGTTTGGACTCGGCCCATTAAGTCAAGTGAAGGGTAATAATAATGCTGCAGTATATTTAGAGATTTTAGACAATTATATGCTTCCAACTTTGTGGCAACACTTTGGGGAAGGCTCTGTGCTGGTTTAGCATGACTGTGCCCCTGTGCACAAAGTGAGGTCCATAACGACATAATTAAACGAGTTTGGAGTGGAGGAAGTCCAGTGGCCTGCACCTGACCCTCAACCTCATTGAACAACTTTGGGATGAATTGAAATTTTGATTGCGAGCCAGGCCTGCTCGTCCAACATTACTTTCTGACCTCAGAAATTCCCACAGACAAACCCCAAAATCTTGCAGAAGGCCCTGTCTGAACAGTGGAGGCTGTTATAGCCACAAAAAAGGGAGTCAGCTCCATATTAATGCCCATTTTGGATTGGAATGTCCAACAAGCTCATGTAGGTGTGATGGTCAAGTGTCCACATACTTTTGGCCATATAGTGTATATGCAGATGCACAATATATGTCATCGATGTCAAAACAAAACCTTGTAACTTTACAAGACAGAAAAAAACATTCTTAACTTTCATTTTAGACAGTTGCTGTTTGTCGGTTTTGACACTGAAAATAGCAGCTGGTATTTTCAAATTATGAAAAAATAAAAAAAACAAAACAGATATAAAAGGTTTGTCAACCATAAAGCAACTGGAGTAAGGCTAATGCTTAAGGCTAACCACTTGTAGCCTAACAAAAACACATATTAGACTGCAAAAGCCTAAACCTATTTTTCAAAATTTCTGTATTATTTACATCTAGAAGATTGAATTAAGTCATTCAGAGCAGTTTGATGTGAAATGCTCTAGTCTAGAGAGACTTACCAAGTAAGAATTGTTCACAGTGGTGGTGATAGGAACCAGATGTCTCTAGCATTTCATGCCTCTAAATGTTTCCTCACCGAATGTCATTCACATAAAATTGTTGTGAATACTTTGCCTGATGCTTGAGACATTGTTTTATGTTCATTTTGAGGCAAAGTTTTGGCCTAAAACCTAACTTTCAAAATCTATTCATTGCAGAGAGGTGCATACAGGGTGTTATACGCCACAATAATACCCAAAGGAAACATGATTTTTCAGATGTACCACTATCTAACAATTATCAGCATATAAAAATTCAGAAGACGTGAAGGTTTGCTGGTGGTTTTAGACAATAAATAAAATGGTTGTTATTGCATTGTAGACATTGTGACCCTTGGTAGGTTCCTCTAGAACATTTCACATCAAAACACTCTGAATAATTTTGTTTACATCTCAAAGATTGAAATATGCAGAAATAAAAAAAAGCTTTCTGTTTTCAATGCAGACTGACAAGGAAAGAGGTTGAGCTGTGCCCCCTTTGATTTAGAGTGTGCCCCACTACAACCAGCAGTCTACAAACGCCCATGCACTAATGTCTCGGTATAACTGCATAATCTTCTCCATCAAACAAGAGGCTAATTTATATTTATTACAAATGAAGCTTGCCAAGGTCACCAGTGATGGAAAAAGAAGAATAACTAAACGTAGTCTGCCATTATTTAAAGGTCAGGCCCAAAAACTACTAACTTTTGCTTAATATGTCAGACAATATTATCAGTGTTAAATATGTTTGGCTCTTTAAAACTGGTGTTAGTCAGGCAGTAAAAATGATATCTGCTGATATTATTGGCTACTGGAATTGTTAGTTCTTTAAATTTGGCAATTTTTACAAAATTGTAACCTTGGTCAGACTCTAGTATGCAGGAAGGAGTAATATTGCTCGTCTTACCCAGCTCCTCCAGCTCAGCGGTCATGCTCTTGCTCCTCAGGGTGAGTGTGGTGCTGGGCGCTCTCTTGGGTGGTGGCGGTGCTGTGGAGGAGAGGCAGGGTGAGGATGAGGAGAAATTGCGTGAAGACCCCCATTTGCTGCCCACCTGCAGCTGCCATCGCTTTTTCAGCTCAGCCAAGCTCGACGCCTTTTGTGGCCGCGCGACCTTGTTCAGACTGCGGTCTGACGCAAACTTCTTCATGCTTCTTCTTACACTTTCACGCCCACACACGCACGCAGATCACAGGTCACTCAGCTAGGCCTCTCGCTCATGTGTCCGACTGCCGGCCCGCCGCGCACTGCCTCTCTCTCTGTGACATTCCAACAACATGCAAGCACGCTCCTCTTTTTACATCTCCTCACTCTCTCCATTTCTCAGTACTCTCCTCTTCTTCCTTCTTTCTTCTGGACACTCAGACGGGTGGCCGTTTCTCAGAGTCAAATGCACCTTTAATTCTGCGAGCATGCTGAGCTAACACTGCGAATGCTGCAATGCCCTGACGAAACGAGAGATGGAGAGAGAAAGGCAGAGAAAACGACAAGAAAACGGATAGAGTTGCAGAAAATCAGATGCTTCTGCTTTTCTCTCACAGTGATATCCGCCCAAAACTCCTCAGTCGCTCTGACAGAGAGAGAGAGAGAGAGAGAGAGAGAGAGAGAAGAACAGAGAGGGGAGAGAGAAGGAAAGGGAAAGCAAGAGAGAGACAGAGAGAGAGAGAGAGAGAGAGAGAGAGAGAGACGCAAGGAGAGAAAAAGAGACAAGTAACAGAGAAGGGAGAGAGATAAAGAGAGAGAGGAGAAGACAGAAGTGACCGAGATGGAAAAGAGAGAGAGCGAGAGGGAAAGCAAGGAGAGGAGAGAGGTAAGCCAGAAGTAAGAGAGAGGAGAGAGAGAGAGAGAGAGAGGAGAGAGAGAGAGAGAGAGAGAGAGAGAAATACCAAGGCTCAATGCAATGCTAAATTCTAACGTTCATTGTAGTAACCATGGAAACTCTGGCAGGAGCAAGGCCTGGGTTGATGCAGCTAAACTGTGAGAATCGGTGTGTGTTTGTGTGTATGAGAGACACAGGCAGAGAGAGAGAGAGAGAGAGAGAGAGTGATGGAGAGAAGAAACTATTACAAAACTTGACATAATAGTCATTATAACATATACATGTCACCTTCGTCATAGTTTCATTGAGAGCTTAAGCACACGATTATATACTGATATATGAGAATGTGTCTGCGTCCTTCTGCTGTAGCCTGTAAGTTTACACACCCACACACACCTACTCATCCACCAACACAAACACCAACACACACAGCATTATTACAGGTACAAGTGCAGTGTTTTTAAAAGCTAGATTGTTTGGGCAGTTCAAGTAACACAGATATGATATTAAATCAAGTATTTCAAATATTATTGCAGTAAAATAAAGCTGAAGCTGTGGTGGAAGTCTATCGTCTTTAATTGATTAATTCCTAACAGGCTTCAAAAGGGTCTGCTGCATTATTCATCCAGCAGCACAATTTTCATCTCCCTATTTTCATAGTAGACACAGCTGCATAAGTATATTCACAAATGTAATAAAATAAAAATTTATTACTGCATCTACTCTGATTATATGTCAATAAAACAAATTGTACAGTCATATCAGCCTAAAATCTCCTGCTGCAGGTAACATTATGTGTTGTGCTGTTCTGCGCGGCTACACAAACACACGCAAGGGTGAGAGCGGGGTCAGAACTGTGTGGGAGTTGCAGAGAGAAGGCAGGATGGTTTACATGGATACAGAATAGATTATTGTGCAGATATGGTCCCATCAATGGAGAAGGAAATAAAAAAGCTACTCTGTCCCATTACAAACCACCCATCTAGCAAAATGAGCCATTCTCTTTTATTAACTTGACTTTGCTTGATTATGAAATCTCATTAAAGTGTAGACACACAATCTCTCTTTGAACCTTTTTTCGTAGAGAGGGAGAAAGAAAGAGGGTCGTGGGGTTTAACTATGAAACCAAGATTGCAGTTGCAGTGTATTTGTATACGCGAGTTCACAGACAATGAGGCCTGCGCGGAAGATGGGGAACAGGAAAGTTCTCATCATGCATCGTGATGTTGACCATTAGAGGATGGGTTCCCTCTTTGAGTCTTAGCCCCACTCAGTGTTTCTTCATGCTCTTAGAAAGTGCTCTAGTCCGGTCCAGTCTATTGTCTTAGACTGGTCTTGGAATCCACAGTAGTTGTACTCGAACTAGACCTTGTTCCGGCCATTGGTCTTGCCAAGTTTAGACTCTGGTCTCGACCAAGAACAACTACTGTATTCCTTTATAATAAACAAATAGAAAATAGTCACAAGTATAGACTTGAACTCAAACACAGCATAAGTTTATTACAAGTATCATAAATTACATTACTACTTAATTGTGTAATGACATAATTTCATTTAAACAGTACAGCAAAATGAAAATAACAGCTCAAGAATTTGAAATGTTAACTCTGTTGTCCCAAGCTCTCTCTCTAATGACTCAATTTTAAAAGACCAAGAACTCCTAGACCACCTAGTTAGCTAAATACCTAGCTTAGGTACTGGTGAAATAGCTACCATTAACATTAGGTAAAAGTGTATTAGGGGAAGTACTCTGTTTTAGAGACGGTTTATGTTGGTTGCACTACTAGGCTTAAAATAAAGTTCTATTCCTGAAAATCAGTCTTTCAATGTATGTTAACTGTGGGCAATGTATACTAGGTAATGTGACTGAAACTAACCAATCCCTAAACTTCACTCTTTGTATTTTAAAGGAGCAATTGTACTAAAGCAATAAGCCACGAGATGCCATGCGTTACTGCAATTTTATTATGGAAAGGGTGTTCTTAACTCCCTTCCCTGTGATAAAAACGCAGTAATGCACATCTTTTTCAGAAAATAATTTGTTATTATCAGTAATAATTGATATCTACATAGTTCCTTTAGAGTATGGTATCATTGCCGTGCAACCATGTACCACTTAATGAGAAGAACGTTTAGTCACTCATCGCTGTATACTGCAGTCATTTCATGAATTTTTTCTTTTTGTTGTATAACAGTGAACAACAATGAATGTAATCCAGCAGCTCCCCTCTTCTTGTGGTGGGACTGAATCTCAAATGGCTCCCTGCTCCCTACATAGTGCCCTACATTGGAATTTAAATACTGGATCCTGCACCCCAACGGTGCAAACTATAGCTAAGAAATAGTCATTTGGGACTCTGCAACATCCATACTCAACAAATAGTGCACTATTTGGCTGTAGAGGCTAGAATTTCTAAACTTTCATAGCTAGCACACTTTTTAGAGAATACAGTGCCATTTGGGATTCATCCTGGGTTTGACACTACTTCTGACTGAAACATGAATATTTGAAGCACGTAATCCATTCAAGTGACATTTTTTAGACTTTTTTACTGCCGTTTTAGTTAATCATACCATAAGTACTTTAATTCAAGCCTGTGATACGAATGATGGAGTTGTTTAGGCTGCTAGCTATCTTTTAGCCTGTTAGCTAGCTGACTAGTCACCAGCCCTTCAGTTTAAACAAAAAACAGGTTCTTACTTCATCAATATACTCGGTGGTCCATGCGAGCAGCATGAGAGTCAAAGATTATTCCATCAACAGTACAAGGGTTTTTTTGTGCCGTGGCACAGTACTACACAATTCAGTTGCTGTTAGGCAGTCATGGGTGTGCTTATATCGTGGATTTAACGGCTCTTAACGTGACTCAGCCAATCAGATTTTAGGACCAAAACTATCTGTTTTATAACAGGTAATAAGATTGTGGACTAACCTTAACTCATTTTATTTTAAAAAGATATTTTCACTAGCTAATGTGGTTGGAGGGAAGGTAACCCTAACCTTCTTAATTTGAAGGAGCAATTTACATCTGCCCAAACAGGGGCCTCTTCTGCCCCACCTGGGACTTCTTGTGCCTGGCCTTGGGCTTTGATCTGAAGAGCAAATGGTTTTTCCTGCCACTGCTGACCTCAGCTTGCTCATTAGGGGACCTGGATTTCTGTGGTGCTGCTTTGGGACACTGTCTGCTGTAAAATGCACTGTACAAATTAAATTTAACTCAAAGCTCCATCCAATTCAAATTAGGCAATGCAACTGCCAAAGCTGCAATCTTTCATGGTGTAACTTTCTAGTTTCTTCTATCTTTGTATATTTGTCACACTTGAATGTTTCAGATCATCAAAATACTTTTAATATTAGACAAAGAAAACCCAGGTAAACACAAAACGCTGTTTTTAAATGATGATTTCATTTATTGAAGGAAAAATGCTGTTCAGCCTAGCCATACCTAGCCATATGTGAAAAAGTAACTGCCCCCTTGGCTACTAAATCAACCAGTTAACCAAATTCAACTGACTATTGGGTTCAATTTCACTAGCCACACCCAGGCATGATTACTGCCAGACCTGCTGAATCTAAACATCACTTAAATAGAACCTGTCTGGCAGTGTGAAGCATCAGACGAACATCTAAAGAACTGCAGGCCTCACTTGCCTCAATTAAGGTCAATGTACACAATTCCACCAGGCAAAATGGCATCTATGGGTGAGTTGCATGGCGCAAACCACTGCTGACTAAAAACAACACAAAGGCTTGTCTCGCATTTGCCAAAAAATATCTTGATGACCCCTAAGACTTTTGGGATAATATTCTGTAGACTGATGGTTAAAGTGGGACTTTTTGGAAGATGTGGGTCCCATTATATCTGGCGTAAATCTAATACCACATTCTACCATAAGAAAATCATACCAACTGTCAAACATGGTGGTGGTAGTGTGGTGGTCTGGGGCTGCTTTGCTTCTGCAAGACCTCGACGACTTGTCATAATTGACGGAACCATGAATTCTGCTCTCTATCAGAAAGTCCTGAAGGAGAGTGTTCGCCCTTCAGTTTGTGACCTAAAGCTCAAGCACACTGGGTTATGCAGCAGAAAAATGATCCAAAGCACACAAGCAAGTCCACCTCTGAACAGCTCAAAAGAAACAAAATTAAGGTTTTGGAGTGGCCAAGTCAAAGTCCTGACTTGAATACCATTGAGACACTGTGGCAAGACCTTAAGCAGGCAATTCATGCTCGAAACCATCCAGTGTAGCCGAATTAATTCTGCAAAGAAACATTTAAATGTGACAAATTAGCAAAAATAGAAAATATTGAGGGGCAAATACTTTTTTCATAGTACTGTAAGTCAAATCTACAGATGCTGCTTCTTGCTGTAGCACATACATGACATCAAAGTCTGGTTGCCTAGCAACTTCAGTTGTAGAGCACTCCTGACCGAATGCAAGCACAACCATAGTAGCCCCGCCTAGATCATCTCACTCAGTGACGTTTATAAAACTTAGACACACACTGGCAATCAAAGAATCACCTAACAGTAATCTTTGACAGAGCTCACTCACAACAGGTGATCATGTTCATCAGGCACATCCTTCAGCATATAAAAAGCAGGGAGCCTTACCCTTTTTCCTGACCACATCCTCAGATTCGGGTTTGCGTGTGACAGACACCACCTTCATCAATAGACTGTTCCCGCCCTGCCGGATGAGGGACACCACTTGCTTATGGCCCACCTTCACTACGTTCACCCCATTCACCTGAGAAAACAGTAGACACATTAACAAATACCTGAATGTGCTCCAGGCAGTCTTGAATGCAGCTACTTGACTGTTTTCTTTCAGCTTCATCCAATCAGCTCACAGCTCTGCTACTAGGTACCTCCTTTTGCCCCCTCACAGAGGATGTTTTACAGTAATAGTCTAATAATAAAAATAAATCTAACACAGTTTTTCTTTATTCCAAACGTAGTCAGTCAGCCAAGATATGTTTGGTGTCTGAAGTTTGCTCTTGAGCTATGAGGCTAATGTGGATAACACATAATGGAGGTTTATTAGCATCTTACAAACTCCATGCCTTCATTATCATGTACTTACCTCAGACCATATCAAGTTGTTAAGAATCTCAAACAGACAGACAAAAATGGTCAAATACATACTGCATATCCCAAAACAATGGTGGCAGCATGGATGTTGAAGTCTAAATTTTACAGACTCAAGCAAGTCTATTTGAGATTAATTACCAACTCAACAGGCAAGAACAAGTGTGTAGGGATTTCCACATGCAGTTTCCACAATGCTAACTGAAGAAAAGTAAGCTTCCATTACTTGTTAGCTACATTAGCATCAAAGAAGCAAACATCATTCAGCAAACAATGGGCGATTGACTACATTTGTGTTGTATATTTAATTTTTCACCAATCTGTGGCTTTAATCAAGGAGAATTAAAAAGTGGCCTAATGTCACAGGGATGGGTGAGGGGGTCTAAAAGGGTGCTTCGTCAGCTTAACAAGTTCTTCCTACTCCCTCAGTTTGGATATAATGATTTTGAGTTTACTTACACCATCATAAAGACCTAGATTATTTTTCTCAAAGATTTTTATGCTTTCACTCTGTTAGTGGTCAGGTACTATGGTACTGTGCATAGTCCCAAGGCTTGATTTGAGGGGGGATGCCAGAGGAAGCCATGGGATGCCATCCTCCCAAAAAAAAAACTTTCAATAACAAGTATTTTCATTACATCCATATATGAGATTTATTACACACTAACAAGTTATGATCAAGGCAGAGAACACACACCAACAGAGGTGGTTATATAGAATATCATGCTTTCACTTTTCACTGGTAATGCTGTGGAATGTTTGGTACAGCATGCACCCATGATCAAGGTTATCTTGCCAAATTGGGCTAGTTTGAAAATGCAGTTGTGTGAGACATTTATAAAGTTTCAGCTTCTGGATGGCTCGAGCTCATTATTTTCAGGGATTATCTTAATATTTATTTAAATAAATGATAAAAAATAATGAAAAATGCAGCACTGCCAGCTATGTCTTTAGAATATAAACTGCTGCAGTAAAATACCAAATCCCACATGTCAGGAACAATTCTGGCAACTTTTATCTTCTACACAACAAGCAGCAGAAATAACTCGAGGTTACATTAATCCTGTGCAAATCGACATATGCGAATTGGCACATCATATTCTGTGGAAAAGGAGTCTCTTAAGTATGGAGGAGTACTTGAAGAACCATTTACTTTTGTTCTCTGTACAGAGAAAGTGATATGTACTTATATGTGCCTATCTCAAATGTCCTACCTTAAACTTAGAACTTTAAAAGATGTTAAAAAAGTGCGAATTCCCAAGATAATGACACAATGCTTTCACTTAAGACAGCCAGATAGACGGTAATGAATGACATAATGGCTAAATGAATTGTTTTTACATGTTTTCTGCTCGTTTCAGGAGGAAAGGTAGTGCATAAATTGAGTAGTCACTCTCATATCTTTCATATATACCAAGATTTCTTATCCTGGGTGAATGGGGCTCAAGTCTGGATAGCAAACAAGAAAAAAGAGACACAGGAGGAATTAAGACATTCGAATTGTGTCTATCAAATAATAAAAAAAAGTGTTATAACCTATCCCTTACCTCAATGAGGAAGTCACCTGTCCTTAGCCCCGCCCTCCAGGCCACACCCTCCACATCAACAGACTCCAGGTACTGCAATGCAGGGAAGGCAGGTGTGGGGGTAAACTCCTCGATGGGTGTCTCCGCTACACACATACACACACGCACACATGCACACACAGACAAACAAAAGAGATGTTCAAGGCTACTCCAAATGCAGCAGCCCCATGGGGTCTAGAGTACACACACAATCACATTCATGTTGCTATGGCAATGTTCCTGATGTTTGGGGCATTGGTGAGGCTCAGTGGAGCTGAGCTGTGTTGGTTATAATTAAGACAGGGCAGACTGAGGCAGTAGTTAGCTGTCTGAGGCTGAGGGAACAGAGAGCTGTCTGAGGGACTAGTTAGCTCTGAGTCAACCTGCAAATGATCCTTTGTCTTGAGACACAAAGCCAGAGTGACACAGAGATGATGACAGAGAGACACTGTGTGTATGTGAGAAAGAAAGAATGGAAAACATGACACCATGTGGGTAACAGATGGTTCTAGGAGCTCATACCTCCTACCCAGGATGGTGCCACCCCAAAAACTGGGCACACACATGAACATACTCATACAATCTCTGCCCCTGCTGGCGGGTTATCTGAGGTCAAACTAAGCGCTATGCTTTTGGTGAGGTCACTATGGTGCACAGTGTGACCAAACACAAAGGCCACCTGATCCTCAGATCCTTGACTTCAGAATGTTTGACATGTTCTTCTTTAAGCAGTAGTCATGTTCACAAGACAGACAAAATCTATAAATTAGTGGTATTTAGTTTTCTTGCCCATCAGGGATGGAATGAGCTTCCCTCTGAGGTCTGAACTGCTCTGTCTCTGAGCTCCTCACATAACTTTAACCTGGGGTGGATAAAGATCTACCACCTTGGAGAGTTGAGAACCAACACCTCTGGCTCTGACATTCAGATGCCCATGAAGGCCTTCATTACCTGGAACAGGCGTAGGATATTAGGGGTGGAGCAAAACTCTGTGGAGTGGTAGACCTCCAGGATTGGGCACACCCCTATCTTAACATCTTTTCACAGGCCAGCTGTGGCTATTCCACAGGAGAAATAGGAAATGGACTTGGATACTTTTTTCATTAACATAATTAAATAAGGTACTTTTGGCTCTGACACTGTTGGCTCTCTTTGTGTGAAATGTTGTGACTGTGTTGAGCTGCTAGAGAGCGATGAGAGGTGAAAGGAACAAAAAAAAAGGAATACACAGCTGTAGCTTTCTGGACATCAAAACATTGTGTACAACTACCACAACAAAAAAAGAAAGAAAGAAAAATGCATTTAGACTCTATATAAGACTTTTATAAATGTTCACATATGAATGAGCCAGTTTGCTTCTGGTTTCGTAAATTTCTATCAAGACATAACTCATCAACATTACAGAAGAACATAACAATTTGCATAGTTCAACTGAGGGAACTCCAAAAAACAAGCAGAAACTGTGAAAAGGAGTTAAGACTTGGCTTTTCAGACTGTCCCTTTGCCCGCCTTGATCTAAGAGTCTTTAAGAGCAATGTAATCTACCTATGTATTTCATCAGTGGTGTTTTCCTAACCAAATATATATATCACTGAAACGATAGCCTTGAATTCTAGGCAATATCTCCTGGATTCAAATAACCACTGCTGTGGAATCAGCCCTCATTCCTGAGGAATATCTATCATTTTTTCTCACAATCACAGCCAAAAAGAGTGTGTTCAAAAGCCACAAATTCAAATGTAAGCATGTAAGCATGACCTGTTTGGAAAACAGTAACTGTAAACAAAGGCCCTGGATCTCTTTCACAAAGTCATATAAATGAATCACAAAGTCATCCTCTTTAAAATCCATAAAGCTAATGTTGCTCACTACAGTGGGTAGTTGAGGGACAGACTATCTGGATGGGTGTATATACTAGAATTTTTAGGGCGGCATCTGAGAGGAAGCAGTGGGACTCATGTGGCTCAATCAAATCCACACTCGCAAGAAACTCAAAACTTCCAGCAATGCGACTACTGAAATGGTAACCCAACCTGAGAAGGAAAAAATTAAAAATTAGGAACTGCTAAGAAAAAAAAGTCATGTTTTTTTGATGTGACAGCGACACTATACACTTTCAGAAATGCAAATGAACTTATAGAATTTTTAAAGTTTAATCTATTCTTGCTAGAAAGTTTTTCTTTACTAACTTGTGGCTTGGTTGCACCACTTTTTACCCTACTGCATTTCAATTTTTTTTTCTTATACTCCTTTCTTTTAGGTTATAAATACTTTTATTACTTACATGTTTTTTGTAAGTTGCTCTGGATAAGAGCATCTGCCAAATGTCTAAATGCAAAAGTAAATGTTATAGAGGGTCAAACCTGAAAATATGATAAATCTGTTGTAATGTCTTAACTTTCTAGGAATCCCTACAACAGCAGTAAGTACTTCAAGTCCATTAAGTCAGAACAGCACACTATAACATGAATCAGTGTATGACACAGGACCACAAACTCAGTTTGTACTGTACTAGTTTTTTCTGTGCTCTTATCTTGTGTGTTCTTTATCCTGCCCTGCCTCTTATGTCATCCTGTAACTTTGTATGCTTGCGTCTTTCCGCCCAGCAACATGGTCTCATCCAAGGAGATGTCAATGCAGTAAACAGAATGTTTAATAATAATAATAATGATCCATTAAGTATATACCATTAATCCAATCTTGTTTCTTTGGTAACAAAATGCATTGAATCTTTCTTGCCAGCTAAATTATTCCTACCCTGTCTGCTCCTGTACAGTCCTGTCATGTCCACTATTTTTTCTTTTCTTCCTGTGGGAATGCTATGTCCCAGGAGTCTTACAAGATCCTTGTAAAATGTCATCCTGCAGTGTGAAAATCTGTTGCGCGGCTGAGCTATTAACCTGGTTTGTACATGTTCTTTTCTATAACCAAACGCCTTTTAACCACAACTGAATTTATAGTCGTGACAGTAACATGACACTGTGAAAACATACATATACTGTACTGTCAGGGGAGGAAAATACTTTAGTAATTGTACTTAATTACTATACAATGATATATGCATTATGGAAGATTTGCAGTTTACACAGGTACTACTGTATTTAAATACTGCACTCTTAATTACAAATCTAAAACAATAAAACAGAATTTTTACTTTATATCTCAAGTTTGCTCACTCAGACATTTAGTGTTTCAGGGGCCATAAGATTTTCTTGCCAACAAGTCAAGTTCACACTCATTTCATTATTATTATTATTTTTATTATTAAAACATCTAAACAAATTCTTATCAGTGTAAAATGAAACTGCCCACAATTCATCCTTGTGCAAGAAACAGTGCTGCTCTTTTGTCGCCACACCACCCTCATGGCCCACACTGCCTGGCTGCAGGACGGAGGGATAATGTTGTGCAGTGCAATAATTATGACAATATCACACTATGTATGCAGCCCAGCATATCCTTAGAGTTGAGCAGAACACTTTGAAGAAGTACATACTGAAGAATACTGAATACACTGTTCTAAATGTATTCTGTTACAATACAGAAAACGTAACACATTTAGAATACACTTAGAATATGTTTGTAATGCATCTTAATAAAGCACATAGGGAAAACTTCTGCTGTGTTAATTGTTACTGGATACACACTGTTCTTGCTAGCATGTTATTGTTCTGTACATGTTTCATGAAAAAAATTCTTACCATTTAAACACAGTTGCAATATTCTGAAGATGTTTTTCTCCACTACTGTTCTCACAATCCTGAGCAAGATTGCCACCTGTCTCATAAACTAAGCAAACAATGTGCCAGATTCAAGTAACAAAATCTCATCAAAGCTCATCACTTGTGAACATGTCCACTACTGAGGAGACCGTTCAGCCTAATCATCCCTCTAAAAAGCTCAATAACACTGGGATAAATATCTGGATCATTGATTTATCAGTCTACTCAGGCTTTAGCAGAAACTTCAGTGTTTGCAAAGTAGCCTTTTGTTGAATTCTTTTTTATAGTTTGTCTAACTAGCATATTTCAATTTAGTGGGTAAGTATTCCAAAAGTAACATTTTAAAACTAACTGTATTCTGCATACTGCCTTTTCAAAATTTAAAATGGACTGAACACTGATACTCAATTTCTGTATTCTGAATGTCACTACATTCCAGCCCTGCTTATCCTGGCATTATGTCTATTTGAATTTTACAAATATTTAAGAGTTTGTTGAAGAGGGTGATCTCTGGGTTACGTTAAGTGTGATCAGTTTGTACCCAGCTAAGTTAGTTTAAAGCTAAAAACAAACAATAAAAAGGATGGGCTGACTCAACTGTATCTGTTAAACATTTACTTTTTACTTTTACACACCAACCAACTACTTCATTAAGTACACCTCCTTGTATCTACACACTGTCCTTTTTATCACTTCTGCTTACCATATAGGTGCACTTTGTAGTGCTAAAATTACAAATTACAAACCACAGCTTACACACCTGTGACCACTGATGAAGGACCAACAAGGTAGGAGTGTCTAATAGAGTAGACAGCAAGTGGAAAGAGTGTTTGAAAACTCCAGCAGCCTTTTTATACCTAGCCCATTTCAGGCAACTATAAATAAGTTAAACACATTACCATAACCTCAAATAAAGTTCACATGCTTAGTACTTGTTTGTAATTCCTTTATAATCAAATATGCAACCTAAATACCACAAAAGGAGCTGGGTATCTTTCTTGGTGATGCTCTCTCAGGTCTGTAATGCAGCTCTTTTCAGTTTCTGCTTGTTTAGTGTAATGCTGCTCAGAAAGATTCAAGTCAGGTAATTTCTCCCCTAAAACACTGTTTCATTTGTAGTATGTTTTGGATGATTGTCCTGCTGTTAGATCAAGCACCATATGGCTAGGTAAAGTCCACTGACAGTCACACATGCCAATGCCACAATGTAACTTAAGCTTTCTGTCCTTGAATCTTGCCAGTCTTGTGCTAAACCTTCTGAGGTCATTCTTTTCCATGTGGATGTCTTTGACACATTAATGTCTACATCCTACATAGTGATTGGATAAACAGCTTTCCTTCATGACTGACATTGTTCTTTGCTACACTACTATGGTATAGTCTCCCAGACTGTTTGCTACTGCTGAGCTTTTGCTCTCAACAATAAAGTCAATAGTTGATTTTGGCATACTGGAGGTGTCTCTGGTTGATTCTTTTTCATTTCCCCCTCATTACGGCCTGCTTTATTGGCACTGACACTTATTTGGTCTTCATGTAGAGAGATGTCAGCAACTGACACAAACACCATGTGTTGTACATAAACTCATGGTTCAATAAGACAGTTAGCCAAGTCCTTTATGGTTATATATAAAACTACTGAACCTTTGACAATCTGATTTCAAATGCAATGTGCAAAGCACTGTATTATACAAATTCGGGACAATAATATATTACGACAGCAGGAAGTGAATTATTGCAAAATGAATAATTCGTTAACATTCAACTGGGTGCTCTATGGACATGGCCAGCACAGCAGTACTGGCCTTCTACTAGTTCTTGAGCACATGTAGATATACTACACCTGTCAGTGAAAATAACCAAAAGCAGTCTGCAATGACTGATCTTCACTCTATCACAGAATAGGTGCTGGTGGTTTCCAGGGTCAGTTCTACTCAGAGCTCCATTCTACAGTGTCTACTCTGAATGAGGCTGTAACTGCATTGTTCCTCTACTGCTACGTGACTGGAGCAGTCATTCAGGCCAGCGACTGTAAGGCAGTAGTACCTCGATGAATGGTTGATGAGCAGTTCTGCAGCTGTAGAATCTGCACAGCAAACAGTCAGGCTTACCTTTTGCTCCTCGCAGGACAAAGCCAAAACCTTCATTCTCTTTCTTCTGAAGCACGGCATCCTTCTCTTCAATGATGTAATCACTGGGTAGGAGAGAGAAGAGGGCACCCAGATCAGTATCCAGCACCATGCCCACACAGGAGTGCCCTGGCTGTCCAGGATGAGTAGGCCAGGGTGCGTACACTCTGTAGGTACCCTGCCTGACTTGCCAGAACCAAAAATTAAGAAGAAACTGTAATAAAAAAAAAGCAGCCCTCCCCTTCTTCTGCTGACAAGCCAATCAGGATAAAAGCTGTGTTGGGGAGAAAGAGAATGAGATAAAAAATGCCCAGGTGGGAGTTTCAGTCCCACTGCACTACTCCACAGCTGGCTCCATTACTGCATTAAGAGATTGGACAAAATGCTAATATCATCCCTTTTACGCTATTAAAAAGAGGAGCAGAAATATGACGGCATTCACCTCTCTCTCTCACTAACAGTGAGCAAAGCTGAGGTTAAAGACTGCTGTCCACTGAAAACAGGACACAGTGTGAGCTGCCTTAGAGTTCAGCCTGATGAGAGACAGACAGAGAAAGAGAGAGAGAGAATTGCAAGGGTGGTCTCTTCCTCCCACTCCCCTGCTCCTCCAACAGACACACACACACACACACCCACCCACACAAAGCCCCCGCCCCTAAACTCCATCGGCAGCCATCTGTCTGGTTGTGTGGAGACGGCTATAGCTGGATTCATTAGCGCAAACAGCCGTGGCAATTCTGTTCTTAGCTCTTACTCACTCATATGAGCACAGACTCTGTCATCGTACAAACATGAGCAACCTCTCACATCACACAAATAACCCTATTACAACCCACCTACCACCAGTCACTGCCCTTTATGAAACTGATATTGGCAGGGACTATCCTATTTACATGAGCCATTTCAAAACACCCTGTCTGTTCTAAATATTTCTAAAAGTATAATCTGATGACGTAGATAAGGACTTTCCTACATATTCATAAAACATACCATTGATATTATATTTACCATTTTCTCTATTGTAATCTGCATAAGCTGTTTCTAAATAAACTTGTTTGTTTCACAAAAGTGGTCAGAAGGCTTTCCAAAAATATGTACCTTTTGGGTGCCCTGCGATGGACTGGCGACCTGTCCAGGGTGTATCCTGCCTTCCGCCCAATGACAGCTGGGATAGGCTCCAGCACCCCACCGCGACCCAGAAGGATAAGCGGTTTAGATGATGTATGTATGTATGTATGTACCTTTTGGGGGGCCGTGAAGAGACCCGTGGTTTGAGAACCACTGATACGAAGTACCATTTCATTACAGAGGCTATATCATGGAAATAAAAGAGGCTGATGTAGTATTTGGGCTGCAACTACCAAATAATTTCATTTTTTAATATTCTATCGGATATTATATCAAATATTTAAAGATTCTTTCACTAACTAAGAATATAACTATGGAAGTGAAAAAGAGACATGTTTCTTTTCAATAAGTGATAAGAAAATAACTTCTTTTATTCTAATTGTTTGGTTAATTACTATTATTATTTTTTGCACTATTGCATAAAAGCTTTTTAAGCTGCTCAAAACCACTTCACACCAGAGCATAGTCTGCTTTAACAGCTGGTGCAGTTTAACATCTAGCTAGCCAGAATGCTTGTTTATTCTCTGTAATAAACGCAACAGAGAGCCTGATTGCTAGCTAGCAATCTGGAAACGTATTTGGAAGCACCTGAAGTTAAAAGTGATACTGTTACCTGGCACTGTGAGAGTCTTGCAAGCTGTGCCAAATCACAAGGAGTCCACACTGAGTCCGGTGCGCAGAGCTGCAGCTGTGTGCTACTCGTGAGAAGCTAGTATTTGTGTGCCTGAGTTCATAGTGGTAAATGTGTTGGTAATTAAAATCTCTTTTTTTTTGAATATTTTAATTACTAATTTTACTGAATGTCTGTTGCAGGATTATGCAATGTGTAAACACTGTTAAAGTTGCAAAATGTTCACTAACCAGTCCATACAAGCTGTAAAAACAGCCCATTCTGAATTCATGATGTCATTCATAATGTTTTGTGATATCACAAAAATACAATACATTTACTTATATCTGCCTATACAGCCTAAAGTGGTTCAGTCCCATTCATTCACATTGAAGTGATAAGGCAGTGGTCATCAACCCTACTTCTGGAGACCTGCTTTGACCCTTAAATGGCCAGCGCCCACAGATAGGTTTATTACACACTCCTATAACTAAGAATAGCTCCACCAGTTTGCATTGAAATCCCTGTAGTTACTGAATAATAAGCCTTAGGATTTTATGGGGTTAAAGCAGTTTAGTTCCACCTGCATCTAACATGCCTGCCTACCACTAATGCACCTAATCCAGCCAATCAAGAACTTCCGGAGAAGCTAATTAGCTGGAGCAGTTATGGCAGACTATGGTTGGATCTAGACTCCACAGGAAGGTAGATCTCCAGGGCCAAGGTTGGACCTCAGGGAAAACAATGAAATTTACGAAAACTACAGGATACAGGGCCTTTAACTGTACATAAAGAAGCAATACGGAGGCAAAGCTAAAGTCCCTGTTTACTGTCTGTGAAACAGCTAGTGCAGATATAGCTGTACAACACAGCGGTGTCATTAAAAGCTCCGCCTGCGAGTCACGGCACAGCACGAGTGCTGAGTAAGGTATCGCAGTGATCACAGCCTGACTGCTGTCTTTGTCATGGAGAATTATAATAATGCACTCTCTCTCTCGCTTTCTCTCTCTCTCTCTCTCTCTGGGGTGTTCATCACTGATGCATTAGGAGTGACAAGAACATAATTGGGCAGTGAAGAATCAATTAGATCAATTACAGATGATTCTACTGCATTAGTGCCTCGGGTTAACGAGACTGAGGCGCGATATCCTACAGGAGACCAGATAAGCCTCCCGTGACGAGTGAGCTCACACTTGGGCCTCAGCTCACTTCCCCTTCCGAGAGCCATTTTACGGCTAGGCCGTGACCATAACCCACAGATTAGAGACAGAGCGATATTCAATTTAGAGTGCTTTTTGTAAAACGGATCCATTTTATTCATAGACTTTCAGACACTGGTAGACATCGGCGCCGAAATGGTTGATCTTATCTGTAATACTGAATCTATTGGGAATGTAATAAAAATCAGCTACCCACAGAGTCCTGTGAAGAGAAGCGGTGGTTTATATGAATATAGCCGAGCTGAGATAACCTTTCAGGATTACTGCTGTGTTGTTTGGGATTTTCTCATCTTTTCAAACTTCATTTCAAAATATCTTGTGAGCTTAAGAAGCATGGCAAATTTAATTTTGCTTAACAAGAGCTTTAAGGAATACTTCAGACATAAAAGCTAATGTGGCTAACATTGAAGAAAAATGTAAGGGAACCAGTTAGCATGATCTCATTTGCATAATGCTGACCAGCCCTTTTCATTTGCAGCATATTAGCATTAGCATTTTTAGGAGGAGGCTTAAGATTTGGCCGGATGAAGAGACAGAGTGTAATGCATTCCTCCTCAATCACAGGAAAACTCTCTCAAACAGCAGCCTGGTTAATGCATCACTGCTGCATTTGGGCTGCTCTGAGCTACGGCCTGACTCACGTACTGTTACACAGCACAGTGAAAACATCAGAGATCACCCTTTGTTTATTTAATTTGCAGTCAAAACAGCCATTAAGTACAAGTATTCATTTTTCAATGTCAGGAAAAAGCAGAAAACACATTTATCAGAAAATTAAACAGAAGCCTCAAAAACGTAATATAGTATGTGTTTCGGTATTTAGTGTGTCCACTCTTTGCCTCTATTTTGGATACTTGCTTTCAGTTTTTTAAAGAAACCTACAGGGATATTTTTCACACCTTCAAAGTTCAGTCTTAGAAGCTGGTTTAGCATTCCCCGTTACTTATTATTCAAGCAAGCCGAACACATCGATGCTCAATGATGCTCTGTCCTGGGCTCTGAGCGGGCCAGTCCACTGTCTTGAAAACACCAGCAGCTTTTTTGTTTGATTTACAGTTTTCTTCTTTAACAGCTTTTTTAGACAGGTACACATCCTTTCAGACCCACAGTGCTGATGGACAGAAACACCTGTGGATTTTTTAGATCTGAAGCAAGAGTGGATTTTTTCTTCTCACTCAGAGCTGAAAAAATTGTATCTGGCTGTTTTGGTGGTCTAGCAGGCCTTGCACGGTTCTTAAGTGAGTCCTATTGTATCAATTAATTTATATTAAAAAAACAAAAAATCTCCAATACAGGGAAAATCCTGTTTTTCACTTGTTCTCATCTGACTTTCCCCTTCCTTATGCAAGAGGACTATTTCACTATTATTTATTTTATATTTATATATCTAATTTTTAGAGAAACACTTCCTTGTGCTTAATGTCTGTTCTGACTAAAAACTATATAAATTAAGGGTAGTCTCTGGATTTTGCACAGTACTGGAAAACAACATATATCCTTGTCACCAGATCAGATCAGTACCTTATATTTCCATTTTTTAATACAGTTTTGAAAATGCAAGCTGGCCTTTACCCTGGGTGAAAAATACATGATGAATGGACCAATAGCAATGGTCCAAAATTGGTTTGAAAAAAAAATCTCATTACATTAACTTACATTGTAGGCTCAGAACATTTTTCCCTGTCTTGGAAACAAAAAGGTTTTGTTCTGACAGTGAAAATATACTTATACCTGGTTCTTATATATTAGCACTGATATTTGTGGCGAAGGTTTTTCAACCTCCGTTGCTTTAGTTTATTCGTTCACAAGAAGGCATTTTTGCACTGCTCTAGCCTTTGGTCCTTGCTTCAACAACACGGCAGAACACTGCACGGAACAGAGCAGTAGAGTGAGTCAGCTTTAACCCACCAGTCTGAAAAGAACACAACATTACTGGAAGGAGACATTTATTTTTGCACTAAATTTCTTAGAAAAATGGCATCACTGCTTATACAACATCTGAACCAACAGCCAGTGAGCAAACTAGTTCTAACTGAACTAGCAGACAAGTCCCACTTAAAGACTAGCTATTGCAGGAGCCAGTCAACATATTCTCTTCACTGAGACAGTGATATGGACACTAAAATGCCATGGATAATTTAATCAATACTATTGATGCAGGTGCCACTTAGACACATGTGTTTATGAGTGTGTCTGCTTTATGTGCAACTCACTCCTGTTTTCTCTCATATTTTGCTCCTTTCATTAGTATTCTAAGCTGGGTTCAGCTGGCAGACCTCCATACTACTCAGAAGACTCAGGTTAATATAACTTATTTTAGGCTAAAAGCTCATCTAAAGCAAAAAAAAAGTTTAATTGTGAATTTTATATTCAGATAGGAAATACAATCAGATTTATTATTTATTTATGATCACTAGAGCATAAAGGTACTTAAGGCACACAAAAGGGGGCTCTCTGTATTAGTTATCTTAATAAAACTGGAATGAGATATGATTTTTTTTTTCAATTTTATTGCATTTTTATTTTGTTTTATTTTTATTGCACTTTTATTTATACTGACATTTTATTTACTTAAACTAAAAGTCTTTTCTCAGTGAAGTATGACTGACAAAAGAGCAGAGATTTACACATAAATATCGGCAATTAGCACTAATATTGGGTAACGCTGATTAGATATCAGTGATACTACCAAATAACTGCTGACGATGTTTCAAAGGTGAACTAGAGAGGACTAATTTAATTTTAAACAGACTGATAAATAATATTAAATAATACATACGTGTGACATCTTTTTCCATTTTACTGTTGACACAATAGATTTTTATGGGACATTATAAAGCATCTTGGCTAAGTTATAGCAAATTTTCCACTGTTTCCGCTGCAGATTTCCCAAAAATACAGTGTGATGAAAAGTTTAAGGATTTTTCGTAGAGGTAAAGCATCCTGACGATTCAGATGATTACATGGCATCCCACAGGCATAGCAGAATTCCCAAGCACCTCAACTATAAAGATGGGAAACACCTGTGTTTTGTTTAAAATGTGAAGCATGTGGACGGAACTTTGGAACTCATTCAAGCATAATTTGCAGTTTGTAGCTTCTCCACAAGGGGGAGATGTTTGCACACAAGTCACTTTTTTGTGCATCATTTAAAGAGAAGGAAGTCATGAACTCTCACCATCAGGATCTCACAACTGCATATGTTTACAGTGACAAATTTCAAATTGAGAGGTAAAATGGTTTATTATTGACATGTTTTGAGTATTTTAGTGCTTTTCAGTATTGTATTATATCATACGTGATTTTTACTTAAGATTTTCATGGAATCAGTTAATGCTAAAAAGCACATATGTGAAAGACAGCATAGAAAAAGGTCTAAGCTATGTTTACAGGGGGCTGGAGGGAAAGGGGATACAACCAATAATGCAACAATTTTTTTTTGAGATATCTCCCAGGCTCAATCCCAATCCCCTACTTTCACATAAGCAAGTGGAGGCCCTCCCCTTTAATGTTTCATAGTCAGACAGCACTCATGCTCTCTACTGTAATCCCCCCTGGTGTCAATACCTTTCATTTTAGCTTTCAGCACTTGGCTACACCACTCTACCACTTAGCCAGCACCAACTCCACCCCTGAGGACATGACTAGGGGGACCCTGTAGAATCTCTCTGCACAGCATGAAGTTTCAGTTATTTAAGAGATGCTAAAACTCGCAGGGGCTTCTGTGCTCTGTTGTAGTGAGTAAATCAATGTAAAGCCATGTCACTGCGACAGACTGCATGAAGCATGTGACTTACAGTGAGGAGGGAGTGGCGGCCCTTAAGCTCAGCTTGCTAGCAGCCTCGTTTGCTGTTTCTTGTTTGCTGTTGTTGGGCAGAGAGAGTGAAGGAAGACGGATGGCGTGGGGATGCTCAGTTTGACAGAGAGGCTCCAGTAATTAATCCTCTCTCACTCTCTTCACCTATGCCTAAATCACTCCATCCCTCTGTCTTCTCCACATTTAAGTCCAAATCACTCCTTCCCTGTCTCGCCCAGCAAACCAAGAAAGGTTGCTTATTTCGCACTTTTTGTACAAAACATTGACGTAACCACGCCATAAACAGGTCATTGCAGATGTCTAATGCTGTCATGACTTGCCATGATATGTCATAATTCAAATAACAGTCATGACAGAAAAAGGACAAACAGACTGGTTCCACATTGTAAAAGGATGCACACTGTCAACATACATGTTCAACCTGTATTCAGAACATATAATCAGAGGTGCAGGGCTGGAGGAAGATGATCAAGGATTCAAGATTGGTGCATGCAGATGATATGCAGAAAATATGGAAGAATATGGAAAAATAAGGTTAAAGAACAGAGTGAAAACACGGGACAGCTTACTATGAAGAAGACTAAGGTTATGACACAAGGAGAGATTGCTAACTTCAACATTGATGGAGAAGATGTGGAAGTGGTGGTCAGCTTTTGCCTACTCAGGTCAATTATAAACAGAGGAGCCAAGAAATGTGTCACGGATTGGCACTTAGCAGAACAAGGATGAAGGAACTTGAAAAATCTTCAAATTCAAATAAAGATCTGAACTGTCCAGACTACGGTCTCCTCTGTGATTCTCTGTAGATGTGAAAGCTGGACAATAAACAAGCAATCCAAGAAAAGTATTGATGCCATTAAACTATGGTGTTGGCGAAGACTTTTGAGAGTGCTGTGGATGGCAAAGAAAACACAAGAATGGATTTTTGACCAAATTAAGCCTTACTTCTCATTCGAAGCCCATATAAACAAACGGAAACGCTCTTATTTTAGACATGAGAAGAACCAATTCATTGGAAAAGTGGACTATTATGCTTGGAACAGTTGAAGGTAAAAGAGGAAGAGGATGACCAGCAATAAGATGGTTGGATGCAATCAGAGGAATCATGAACCAGCCATTCAGAAGCTTGAAGACCCAAACAGAAGACAGGATATTCTGGAGAAACACTTTCTGTATAGTAGTCAGGAGTCAGAATCAACTTGATGACACTTAAAAACAATAATGTCATAATGTTTGTCATCTGTCATGACAATAACTGTTTATATTATTTAACAAAATTACTGCTATATTAATTGACAAATTCCATCATAGCATTTATGGCATGATTATGTCAATGTTATGTGGCAGGGTTCAAGAAAAGTCTTACCTAAAAATCTCAGAAACCGTAGCTTTACATGAGAAGCAAAAACGTTTTCACGATGTATATTAGCGTAACAGGAGTTACATTGGTCCATTACTCATGAAATGTCCTGACAGTAAAAGGTCAGCTGGTGTTTTCAAATGCTATAAAAAATAATAAAAACTGAAAAAAATGAGTTATGAGGTTTTCACATGACAATGACAACATAATGCCTGTCTCAGAGTGGCAGCTGCCATATGACTGGACAGCTATCATAAGAATAAGATGTGAAGTTTAGTAATACAGTGATAGATCAAGATAACACAAATAAGATAACAAAAATGTCAAATGATGAATTTAAAGAGCATGTTCAGCTCATGTATTAGCCCTATCTGGCCTCTAGATGGCAGAAAAAGCTTACTAAAGCCAGGGACAGAGTTTCACCACTGAAATCCACATCAGTCTCAGTTGACTTGTATACAATGCACGCAGGTACAGACGGCACATTAACACTTTTAAATTACAGATACTGAAACCTTGATTAATGTCTGACTACTACTGATTTAAAACTAATCAGTTTTAAAATACGCTATTTTTCATGGAATCACTTATTAAAAACTGCTCAAACACACTGAGCTCAAAGAAATACAGACAACATGGTTTATACAAAACTACTGCTTTCATTTTTCAGTTAAACACTTTCACGTGAAAAGGAAGACCACTTTCAGTGCAAATGTGTGCAAAATTAGACTATTATCAATAAAGGAATTCTTAGTAATTCTAGCATTATACACAGCCTGGCTAATCATTATTGATATGTTAACGTTACTGTAGTCATGTGAACTACTTTATTTGCTTAAAAAACTTATTCCACAAAAGTTGGGACAGTATGTTAAATGTATATAAAAAGCAGTGATTAGTAAATTTGTAAAAAAGGCAAAACAGTAAATGTCTTTGTACTGTTTTTTTTTCAAATACAGGTCAAAGTGGATTCTTTCTGCTTTTATTTGCATTTCACATACTGTCTCAACATCTTCGAAACTGAGATTCATACAAACAATTCGGTGATATTTCAGACTAGACATGCTACAGAATTGGATCTGTTATTTCTTCCCCAGACTTTGACACCCAGCATTTTCTGTTGCTATTGCCCTGAGACGGATGCTGAATATTGGACTGGCGCCATCTCTACATGCACAGCATGCACACACACACTTATGTCGACCTACCTGTAAGAGGTAAAGTTGTCGTAGGAGCCCACAGTGTAGTGTCTGAATAGCCTCTTGGTACGATCCTCTCTTGTTTCTGCAAGAGAACAGAACAAAGCCTATTTTCATAAAGTCTAAATGTTAACCTTAAACAGCAGACTGACAGTGTCATTCTGAACATGTAGGTCTGTGCAGTCTTGTCTGTCTGTCAGTGTTTATAAAGATGTGTGTGTGTGTGTGTGTGTGTGTGTGTGCATAAGAGAGAGAATTGGCTCATTAATCCTGAAGCAGTGTGCCTGGTTAATAGGGCTGGTGTCTCAAGTCTTGCTAGATTTATGTGATTGGACTTTGGGCTGGAAATCAATGCACTGCTCCCCTACTGAAGGGCAATCTGCTGACTGCGCGCACACACACACACACACACACACACAAAGAGTATGTACACATTTTCACATACGACCAGCATAAGTAAGCACACTCTTATGTACTAAGAGATTCATTTGCAGATATGTTAGAGGTCACAGAGTTCAAGTACAAGATAGCTTAACATGTACAAAATTGCCAAAGCATGGCATTCATGAATATTCATGTTATATATGTAATGTGTTCAACCAGGTACACAACTACTAAAGCAGCATTAATGAATATTCATGGAATATGTGATGCACGCTGTGTTTCCTCTCTATAGAGGTCATATACATGAGCACTGGCACCAAGTTAACGAGGCAATTATCAGTACACAAAGCTGTGAATTCCAACAGTGACTCTCCAAAATCAGATCTAACACATCCGTCAGCAAAAGTAGTTCATCTTTATATCTCCGTTAATCATTAAAAACATTCAGAGAGAGAATAACGTAAGTGACTTCAGGCGTACATAGACTGTGATGGGATCTCTGTCACTGCAGAGGTGAGAAAGTAAGAAATACATTAGCATTTTAATGATGAGTGAGAGAGAAAGAAAGAGGCAGAGGGGGAGAGATAGAGAGAGAGAGAGAGAGAGAGAGAGAGAGAGAGGGCAGAAAGGGGAGACAGAGGGAGGGAGACAGAGAAAGCTTGAGAGAAACAGAGAGAAAGAGCACGAGAGAGAAAGATGAGGCATCAGAGAGAGAGAGATAAAGAATAAGAGAGAACACGAGAGAGAGACAGACAGTGGGGGGGTTAAGGGGATCAGGAATCATCTATTAATCAGCACTTAAGGACTTTACATAAACATGACTATACATGGGTGAATTTAGTAAATTGGTGAATTAGACTGCATTCTCTCTTCACTGGCAGCTTTCTGGCAACGGCTGTTGTGTTTAATCTGAGAGATGGGAGCCAATCCTGAGATTAAGGAGTGAGATTAAGAGTTCCTCCAGCACAGCTGAGACTCTTCATACCAGATGGCAAAAGAACAATCATGACTGAGGGTCACACACAAATACACACACACACACGCCTGCATCCACCCCCCCCCCACCACCACAGTCAGTCCCATTCTCTCATTTACCAACGTACAGATAATCAAGAATCACTGTAAAAGTAAAGGGGAAAAGTGGAAAATCATGCCACAGTGGCTTTTAAAAACCGTCATAGGAAAGCTAAGCTTTCATTTCAGAACTGGACCGTTAGCAGCCAGAAATCAGGAAACTACACTGTACTTGAGTTGCATGATGTAAAGTCTCCTGCAACTCATTTCAAATTCAGCCACAACAGTTAGAAGTGCCTCAACTTTGTGAAACAAGTTTCAAGAAACAACCAATCAAAACTCTGATAACGCATCACATGATCATATGATCATATCACACGTCATTTCAAACAAATGATTTCACCACACAAACAAAGAAGAAAACATTTTTATTGGATGACTGAAAAAGGGATCCTCCTGATTTGGCTGGTAGTTTTACCTTTTGTCAGTTTCCTGAGCCATGACCACAAACGTGTGAGTTTCTGAAAGCTAACGTTTCTGTAACCAGCTCGTGTTAACCAGCCAGCTGTTTAAACAGCTGCTTGTACCACTGTTTATTTCTCTTGTTAGCCTGCTGTAGCTAGATCCATTTTTTCCTTTCTTGATGCCCCACATTTTACACAGACCACAGATTCCTTTGGGAACCAAAACATGAAAGTGAATACAGAAGGGGAGATGGAGATGCGCTTCTCGATGAACTCTTATCGAGGACAGGATGAGCAAAAAATCAAGTACAACCATAATGGACACTTTCATAGGCTTAACATAAACAAATCAGAACAGGATTAAAAGCCGAAAACACAGCAAAGAACCACAGATTGATAAATAATAGAGAGGAATATATGATGTGTAAAAAACAACTTGCTAACTTGGCAGAATAGTGGAGTAATGAAATATGCAGCGTGTCACTTGATTTTAAATTGCTTAGTGCAACAGTCAAGCTGCATGGAAATTAAGTTGCATGAAACTCACAACAGCCTATTTATTTAGTGACAGGGAACTTTGCCACATTTTTATCTTTCCTTGACATCGAAACAAATGCAAAAAAGTAGGAAGTGCTGACTTCAACCTGTAAATTGAATGCAAATGTGATTCAAGCTTAACTCACTATGGAAAGAAATATGTACATATGCAGTTACGGTCAAACAGTACACCAAAAGGAAAGTAATAACGTGATTGCTAAAGATGCGTACCACTCCTTAACTGCATATCTCTCTTTCCCAGACTGATATCTGCAGGTCTCTTCCTGCAATGGAGGATACATGAAGCAGCTCACACATCATCATTATCACTGTAATAAGAAGTGCTCGGACCTTGAAGAGCCTTTGAGTTAGTGTGAGATTCTGGGAACAGTCAGTATACTGCAGATGGATCTCACATGCTCCAGCTTGAGCAGATCTATAAATCAAAGCAGACTCACAGGCTTATTAAAGGATGAAGAAGTGCAGTCTGCAAAATTTCAGATTTTTATTAAAACTCACACCAAATGCCTGAGCACAACATGGCCAGCCAAGTCAAAGCAGGTAATGACTGCCAAGCAGCACTGAAATTTAGTGTCATATTTCTAGAACTCCATGTCTCTTTAAACTGAAATCATCATTATATGAGTTCTTGGTCCATTAAAGTCCAGTCTTGATTCACATATGGTAGATGTAGAGTAGCCTAAAGTTATGTGCCTCATAAACCTCACAATGTCTGTAACTGTGAGTGTATGCAGAAGTAGGTAGACACCCATACTCAAGTACTGTTGAAATAATTTTGAAATAATGACTCAAATAAAAGTTCCTTTCCAAAAAAAGTCCAAAAGCAGCTCAACAGCTCAAAAAGCTACTTAATTACTAAGTAACTTATAGAAGTGCAGCAGCAATCCTGAGTACATCCAGCATCTATCAGCATAGAAACTAAAGTTTGTTAGTTTGTTACTTTATTCAGTGTAGATTTACAGGGATAATGCACATTAATAAACATTTCTCTAAATGTGCCAGTTTAGCCACCTTGGCTATTGTTCAACTGTAGTGCCTGGGTAGGTACAAAAAGAAAAAGCCCAAACCTCAAAATTACACAAAACATGAATAATACACACAGCCAGGCCTGTCATAATCATTATACACTCAACACTCAGGAGAGCAGAAATCCATCAAAATAACCCACCCCTAGGTTCTTTGTGCATACTTACATAGATATTGTATTGTACCATAATTGTGAAGATACAACAAAGCCAAACCGGAGACAGTTAAAAGTTTGAAATGTTTGAAAATAAAGTAGTTGATTGTCTTCAACAGCCATGGTCTAGATGTAGGCTACCTGTTTGCTGTCCATCTGTCTGTATGGGACCTGCCTCTGAGCAGTGGCCTGACACTGGGCTGAGTGCCCTTGGCTGGAGGACAAAGTCCTGTCTCTCTTTTTTGTTCTGTTTCACAGTATGAGAGTGCTGAAGTCTGACACATCGGCTTAACTCTCCATTCCTCTCACTTCACCTTCCATCTCCCATACTTACCAGCTGATGGTTTTGTGTGTGTATACTTTTAGTTGAGCATATATTTGCACCTTTTTCTTCAGTTGAGTTGTAATTTTCCTCATTCTCCCTACTGGATTAGTAGCTCTTAAAAATAAAGGTTTCTAAAGTTTCTAGAGTCTTGGATTGGGCACAGTGTTCTAGGAAAAACCTTTAATTGGTACCTTTACATTACACCGAGGTTACACAGTAAAATGGTTCTTCACATCTCATTTACAAAAAATATTCTTTAAGAAAGAATCTAGTAAAAGGTTCTACAAGGAACCAAATTTAGGTCTCCTATTCTATCGCTCCAAAGAACCTCTTTTGGCATCATTAGTTTTAAGAGCGTAAGAACCTGCCACCTTTTGTGTCCAACTTTACATGCGGCTGGTCAATTTTGCTAACTGTTATGGCCACACACAGTCATCACTGCGATGCCGCTCTCCTGCAGCTCAGAGCAGCATCAAGTTCAATACAGTTTGAAATATCGAGTCTTTCATTATAGAAAAATCTTCTATCTGATGACCTTCAATACTGTGCCTAGCACTGCAGTTCTGTCCTTCACACTGAAGGTTTTTTCTATAATGAAAGGCTCATTATTTGAAGCAGTGTCACAACTGACAGGATATTAGTAGGGTTTACTTGTGTAAAATGCAATGCCAGTTATTAACGAGACTCAAGAACTCAACTGCGTATGTTGTTGTAGCTAATATAAACTAGGGGAACAAATTTGTCACCACTCTAATGTTAGCTTTACACAAAAAACAAGCAAATAAACAAAAAATACGCCCCTGTATCCTAACATTGTGCCCTGTCACTCAAGCAAAACAAATATTATTAGAAATGGATTAATTAAATTAATATACTCTAAGAAAGAGTGCATTTGTAGGCAGAGCATGGATAGGTCAGTTAAAGAGGATAGAATAGAATAGAATAGAATAGAATGAGCAAGAAAAATTTAGCAACAAAAACAACAATTAAAGACCGTCTCTAGGCATCAATGAAAGACCTAAAAACTTCTCTGTTCATCAAAATTACACATTTTGAAGTTATTTCCCAAAAAAATCCCCTAAAGCCTTACACGTTGCTTTAATGTATCTTTACACCTTTGTCTTCTTTCAGTATGTGGAGATCTATGAATACACAAATAA